TATAACTACGAAGAAGTCTACGAATTGATCTACTAGGAAAAAGATAGTCACGAAGGATCTTATCTCTATAGCCTACGGACTAGACAAGCAAGGACGGGAAAACACATCCGTTAGGGCCTCTTGGGCTAAAGCGAATAAGCAAGGACGGGAAAATATATCCGTTAGGGCCCCTTAGGCCAAAGCAAACGAGCAAGGACGGGCAATAGCTGCTCCGTTAGGGCCTTTTAGCCACCACTAGGGGAGAACGGACCTTATCTACTAGTATATACCGTAGAAAGGGTTATCGGAGTCCGCCTCCTCCTCTACTTCCTCCTCCGACTCATCCGGAAGCTCGCCATTGTCACGAGCGTATGCGTATAGCGACTAGTAGTCAGCCATAACGCGAGCAGCAGTCTCCGGCAGGACGCTAAGGGCCTCACGGACAACGTCCTAATCGGTCTTCTTCTTACCGAAACGCTTATCATCCAGAGGAGAAGCGTACCACTCGTTAGAATAGCGGCCGACAGGAGCGTCGACCAAGGAGAATTCGACCTTATCCGGTCCGACAGCCTCCTCTTCCTTCTCTTCCTTCTCTTCCTTCTCTTCCTCCCCTTCAACCGCGATAGCCTCCTGCGTCTTGGCCTTCTTAGCCGAACGGGCGAGGGCATCAACCGTAGAGGAGCTAGAGGGAGCGCTAGGAGCCTGACGTTTGCCCGAACAGGGGGTACTAGCCTTAGTTAGCTTGCGGAGGAACGGATGGTTAGGATTCTACTCGGCAAGCTCCGAACGGATCCACTCGGGCAACAGGTCGGCCTCGGAACCTACGTCGACGACCAGGGGTTAGCAAAAGCGGGCAGAAGGATCAGGATTAAAGGACACTTACGGAAGGAACAGCCTTTGCCGCCTACGTTAAAGGAGTAGTTAGCGCAAGCGCCCGAAAACCATAGCTCTCCGTCCAAGACGAGGACGCGACAGGTTGCAAATAGACCGAAGCCCTTGCCGCAGGACACGCACGCGTAGCCATCGGGAGCAACAGAACCGACCCGCTGGACCTGAGCAGCCCGAAGCTGGCCTGCACCCTTACAATCCTTGGCCTTGTTGCTACGCTAGTCTACGTCCGTGACAGGAGGCAAGGATGCCAGTCGACGGTCCCGTTCGGTTATGAAACGGTCCATCAGGGGGTTGCTATGAGGGTCCAGGTTGACCTTTACGGTCACGGCAGGGCCACTGAGAGAGGTTTAGGCCAGGTGTTGAGCGTTCTGGTCTATAGTGGGCGAAAGAGGGACGAAAAGCTCGTTGTCGGGGTCTGCCACAGTCAGCGTTAGTATACCAACTTCATCAAATCTCGACCGATTTCATCGAAAACAACGCGCGGGGAAACTCACTCATAGGTAGAAGGATAGAATTAGAGGTTCTAGGGCACAACAGGGAGCTATTGCGCCTAGAAGGGGATAAAAATGCGCTATAGGCTAATAGAACAGGCCGACAGGGAGAGGTTAGAGATGGCGAAGAGGGAAAGTGAGAAGTAGTGGGTAGAAGGGGGGGGGATTTTATACCCGCTACGGCTAGGCTCTAAGGAAACTGCCGTTTTAGGCTTTGTTGAAGCTATTCGGAAAATCCCTCCTCAGGCTTTCAGCCCTGCAGGTCAAGGATTCGAACCCTGCTGCAAGCAATCAGCCGCACTCTTTTCTTATTCTTTCTTTATGTTTCCGCTTATAGATGCGTGCGTACGGCTCCTCTGCGACGTGTGCCCGATAGGTGGCTACGTTCGCAAGCTATCAGGCCCTTCAGGGTAAGCGAAAAGCTCGTGGGCGAGCTTCCGTCTGGTAGGGGAGGATATGATCCTGACGGCCACGTGCGGCCTGATTACATCATCCGTACGGCTCAGGCACCACGAATTCTGCCGGTATCTACCGGATTATACTCATTTAGACCCATTTCCTTACGATTATAATAAAACATGCTCTACCAAGATCACACTCTCTATCGTACTACCGTATTTGTAATATCCTATATATCTAAAAGACCTCTCCCCGTGTAGAAATTAGTTTCCTCGTCGGCTACGTTATATCGAATATATAGAAGATCTAGTTCCCGGTAAGAGATAAGATAGACGTCGTGAGAGATATATACTTCGACGAATCGAGGAAGTAGAAGCCTGATATATAGTATTAGGAAGAGAGAACCCTTCCTATACCTAAACCGACGATTTTGACCGAGGAAGAATAGATAGAAGTGCTTCGCGAAGATATTAGTATCCCTATCGATGCGTTAGTTAATCGAAATACCTAGGAAGATCTCTAGGAAGATCTCTAGGAAGGCTAGTAAGTAGGCGATTAGGAAGCTATCTAGTAAGAAGAGGAAGATAATCTATACTAGGAAGATCGCGATTAGGAAGAATACGATATACCTTAGGGGGTGGTTACACCGATTACCCCGACCCCGGAACCTAACAAGAGAGGCTATCTACCGGTAGACTAGGATCCTCCGAATGATACCCTACCTAGCTTATTCCCGATAGAAGAGCTACCAGAATTGCTACTAAGTCTACTAGAGGAGTAGAATACTACTAAATTTAGCCCTGCTACTACTTAGAGGGTAGACTAGCAGATAATAGCCCCGACTGAAGATTAGAACGTCTACGAGGAGGAAGACTATCTAATAGAGCTAAATCCTCTGCTCGAAGACCTTATAGAAGAAGATTCTAAAGAAGATCAACCTAATCCGCTCTCTAATAGCGAATAGTAGCTATACGCAGAGCTTTATACGCGAAGGAATAATAGGATCGATATAACGAATATTATCGAGGGAAGCAGGAAGCGAAAGGCTAGAGCAGATCCTAACTACTAAGCGTACGCAACGATCTTACTAGCCGAAGACGATCTACTAGAGCTACTACGTATATTCGCCGTAGCCCTATATATAGAGAAGCCGATATAGCGCTATAGAGACGATCTACCCCCTGCGCCTAATAGGTAGAAGAATATAATAAAGCACTCGATGGCCGAAGGCTTCCTAGCCGCCTGCGTAAAGGAAATACGCTCTCTCTAGGAGAAATCAACGTTTACCGTGATAAAGCGACCGAATAATATATCGAAATAGATCCTACTACTCCGATAGGTCTTTGTATATAAATTTGATTAAGACGGCTATTTATAGAAGCTTAAAGCCCGTATCTGCGTACGAGGAGACCTTAAGACGATATCAAATAAGGATAAAAGGGCTATTACGCTTGTAGTAAGGGCCGTAAGGATGATCTTTGCCCTTGTTGCTATATTCAACCTTGATCTACGCCAGCAAGATATAGTTACTACGTTCCTGAATAGCAAGCTACCTATAGAGACCTATACGAAGATACCTAAAGGATTTAAACAACTAGGAATATATTAGAAGCTAAATCAAGCGTTATATAGCCTACGTATCTTACCGAGACTATAGCAACAGGAAGCGTTAAGAGTTCTTATAAAGCTAGGGCTTAAACCTGTCCCTAAAGACCTATACGTTTTTACTGCACATAGTATTATCGTCTTCTTTTACGTTAACGATATCCTAATTGCGAGCTACCTGTTAGTACGAGAGAATACTCGCTAGCTTGAGAAGGATCTAGAGATATACTAGGAGCTTACGGACTATAGAGAAGCAGAGTGGTTCTTAAATATTCGAATTATACGCGATTAGAAATAGTAGAAGCTCTGGCTCTGCTAGAACGCCTATATTAGTAGTATAGCTGCTAAATACTACTTGACCGATCGTCTACCTATCTATATACCTCTCCCTATAGAAGAAATAAAGCTATTTGATAGCACAGCAATACTAGCTAAGATCAAGATATACTAGGGAAAGGTAGGTTTAGTGTAATATCCAACCACGATTACCAGGCTAGATACAGCGAAAGCAGCCGTAAAATTATCATAGTTCCTTCGAAACCCTGGCCTATAACACTAGCGAGCGGTTAACAGGGTGATCTGCTACCTATATACTACACGATATCTGGCACTACAATTTGGAGATAAAGGAGATATAGAATCAATCGAACTAGTAAGTGACGTATCCTTCGCTGATAATCAAGATCGACGAAGTTCTGTAGGGTATATCTACTAGGTTTATAGAGGTCTAGTTGATTAGAAGGCTACGAAGCAGCCTACTATTACTACATCTACCACTGAAGCTAAGCTACTTAGTTTGTTAGACGCTATACGCTCGCTGTAGTAGTGGAAGCGATTCCTCGACCGAATCTCGTTTAAACTAAGCTATACGATTACCCTGCGATACGATAACCAACAGACCGTTACGTTGTTGACCTCCGAGCACGCTAAAATCGATACGAAGCTTCGTCACGTCGATATTCATAGATACTGGTTGAGACAAGAGATTAGCACAGGCAGGATTGATGTTAAATAGGTTCTAACTGCCAAGATGGTAGCAGATAGCCTCACGAAGATCCTACCGCGCTAGAAGCACGAGGATTTCGTTAAATTGATGCGTATGGAGGATATACAGCACCTAATCGAGGTGTAGAGAAGGAAGAAGAAGAGAGAGGGCCTGCTGCAGGAGATCAGCGCTCATCTCGATTGAATTCAACACTAGCGAAGATATTCAACACTCGCTAATCGCTGAGGGGGTGTGTCGGAACAGCAGGATGGGTGGATCCCCAGGGAAAAGGAAATACTAAAACACCCGCCTAGCTTAGTCATGTTTTTGCCCATACAAATTGTTAGCAAAGGGGCATCGTAGCAATTCAGACCTGTTGATATCCGATTGGTGCGCGGTATGATTGACTAAGCAGTATTCGCGACTACTTCTGGCTAGCCTAAGGACCCAGGCACAAACATTACGATAAGGCAGTGTCACATGACTTGTCCCTCCCCTCTTAGGGCTTAGGGCAGTTTTGCACGGCGGGGTGACTCAGGACAAAGTTGTTGACCAACGAGCTTCCCATTCCAGACCTCATCATTGAGGTAAGTGATACTCGCTCCGTTGACCAGCTGAGGTTCTCGTCTAACTATCTTGTTGTTAGAATCATGGCGGACTCCGAATTGCCCACCCGTCCCAAGCCCGAGGAGGCCAAAGAGGCCGCGCCCGCTGAAGGCGGCGAGTCTAAGAACGCCAGCAAAAATGCGCTGAAGAAGGCGGCCAAGGAGAAGGCGAAGGCTGAAAAGGCTGCTGCCCGTGCAGCTCAAGAGAAGGCCCAGGCCGCCGCCGCGGAGGCCAATGATACCGCTAAGGACCTCTACGGCCCGATCCCCGAGACTGAGGACGTCATCCCTATCACCCGGTTCAGCGAGCTCTCCGAAGAGTACTACGAGAAGGAGGTTACCGTAGTTGCTCGTGTCGATAATGCGCGTGTTCAGAGTGCCAAGCTGGCCTTCCTCATGCTGCGCCAGCAGGGACAGAAGGTTCAGGCCGTCATTGCTGCGGCTGAGCCCATCTCGCGCCAGATGATCAAGTACACTGGTGGATTGAACGTCAACTCTATTGTGCAGGTTACCGGTATCGTCAAGAAGCCCGAGATCCCTATCTCTTCTGCAACCATTAGCCACCTGGAGCTTCACATTCGCAAGGTGTACTTGATCTCCGAAGCTGCGCAGATGCTGCCCATGCAGGTCAAGGATGCCGAGCGCCCTCCTCCCACGGAGGCTGAGGAGGGACAAGTTGACGCTGAGGGTGCCCCTATCGTTACCCTGAAGACCCGTCTCGACAACCGTGTGCTGGATCTGCAGACGGAAACCAGCCAGGCTATTACCTGGATCTCCAGCGGTGTTGCTCAGTTGTTCTCCGAATATATGATCAAGAGCGGTTCTCGATGGATCTTCACCCCCAAGCTGGTCAGCGCCGCCACTGAGGGTGGCAGCAACGTTTTCGAGGTCAAGTACTTCAAGCGCAACGCCTATCTCGCCCAGAGTCCCCAGCTGTACAAGCAGATGTGTATTGCTGGTGACATGGAGAACGTCTTTGAGATTGCTCCTGTGTTCCGTGCGGAGGAGAGCAACACCCACCGCCACTTGACAGAGGTATGCTAACCGAGCTATGGTATGAGAAGAGAGGCTTGATCTAACCCGTTTCGCAGTTCGCCGGTCTTGATTTCGAGAAGACATTCCAGAGCCACTACCACGAGGTCTTGGAGTTCGCCGAGAACCTCCTGGTCTTCATCCTTACCCAACTTAAGGAGCGTTACGCTGCTCAGATCGCCATCATCCAGAAGTCATATCCCAAGGCTGGTGACTTCAAGCTCCCCAAGGATGGCAAGGCCCTGCGCCTCAACTATATGGACGGTGTTGCTCTTCTGAAGGAGGCTGGTGTCGACATGTCCGAGCAGGAGCGCTTTGAGAACGACTTCACCACCGCTATGGAGAAGCAGCTCGGCGGGATCATCCGCGAGAAGTACGACACTGACTTCTACGTACTCGACAAGTTCCCCATGGCAGTCCGTCCCTTCTACACCAAGGCCGACCCCAAGGATAGCCGCTTCTCTAACTCTTATGACTTCTTCATGCGTGGTGAGGAGATCATGTCCGGTGCTCAGCGTATTAACGACTTCAAGGAGCTGGAGGAGTCTATGCGCGCTAAGGGCCTGGACCCGACCCAAGAGGGCTTCGAGGACTACCTGAACGCCTTCCGCCAAGGTTGTCCCCCACACGCCGGTGGTGGTCTGGGCATGAACCGTATTGTGATGTTCTTCCTGGGCTTGCCTAACGTCCGTCTGGCGACGCTGTTCCCTCGTGACCCGCAGCGTCTGCGGCCATGATTAGATCATTGTGTAGATAGCTATAAAAAAGAATGCATTGATGGAATGATCTTGAACCTTTCATGCTCTGTAATTCCGAAATAACCACTTTCCTGTCACTCAGCAGCTAATTTATCCTCCATACAACGTCAAACCTTGTCGAAAGAGTACGACGACTTGGCATGATAAATAAGTACGAGTCGAAGAGAAGAGAATATTCATTATTTAGAAATGCAATACAAGGGAGACGTTGCCCATGCCAATATCCCAAAGGCTCGTGCCTTTACTCCAGCCTCTTGCTCATGACAGCACCGTACCAGACAGTCGCAATCAAGCTAACCAAGTTCACCAAGCTAGAGAGGCCATGGATCCGCCCAAACTTCTTGTTGAGGGCCACCATCTCCTTGGAATGAGGTGGAGCATCATAGCTCTTCTTCCCATCACGGGTTTCTATGAAAAGTCAGGTCGATTGTATACCTAGTTGTCATGTAACCTAATGACTGACCTTGATGCTTGCGCTCCCTCATAGTCTTCACCGTCAACGGACGCAGGACAAACATGTTGATCAGCCCTGTGATAGCGACGGTGGCCATGGGCAGCAGGGTGTTATAGCGGTTCTCGGGGGCTACTAGACCCGAGAGGCCGAGGGCCTGCCCACCCCTACTGGCAGTCAGAGCGACAACTACCGGCAGAGCAGTCTGCATTGAGAAGTAGACTGGGAAGATGGCAGTTTGCAAGGTAGCAAACTGCGGCCGCGGCAGAGCGCGGAAAGCGACAATGCCACTCACGAAGGACTGATTAGAGGTCAGATGGATTGGACTTGTGTTTTGGAATAACGGGTAGAGATCAGTTCACCTGGAAGACCTGCGACCCCAGCAGGGTGCCGTAGCTAGGAGGATGTTAGACGTTTTGATTGGGACCATAGTTCAAGCATCGACTATTCTGCATATCCCGGAGTAGACATACCTTAGGATATGGTAAGGGCGAGGGTCAGTCATAATTGCGATATTATTGGTGCTTGATGGTAAAAAGTCCCGTGAAGTCCGAGTTCCTCGTGGAGAAGCTTGAGGCAATCAAGAAGTGGTGTGAGCTATTTACAGCGACGGCCAAATACGCGGCAAAATAGTTGTTTCCGTTGCAGGATTGTATGGGGAACCTCTTTGCCCACGCATTTGGGCTATGACCACGCAGATCAAGTGATGTCATGTGCGCGCGTGTGGAGCTAAACCAAAAAGGAAATATCACGCGTCTGCCTACTTCGCGGCTCTTTAAGACTCCAACTTTTTGTCTCTCCCCAATTCTCAGTTATCGCAGTCCGAAAATTTGAATCATGGCAGAAAAGGAGGCCACGGTCTACATTGTCGATGTGGGCAAGTCCATGGGAGAGCGACGACATGGGCGTTCCGTCACGGATCTCGAGTGGGCCATGCAGTACGTCTGGGACAGGATCACGACGACGGTATGCAATTCCACTCTCCTTGAAGTCTTGAAGTTTATAATTGACAGTTGACTAGGTTGCAACTGGCCGTAAAACCGCTACGGTCGGAGTGGTCGCATTACGGTCAGACGGTACGTCATCTGCTCCTACTTCTAGGACCGTCTAATCACCAAGTATTTTAGAAACCTCGAATGACCTTCAAGAGGATGCCAGTTTCTCAAAGATCTCTGTTCTTCAAAATCTTGGACAGTATGTCGTTGACACTCGACCTTGTTGAACTCTAGGACTAACTGCCCCAGGTTGCTCATGCCTGACATCCGGCGGCTACGAGACGCAATCAAACCAAGTCAAACGAACAGAGGAGATGGTAGGTGGCCCCTGACCTCTCTTAGTCAATGGTTTTAGGGCAACAAGCTTACTTGCTTTCAGCTATCTCTTCCGTTGTTATTGCTATTCAAATGATCAACACCTACACCAAGAAGCTCAAGTACAAGCGGAAGATTGTTCTGGTGACTAACGGTACTGGACCCATGAACAACGAGCAGCTCGATGAGATCCAGAGGAAGATCCAAGATGACGGCATTGAGCTTGTTATTCTGTATGCTCTACCTGGAACCCTTGCCATCCTACTATTACCTCGCTAACCCGTTCCAGTGGGGCTGATTTTGATGATGCGGAGTTTGGCGTGAAGGAAGAAGATAAAGACACTCACAAGGTGACTCTCAATGGATGGCCCCGTTACAACTGCTCGCCCTGACTCCAATTGCTAGGCTTCAAATGAGATACTACTCCAAGCTTTCGCAGAAGGCTGCGGGGGAGCCTTCGGCACACTTGAACAAGCTGTCTCTGAGTTGGAAATTCCTCGTATCAAGGTCACCAAGAGTATGCCCTCCTTCAAAGGCTTCATATCCCTCGGCGATGCATCCAAGTATGAGACCGCCATGCGCATTCCCGTCGAGCGATACTTCCGTACCTATGTCGCCAAACCCCCTTCAGCAAGCTCTTTTGCTATGCGTTCCGGCGGACAAGGGCAGGAAGCAGCCGAGGCTGGGGCGGGCCAATCAACAAGTGGTGGTGAAGCTCTAACTACTGTTAGGATGTCACGGACATATCAGATCAATGATGAGTCCGCGCCGGGAGGCAAAGTCGACGTTGAGCGCGATGATCTTGCCAAGGGATATGAGTACGGACGAACGGCCGTGCATATCAGTCAAACGGATGAGAATATTACCAGTCTGGAAACCTTTGCAGGCCTGGAAATTATTGGGTTTGTTCAAATGAATAAGGTATGTTCAGCACATAACGAGGTGCTGCCTAGACAAGTCTTAACATTGCTATGCAGTATGATCGATACCTGCACATGTCGAATACCAATGTCATCATCCCACAGCGAGCAAATGACAAAGCTTCGCTTGCGTTGTCATCTCTGATCCACGCCCTATTCGAACAAGAGACCTATGCTGTTGCCCGGCTGGTAACCAAAGAGGCTAAGCCCCCAATAGTGGTACTCCTCGCCCCGTCAATCGAGCAAGATTACGAGTGTCTCATCGAAGCCACCCTTCCATTTGCCGAAGATGTCCGTTCATACCGGTTCCCACCTCTGGACAAGGTCGTGACCGTCTCAGGAAAGGTTATCACTGAGCACCGCAATCTTCCAAATGAGGAGTTGCAGCAGGCAATGAGTGACTATGTTGACAAAATGGAGCTTGATGGAGAAGAGTACGCTATCTTTTCTTCTAGATCTCTGTGCACTATAATTACTAACACTTTCTATCCAGGTTGCCTATTGATGATTCTTACTCCCCGCTCCTGCACCGGATTGAGTCCGCAGTGCGGTACCGCGCGGTGCATCCCAACGAACCTATCCTTGAACCATCTGAACAACTGACCAAGTTCGCGCATCCAGACAAGCAACTGGTTAAAAAGGCGAAGGACTCTCTAGAGAAACTAATATCTGCAGCAAATGTCAAGAAAGGTAAGTAAAGCCACGCATCAAAGCCAATAACACACACTAATTCGACCCCTTCAGTTCCACCCAAAACTAAAGGCCGCAAGCGCCTACGGGAAGCTGAGAAACCCCTCTCGGGTCTCGATGTCGATGCTCTTCTCAAGCAAGAACCCAAACGCACCAAGATCTCTGCCGAAAATGCCGTTCCTGAATTCAAACAGATGCTGTCGCGCGCCGACAGCCTCGACATCATTCGTGATGCTGTCAAGCAAATGGGCAGTATTATCGAGACGCAGATTAAGCACAGCCTTGGCGACGCGAATTACGATCGTGCTGTCGAGGGACTGGGCACTATGCGCGAGGAGCTGGTGGATTATGAAGAGCCGGCGCTTTACAATGACTTCTTGAGCGCGTTAAAGGCGAAGATACTCGCTGAAGAGCTGGGCGGTGATAGGAAGGAACTGTGGTGGCTGGTCAGGAAGAGTAAGCTGGGGCTTATTGACCAGGCTACATCGGAGGTGTCGAAGGTCACTGAAGAGGAGGCAAAAGAGGTAAGCTCAGAACACCGCAGTAGGTCTTGAGGTCGACAGCTGATTTTGTACAGTTCTTCTCTGCCACCTGAAATGCCAGGTGTGTTTCATAGCTTTCGCCTTGCGTTTTGTCGCATTTCTAGCTGGAGTACCTATCAGATGAGAATTACACATGTTATAACTCAACAAAGCCTCCAGGTAATTCATCTTTGTAGACAGTGGTCTTATTGTGTAATGATTATCAAGACAAACCAAATATCCAAATGTTCTAGTATTCGCCCATGCTGGGAATCATAAGAGTATCAAGAAAACGCCAAAACATAACAGGTACAAAATGGCCCACGCTTTATAGCATGACTTGCAGAGAAAAATAATAAACAAAAGCAAGGTCCGGCACCACGATCTAAGAGATTTTGCCAATTCTCTTTTTCCCGACGTCAATCTTGGCGTTTAACCGATCCGTATCCTCATCTGCCAACTTCAGCAGCTCATTTTGAATTTCCAATTCCTCATGAATAGCGGTTCCAAGCTCCCTCTGCCGGATAATAATTTTCATCAACTCCTCCACATTCTGATCCTGATCCCTAATCGTCTGCTGCTGCAACTGCAGCAGACCTTCATTGTCCAGTTCTCGCGTGCGCTCAGTCTCCTTGCCCAGGACTCTTCCGGATCGTGCGGGTGTCCGCCGTCCACCGTTGGCTGCGTCCGCACCGCTGGCCTTTAGGAGTGCCTCCTTATCCTGAACTGAGGCTACGGCATGGTCGAGCCGGCTCTTGGCGGCCATGGCGTGTAACAAGTCTTCTAATCCGTCTCTTTCCTTGCGTGCGTTTATAAGCAGATCTTTGCGACGGCGAAGCTCGCCATCTCCCAAGCTAGATGATTTGGATAATTCTTGGGCCCCCCGGCCACCCAGGTTCTTCAGGCCTTCTTCCAATGTGCCGATCATCGATCCTGCGCGAACGAGGCTAGTCTTTGCTTGTGCGGAACTCTCGTGCTGTTTCTGAGGCGTGGTCTCCTGATCGCGACGGGAGAGTTGGAGTCGTGCATCGTGGAGATGGGATTTCATGTCACGGTAGTAGTCAAGCCAGAGCGTTGGATCGGTAATCGCAGTGTTGGCCGCTGAACCCGGGTCGGTGATAGCGGCATGGAGTCGGGCAAATGTATTCGACGTTCCATTCGAGGAAGAGGTCGCTGCTACGGTCGGAAGGTTGAGGAAAGCTCGCCATGCAGATGACGTGCGCCATCGCCCATCGGACGCCTCGTTGATCGCGCGGAGATAGGCTTCCAGGCCGCGACGGCGCTCTTCACGGAAGCGTTCGTTGGAGACTGTGTTGGAAAACCATGATTTCGCTGGGAGAGGTACAGGTGGCTGTGTATTGGTTTGGCTAAGTAGATCGCTGTGGAAAGCTGCAAAGTCGGAGTAGCGCTTGGAAACGGTGAAGGAGCGGAGTGGGAGGCGGAGGGTGATGTGGTAGAGAGTGTGTTGCGGGGTGGTATGTGAGAGGCTCGTTGATGGGATGGAAATCTCGACGGTCGGCGCCATGACTGGTTTAATGTGGCAGCAGTGGCATCGGAGGAGCGTGTGGTCACTGGGAATTGGAGGAGATAAAGAGAAGATCAGTTGTTGCGGTTGAAGCTGAGCCCATGACGCAACATCCCAAAGCGGTTTAGCCCGAGCTGTCAGGCACCCACGCAATCAATCAGCTGAGGCGAGCACACTACAGGTTCCCTCTTTCGAAAGATCGTCTAAATATATTTCAAATCATCAGGATCTCGGTCACAGTATCTTTATTGTATCGGTACACCCATGGCTGGTATGATTTTGAGGATTTGTCGTGGTTTCAGAGACGTGGAACGCTAATGTACACGGGGTACGGCACAGCTTTTGTAAACATTACAGAGCGAGCGTGGATAGATAAACGCTGTATTTAAACAATCAGCAGTCGGGGTATCTTCGAATCTTTCACATCTCATCCAAAGCTTCGTCTCGGGTCCAGACCTCTCGTGCATCGAGCAGGTCCCGCTGGCCAAAGAACTCGCCTACAATTGTGATGATCATGTCAAGCAGCACCCGTGCTTGCTGCACCGAATCTCCCATTTCCACTTGGCTCCTCTCGCCAGTCACTTCTGGGGCTGACTCACTCTGCAACCTGGCCTGTAACCGTAACTTGGCTGCCTCCAGCGCCGCGGACAGATCTGCGTCAGGCCTGTCATCAACCTCCTCACCCACAGCTTCCTCCATGCAGTCTTCCCCTTGGTCTTCGGCTTGAACAACCTCTTCTTGCTGAGCCTCCTCTGTGCCTTCAGGTTCCGAATCAGAGGCCTCGGCGTCCTCGGCAGGTCGCTTGACTTCCGTCTCCTGCATCCTAAGCAGAATCTTCGCAGCGCGTTTGCCGAGGTCCCGTAGTTCTCCCACTTGATCCGTAGCTAGCTCCCCAACCTCGCGACATCTTCCTAATAGCCCCCACGCCCATGCGCCGATCCGTCGAACGAGATCGCGGTCCCCGCTCCGTACGTTCTCGCCCAATCCTCTGGCCAGGATGCTCAGCACCCTTAGCACACTCTCCGAGTCCAAACAAGCTAATTGTACCATCTGCGGGTCAACTGTGAGGAGCAAACGCCGCCATTCTTTCCGCGCGGCTGTGTTTCGATCGGGCAGACTGATGGGATGAGCGTCGTCAAGGGCGGCGATAGCGGTCGCTGGAGGCGTACAGCGCAGGGTTGAACGGAGAAGGAGGAATCGGTGTCGGAGGAGGTTGTAGTACGATATTTGTGAGTCCGGGAACTTGTCTTCGGGGCCGGCGACCGGCTCCTTATCGGCCTCCACGGGTGCGATGTAGGCCTCGTCATCAAAGAACCCGCCTGGGAACTTGTGTAGGGCGGGCGCATCTGCTGTTCTCTGTGCGGTGGGTTCCAAATTCCCAGTACTTCTTACCACGACCGGCGCGGCAAAAAGCGAGGGCAAGGAACTGGCTTCAGATCTAGAGATTCAAACATGGCAAAGGTCAGATCCGACAGCGCAGCACAGGGAGTTAGAATGAGGGGGCTAGGGTAACACGCAGTGATATTTAGCAGATGGTAAACATCAGCTAGAAGCAGGGAAACTCACCGGACCATGCGCAAATACTCCATTCCATCATCTGCAGACCCGTAGAACAGCTCGTCGCCGCCATCGTCTAGCCCCGGGAATGCGCTCTTCTGCCCGTAGATGGGGTTGTTGCGAGGCCGCTCCTGGGATGACATGGAGGATGCGGCATCACTCGCATCTTCGTTCGAGAGGCGCAGACGTTTAGACACTGGTTCAGACATGGATGCTTTGCATTTGTCGGGCATCATCGGCGGAGGTGTTGGAGGAGGAAAAGTTGGGGAGAGCTCGCGCCTGAGGCTCCGATAAACCTGATAGGCGATAAGAGCCTTATCAGTATATTCGATGAGACCAAAGTCCGCCCGAAAAATATTGATGGTAAAGGCATGAATTGAATGAGAACAAGTTGAAGAATCGGGTTTTCTGTGATGCAAATGCAATTTGGCTGTGTTTCAGCGTAATTTGGGGGGCCAATTCCCTAACTAAGTCAGTTTGTGACTCAATGGGGAAGGAACCAGATGTTGCCCCCTCCCGTCTGCAGACCATTCGAATAGAACAATTGAGAGCAGAGACACACGATTTGGAGCAAGGATTTGACTGAATGGAATCGAGGAGAATAGATTGTCGTTGCTTGAAATTTACTTCAAGATGAAAATGCTCTACTTGGAAGTGTAAACCGGGGGTCCATCTCGGTAGTAGAGAGCTCAATGCAAATCAGGGTGCTGAGAGCGGCTTCAAGACCAATTTCAATTCTGAAAATTAGATGCGCATGAAACTGAAAATAATCATGAACGAGGGATTGTTCTAATTGAGGAGTCTCAATGGTGTTGTTTGATGGTAACTTAAAATTATCAGATGTTATGTGGAGTAAACACGGATATATCTTTATATGAATGTTTGCAAAATACCCACCAAATTCATTGGAAAATTTTGCGCTTGTCGGGGGATGATGCAGATGACAATAAAAACCTCACCGCGCAATTGCATCACCAATTTTCGTAGAATGGTGGGTGGAAGAGAACGGGAATAGCTTCAGGACGCAGTTGCTATGTAGTTGAGATTGCCGCGGAGTGGGTGGGACAAGGCCTATGGCGGCCCACTACTGGGGCGGGAGGGCGCCCAATCAGGCCCTCTCAGGCCCCCGCAGGGCTGACGGATAAGCGACCCGCATCTACATACTATAACGACGCCTGCTCGTTCGATTTGACCCTAATCGTTACAGGATATCCTAACCAACGGGTGAGTGGTGTAGTGGTAAGGTGCCTTGCCATTGCTGCATTAAAGCGAGTCCGCGTTCGATTCCACAAGGGGGCACCCCCGGTTTCGAGGCCTTCGGGTCTGCAAAACTCCTGCATTGCGCATGTGGGTTTTATAGCCTGCTCCCCCAGATGGGGTTATGAGGGTGAATTTTTTTGGGAAATTCTTTCAAATGACTCGCATCACTTTTGGTAAACAATTCTACTTTCAAAATTTCTACTCTAAAACATGTTCCAATGCCTGTAAAGTGCAATTGTAGCCGGTAGAAGTTGATCGTCTCGTCGCCGACGAGGTCCAGTCACCAACCGCCGGAAAGACGTTTACGGCTACAGAAGCTCTCACAAGATGGGGAAAATTATTCTGAAGAGTGGAGATTATGCAAGGATATCAGATCTAATCTGATTATCATTTTCATCTCAGTTGAAGCCATGTGGGTCTCGTTGATGGGCAATCAAGACACCGGATTGGACAAAATTTTTGCATGTGAATCACGATCAAAGCCACCACAGAATAACAAAAGGGCAGACGAAAATAAAAACCAAGATGTGGGTAGAAAGGCCATTTATCTACGTACCGAGAGCTTTTGACGCTCTCAAACTGAGATTTTGCTTTCTGGTGCGCCTATCCCCAAGTCCACTCGCGTTTATATACCGGATGGCAAAAAGTAAACAAAAGACATTCACGTCCAAAGCAGCAACGCCAGAGTGGGCAAAATTATTCTAAGATATGGGACTAAAATTTGGTAATATGAATTACATTTTGACACAGTTTCTTTCAATTTGGATGCCATTTATACCTCTAAATGTGGAAGTCTAAGAGTCGACCTAATTTGACTTCGAGCCCAGCCAACAAAGACGACCACCACGACTTTAAACATAGTCAGAGCATATCACAAAAATACATAAGTGTACATCAAAAGCTATTCTTGCGACAGTTTAAATTTAATGTTCCAATGCCAACTGTGGGTGGCCCGGCATCGAATTGAAGTACCCGTCCGGATTTCACATTGCGCTGAAATGCTCAAAGAATGAGCATGATAAGCTACCAAGGGCAAAGAATAAGGGGGGTGGGTCTTTAAAGTAGTGGAGTGACAAGATATAGAAATATTCTATACAGTGCCATCTCTTTTTAAGAAATCGAAGCAAAATTCGAATTTACGCACGCCAACTGCGATGCCCACTTGGGGTGTTGGAAAGGGTGCGGCCACGGACTAGAAAGACCCTGTCTATGCCGGACCACCTCTCCACAGATTTGCTAGTAAATGCAAACTCTTTGCAAGTAAGCTTGAAAACTTTGAGAGAAGGCAACAACTCTTTTTTTTTCGGCTCTTTTTTTGGAGTAGGCAAACCCCACTGGCCTTCGTCAAATTGGGGGCATTCAAATGCGGCCACGAAAGCCAGAAATGGCGTGGCCGGGAATTTATACCTTATTAAAATTACTAATACATTAAATTGCAAGTATGAAGAGTATCAAAAAGTGAAATGATAGTCTGGAATGAGTAAGAGAAGAGTCTCATTATTTCTCTGTCGCGCCACCTATCTGCCGGATCTCCTATGCGACGATAACGAACAAGTCAATCAGTCAATCAGTCAATCAATGAATTTCCCAACTACACTAAGAGTTCTGTATAGTAACGAATATTAAATTTCTCATCTTCGAACTTCTTTTCCGCTGCATCGGCCCTCAAGAGCTCTTTTTCTCGTGGAATTTACCCGCGTCAAACTCAAAAGCGTACGCTGTGTTGTTGGTAGTCTGATAGACAGGGAAGGATAGAACGTTATTAGCATAGGAATGAGCGACAATGCCGAGATCTTGGGGAGCCGGTGCCACAGAGAGCGGATTATCACCGCCGAAAGCCCAGGTGTGGATATTCACAGTTCCAGAGGAAGGTAAGCCGACTGCTGTGGGATTCATCACATTGATAGACCAAGTGCCAGTAAAGACCTCAGAGCCAGCGAGGATACGGACTTTGCCCTTAGATTCGGCAGTGGCATAAACATCGAACATAAGGTTGGTGCTCCCAGTGGTGTTGACGCGCACACCAGTCATGTTCTGGTAGTAGTACTGATAAACAGGATATTCGGGGGCCGGCGCGTAGTCGGTGGCAATATAGTTGAATGGGTCTTTAACCTTGGTGAGAAGGTTTGCCATCAGATCGTGCAAAGCAGTCCCAGACAGCCAGTTACCACGCAAACCCGGGGTGTTGTAGCGCTCCAAACGAGAAATCCACCAAGCTGCACCGGCTGGAACCATTTCGGCGTAAGATGCATACTCGTTTATGATCATTGGAGCATGAGGGAGTCCGTAGGAATCCAATACCGAGTACAGAGATGGGTAGGCATTGGCAAGGTCGTAGCGAGCTGACCACGAGTTCTCACCGGGACCGGCCTCGAGATGCCAGGCATATTGGTCAGGGGCAGTGTTATTACCTTTGATCTGGGAGAGCCAGTTGGTAAACCACGTGTTATCCGGGTAGGGTGCCTCCCAAAGGGTAGGTCCGGAGATCAACACTTTATCGAAATCGGGATCTGCACGGATAGTTTTGTGGGTGCGGACGTAAAGGTCTATCCATTGTTGCATAGTGCGGTTCCAGAACCATATTCCATCAGGTTCATTCCATATATCCCAGACAAGGCCACCGAGCGCATGATTGTCCTTAAGATCAGACATGAGTTGCTTGAGGAACTTGTCATAATCCGACCAGTCGCCGTTGTCTCCTGGCCAGACCGTGGACGAGTTCGCACCGTCTGTACCCCAAACATCATGAGGCAAGATAATAAATTTAGCGTCGAACTCACGGCATGTCTTATAGTTTGTCAAGGTGGAATTGAGGCGGCCCTTGTAATTCTCCATGCCATAAATCCATCCTCGAGCAGGAGACGATTCCTGAGCACCGCCAGAACGACCATAGTTGAAGCCAATATTGGCATAATAGTGGTCAGGGATCTGGCCAAAGGTATCGGGGATTCCATAGATGAAGCCAGACGCCAGATGTTTGGGTGAGCCTCGTTGGATACTCAGGTCGACATAAGTGGAAACACCATCATCGCGTTCCCTGACGAGTGAAGCGAACACAGTCGCAGTTGTTAAGATAAGATAGTGCGGTAGAACTTTCATGGTGGAGGATAAATAAGAAAGTCTTGTTGTTTCCAAAAGGGTTATTCATTTCGAGGCGTCTCTGTGGGGCTTTTATATAGTGCCATAATATCCCCTACTGCAAACCTGAAGGAAGTTGTTTTCGGAGTAGATGTGGGGCACGGGAGAATGCTATCGTCGAGGATAGATAGCTCTCTCCAAAACAACCCAGTGATGTGTTCTCCGGCGGGAAAGCCTATTCCGCCTTGACAGTTAAAACGAGTAATATGCAGGTGGGGGAAAGTAAACCGGGTCTTTACCCCATTGTGCCCTTGAATTACCAGACTCCACAGGGGTGGTAGTTCTGGATTATGTGGCATTACTCAAGAGCTACATAGTAACGGTATACACTTTCATTCCGTTGGGACGTGTATATACGCTGAGAGTGATTTGAGTCAGAGACTGGTTGGCGCGGCCATCATCGAGTCGATACAAATCGGCTTTGTGGGTTTACTACTAAATGACCTAGAAATACCTACGAGAGGAGTAGACAGTTGTTCCCAATTGATAATTAATTCAATAAGTACCCCTTAATGGTAGTGACCTAGTGACCAAGATTGTCAAACAAACAGTCCTGCCTGTCCTATTATCATAGCGACTATTAGGTCGACCACCAACTATGCGATCTACCTTGGCCAACTACTTAGGTGCAAAACTAGCCTTTCAGTATGAAATATCCAAGGCATATGCCGTGCTAGATGAGGAAAACTTCGCCTACCAAGTCACCAAATTGCCGATGTATGTATGAGTGACTTCGCTCGGATTCACAGGAGTATCAATGTGACCACTGCCTGCCAGAAGCTAGATTCGTCGGCGGGCAGTAAAGTGACACAAAGGAGTAAGCGGAACAACGTGATGGGAATATAGAGACTCGCAATTCATGAGAATAGAAGTTCTGGCTTAGGTACATTTTCCCGAGATATGCATGCACTGGCCTCTTCTACAAACGGAGTGGAGGAGCTAGCAGAGCCAATGGGGGAAGAGGTCCTCAATGCTGAGGAGGGGTAAAGGAAGAAGAGAAAATATTGACAAGGATTTGATCAATATCCAACACGAAAATGCGGGGTTCTAAGGTTCTTCGGACACTCCGCTTCCTCACTCTTGATAATCTATTGATCTGCAGAGCGGAGTTTAGCCTGGACTCATGTTCCCCGCCGCAGCTTGGCGTTCCGGCGGGGCAGAGATGAATCAGAATAAGAAGTGGGATGTTCAAATCTGGGATTTGAAAAATAGTAATTAAACCAATTGGAACACGTCAATCGAAACGTTCGGAGCCACCGATTCACGCGTTTCAGCCAAGATGTTCCGTGAAGAAACGAACCGACTGCTCTATGAGTATGACGCTGAGCAACTCTGGATCGAAGCCTGGGGTCCGAATGCGTTCCGGATCAGAGCCACGAAATGTGCGACTATGCCGACCGAAGACTGGGCACTCGATGGGCAACAGCAATCCGTGATTCACGCGGATATCTCCATCTCCTCAACCTCTGCGACGATCACCAACGGCAAGATCCGGGCTGTCATTACCAAGTTTGGCAAGCTGACAATCTCCAATTCACAAGGCAGTGTACTGCTCGAGGAGTACACGCGTACCCGTCGCGATATCCTCGATTCCAAGTGCAGTGCGATCGAAATTGAGGCCCGGGAGTTTAAACCGATCCTTGGCGGTGATTACCACTTGACCACGCGGTTCGAAAGCGTTGATCCGAATGAGAAGATATTCGGCATGGGCCAATACCAAATGCCGTTCCTAGATCTGAAGGGTATGGATCTGGAGCTAGCACATCGGAACTCCCAAGCTAGTTGTCCCTTTGCTCTTTCGTCTCTGGGGTATGGCTTTCTATGGAACAACCCTGCGATCGGGCGGGCAGTATTAGGAAGGAATACAATGAGCTTCGAGGCGTACTCAACAAAGGCGATGGACTACTGGGTCGTGGCGGGAGATTCACCCGCAGAAATTGAGGAGTTGTATGCCAACGTCACCGGGAAAGTCCCTATGATGCCGGAATATGGCTTGGGTTTCTGGCAGTGTAAGCTACGCTATCAGACCCAGGAAGAGCTTCTAGGTGTTGCGAGAGAATATAAGAGCCGGGGTTTACCGATCGACCTTATTGTGATTGACTTTTTCCACTGGCCTAAGCAAGGGGAATGGAAATTTGACCCTGTCTACTGGCCAGATCCAGGTACGTATATGGAAGATGGCAATTATGGAAGCGAGCTGACTGAGGGTTTTCAAATAGCTGCTATGGTTCAAGAATTGCGCGAGATGAATATCGAGCTGATGGTATCCATCTGGCCTACTGTGGATAAGAAGTCGGAGAACTTTGAGGAGATGCGCGAAAATGGCCTTCTCATCCGTGTGGACCGTGGCGTCCGGACTTGCCTAGATGTCGAGGGAGAAACTATCCACTTTGACGCTACAAACCCTAAAGCCAGAGAGTATGTTTGGAAGAAGGTTCGCGACAACTACTACGCCAAATACGGGATCAAAGTGTTTTGGCTTGATGAAGCCGAGCCCGAATATGCGGCATACGATTTCGACATCTACCGGTACCACCTCGGATCAAACATGGCGATCGGAAATATTTATCCACGGGATTATACGCGGGCCTTTTACGAAGGAATGACCCGCGAAGGACAAGAAAATGTCGTCAATCTAGTACGATGCGCCTGGGCTGGCAGCCAGAAGTACGGAGCACTGGTCTGGAGCGGTGACATCGCGTCCTCGTGGAGCAGCTTTCGAAACCAGCTGGCTGCGGGCCTTAACATGGGCATCGCCGGGTTCCCCTGGTGGACCACAGACATTGGTGGTTTTCATGGCGGGGACCCCAATGATCCACAGTTCCGCGAATTGTTTGTACGCTGGTTCCAGTGGGGAGCCTTCTGCCCCGTCATGCGCTTGCACGGCGATCGCGAGCCCCGGCAGGCTCAACATGGCACAACGGGAGGTGCAACGTGTTGTAGCGGCGCAGCCAACGAGGTATGGTCCTATGGACCAAAAGTGTATGACGTTTGCAAGAAGTACATGGAAATTCGCGAGGAGTTGCGGCCATACACGCGACATCTGATGCGAGAGGCTGCGGACAAAGGTGCCCCAGTGATGCGGACTCTTTTTTATGAGTTTCCGGAGGACAAAACATGTTGGGACTTGAGCAATCAGTACATGTTTGGCCACCAGTTCATGTGCTGCCCGGTGCTCAGCGCTGGCATGGAAAGAATGACTGTCTATCTCCCGCGTCTGCCTACGAAAGGGAAGTGGAGGGCATTCCACGGAGAGGACACCTGGGAGGGAGGCCAGTGGATTGAGGTCGACTGCCCAATAGACACGATGCCTGTTTTTGTGAAGGAATGGGCAAAATTGTGAACCTTAGTAGACCTATTGTAGAGGCTTCCGTCTTCGAAAGAGTACACGTACCTAAGTCACTTCGTCGCCATCAAAATATTCAGGTATCGCGTTTAAGCTTAGCAACAGTTGTCTCGCCCAGTCATGCATCAATCGAAGCAGCGAGTATAGCTCAAGAGGATCAGGAGGGTTTATTCCTCGATAGGGAGCCAATGCGTTGATAAACCGTGTAGATAGTGTGAAATGATCAAAGTCAAAGGCCGATACGGGGTCGAGAAGCGATGTGGTGGTGTCGGTAGTGTCAAAGGTAGGCGTGAGGGAACGGATAGGCACTTGCAGCCAGCTTAGCCAAGGCCAGGCTGCGTCTGGATTCGGCTTAACACACGCAGGCTCTCCACCTCTCCACCCCCCGTGGTCTTCATTCCCCTCTCCACATAACCAAGCCCTGGCAGCACTCATTTGTACATAATATTATGAGGGAAGATCGGGATGTCAATAGGAACAAGCAGAGTGGCACCAGGGGCCCCAGGCGCAGACAGACTCCTCTTACCTGCGACTTCTGCTGGCGGGTCTTTGCGAGAAAAGAGCACCTGACCAGACACCTCCGCGTTCATACGCGAGAGAGGCCATTTACCTGCGAAACATGTGGGAAGGAATTTTCCCGTATGTAGGTACAACCTCTGTGGTTCTGAGGTCGATGGCAATCCCTCGGCGCTAACCATCACTCGGGATCGCGTTTAGGGACATTCTGAATCGCCACACCAGGATTCATACGCAGCAGCAACCAGAGATTGCAACAAGTCGCACCCAGAGGAGCGCCGCCTGTCTGCAATGCGCTACTAGCCGGGTCCGTTGCACAAGAGGAGATCCCTGCGCTCGCTGCGAATCCAAAGGCCTATCCTGTGAGCACCGAGTCCTGTCAGCGAGAAGACGGAGAGTGGGCAGCGGGGAGGATAGGGTGGCAGAGAGAGACGCGCATGTTTCGCGAACTGAGCAGGCACCCACCACATCGCCCGAGCCAGGGGCCGTACTAGGCGAAGGTGTAGATTGGCAGGGCCTGCGTGATGCCTATAGTGGTAATGCTCTCGACTTGGAAATGACATACGGCCTCGGCATGTATGAGGTCGATCCGACCAATGAATTTGCTCCCCGGCCTTTGTCTGCAATTAATTGGCTTTCACCGGACGATAGGAACATCCAGGAATGGGCAAGTCAACTAGCTGGCATCCCGGATGGCGGTGTCTTTCCGACGTCGACGACCGTCGCCATGCCAGCCGTCCCAAGTCTACCCCAGCTCCTCGGGACAGAGCCTACCTTGGGATGGGCCCCTGCTAGTCAGTCATCTACCGATAATGCGCAGATAGAGACCCTAGCTGCGATGACCAGTTGCCCCGAGGGTACAGAGAGACAGTCGTCGGAAACATTGATGGATGGGGCATCATCGCGGAGCTCTCAAAGCACAGGTAAGAGATACTATGTACACGGTATCGCCTGGAGGGCCCCTTTCAAAGCAGATTTCGCAAGGGGCGAGTCATGGGTTCTGTGGACAAAGGGAGTGTGACAACGTCGGCTCCCTCAACCACATCGATTGGATCTGTCACCAACATAGACGGGACCGCATCGTCATTGAGCCAATGGTTAGCGGAAGATGTCTACGACGATATTGTCTCAGGCGTCGAAGAGGAGACACAGGCATCCTCATCTCTTCCTTCGCTGCCGGCCTTTCGGCTCTGTGTGCATCTTTACTTTGAGCGCCTGCACCCAAACTTACCTTTCCTGAGTAGAGCCTCCTTCATATCCGAGAAGCCACATTGGATACTTGCGCTGGCAGTGGCCGGGGTGGGAGCTGCGTATTTGCGCTTTTCGCAAGGCTCACAATGGAAAGACATTCTGATGCAAGCGCTGGAAGGCATACTATTGCGTCGACTGCATCAATTCAGACATAAAGTAGATCCCAAGCTACCTACAACCAGCACTTTCGAAACGGCGAACGAAGCCGAGGAACTCCTGCCCCTGATCCAGGCCAAGGTTTTGCATTTATTGTGTATGCTTCATAGCTACACATCATACATTACCCAGCGTGCAGTATTTGACCGGGCGGAATTAGTGCAGTGGTGCTCGTCTCTAAACCTAGTCCCGGACTCGGTGGGTATCTTTGGATTAAGTACCAGCGGCAAGGACATCCAACAGTGGAAAAAGGTACAATCCTCGCTGAGAACCGGAATGATGATATGGGTAAGTGGAATTTTCAGATAGATACTAATTATGCGTGTTTTCAACGGACGCAGCAGTTTTCTAACGAGTGAATGTAGCTTTTGGATTCTATGGTGTCCTACGAGTTAAATTGCAACCACCTCATGAAGCTAGGAGACGCAAGGGGATGGCTGCCCTGCCATGAGATGGCCTGGGAGAATCCGTCCGCTGAAAATATTGCCTATGCTGAAAGCGTTTCCAGTAGGGACTGACTTGACCCCTTCCTGCACAGATTCACTCACTGACTCCGACGCCGAATGAACATAGTCTCTCTTCTAGATGCACTTGATTTGATTTATATCGAAAAACGATTTCCCCGCAAGCTCAGCCAGTTCAGCCAGGTTCTGCTTATCCACGCCATCTACCGACGAACCACAGAGGTCGCCGATCAGAGTCGCATACAATTGTCGTCATGGAGTCCCACAGACAGCGCGCAGATTTCCAGTCCGCGCCCAGCCTCTACTCAAGTCATGTGGCCTCCATCAAGCAGCATCCTCGTGAAGTGGCGCAACGCGGCCTGTGACTCGCTGGATGTCCTGCACTGTGCGGCGAATAGCCGTGCTGCTGAATCATGCTGGGAAGAACCCACTATCTTGTATCTGCATCTTGCTAGACTCCTCATCCTGTCTCCTTTCATGCACTTCCAAACACTGGCACAAGACCCGTTACTGCGAACTCGCAACGGACCCTCGGTAAATGTGTCCCACCTGGAGAGATTTGAGAATGCCCGCAGTCAGGTCTTTCAATGGGCGATTCGCGATCAGTTCAAAGCCCGGCTGTCTGTCGTCCACGCCGGGGCCTTACTATGGCATGTTCGACGCTTCAGCACCGACAATGTTGTTGAGCCATTCGCTGTCTATATCGCGACCCTCCTTCTTTGGGCATACAGTCTTTCCGTAAAAACCGTCAGAGCTCAAGGAAGTACGACTCACCAAAACGCAAGCTGCAGCCATCCACCTTCTCATGACCAAATTCCCGGTGATGCCTCACTGGTAGACGAAGATAACATAGCAACCGACCAATCCGATGCAGAGCCGCGTTTTATTTATCTCGACCGGCCCTTAGACGATGAACTTGTGCAGATGTACATCCGTGTCGGGAACAAGGTGTCCGCCCAACTCAAAGGGGTTGGAGATATTAGTAGTGACACTGCGCCAGTGAAAATCCTCAAACAGGGATATTATCTGCTCACAGGAGAGAGGTACGTGGGACAGAATAGCTCAAGCACCACGGCGGGGGAGGTAATCTTCCGCCCGTGGAACATACAGCAATTGTACGCGGCAACAATACGGTGGTTGGTTGAAGCGAGTTAAACGGCTATCCATATGATCCACAATGCGAAATACGGTTCTCGTAACAACTACATCTGTAATCCTAATTCCAATTTCTCGAGTCCGATAACTACTAGTTGCTCCTTCCATCTGAGTGGAAGCTTTCGAAACTATGGACATGTAGTGCATGGCTCCTGCTCCTCCCTTTGATTCCTCACCTTGATTTTCCACTGATGTTTCGGATGCATTGCACTCTGTTGCGGAATGGCCTCATACATTACGGTAGTTCCCATGACAGAGATGACGATATGGGACTCTTAGATATTAGCAGGTCAATGCCCTGAAGCATACATTTTCAGACTACTGGCTTATTGAATAATTCGAGTATGCAGTTAATGACACAAGAACAAAAAATTAGGCATTTGATCACATAAATCAATCTCATCCCGACTCTTGACCTCGAATTGGATCCTCTCACTCTTTTTTGGAAAGAGCCTCATCGCCCTCGGTGTAGGCATCAACGCTATACTTGGCGAAGTTCCGAGCTGAGACCTTCCTAGCAAATAAGATATCCAACTCCTCGAATGTCTTGCCCTTCGTCTCAGGCAGGCGAAAGTATGTCCACAGGAAAAACACAAAGGCCCAGCCGGCCCAGAAGAAACCGGTCTTGCCCTTCCAGTCTCCTGCAGTAGGGTTGAGCATGTAAGGATTGACGATGTTGCAGATAATCTGCGCGATGTAGTATGTAATTCGCGACAGACACACGGACTTGCTTCGGAGGCGGGTGGATGAGGTCTCACTAATGATCGCATAGCATATAGGTCCAACTGTGAGGTAGTAGACAAGAAGCCAGATGAGCATCATCGTTGCCTGGGCATAGTTCCCCGACACGGAATTCCCAGCACCAACCGATACAAAACCAACCACCATCAAGACGATAGTTAGAAGGGCCAGACCCCATAGATACAGAGTACGGCGGCCGAACGTGTGCAAGAGATACCAGGAGCAGATAGTACCGACGGAGGCGAGCCCGAGCCCACCCACTGACATTTTGAACGAGATCGAGGTCGGCAGGCCAGCTTGCACGAAGAAGTAGGTTGGAGTACCACCCATGGCAGAGCCACAGAACGGCTGTGCGGCAAAGACCATACAGACAATCTCAGTACGACGCCGATCAATCCCTCGGAAGCAATCCCAGTAGCTTGTACCTTGGTCGATCTGTTTCTCCAGTTCGTCGGTGTGGATCATCATCGCTATAGCTTGTTTGACCTCGCCACTCGCACTGGAGTAGCCAAGACGGACCATGCTTTTTTCAGCGGAGTCATAATCAGCGCGTCTGACGAAATACCATGGAGACTCTGGCGCGAAAAACAAGACCAAAAACAGTGGAATAGGCCACGCCCACTGAATGGCAAAAGGGAGACGATATCCCCACTGTGTGTCATTCCCAGAGAACGCAGACTGCACTCCAGCAGAAACAAGCTGACCAATAGCCCAGCATAGGTTCACATAGACAGTGAGGTAGCCGCGTAGGGCCATAGGGCAAATCTCCGAGGCATAGGCCGGTGCCATAGTCGCAAAAACTCCCCATGGAATACCACAGAGAAATTCACCGACCAGAAGGACGGGCAGGTTCGGGGCAAAAAAAGGAATGAATATAAAGACCGTAATAGCAGCTAAACTAGCCAGTAACACCTTGCGGTAGCCGAAGTGATGGGTGAAGTATCCATTAGCGAAGGCACCGATAATGGTGCCCACAGAAACCGCATTTGTGAGACCATTCTGCCAGGACGCGGTGATCTGGTAGCTGTTGCTGCTGGCGATGTACTCGCCATAGCGTCGGGAGAAGGCCGGTTGGGCAAAGAAGGAAGACATGAGGACGATGTCATAGCCCTCCATGATGATAGAAGTTGAGAGTAGGATCGACCACATCACCGCCTTGGGATACTTGCGCAGGGCATCGGTGAGTGTCAATTGGTGTTCGTCTTGAGCTGCCTGTTTCGCAAGCTCGTTGGATTTGACAGGCTCATCGATGGGCCCTTCCTCCACGTGTGCCACATGGCCAATGTCCTTGTCGTTGGTGAAATTCATGTTGTAGCCCCTCCTAGTGGAGAGTATTGAGATGACACGAGGCAGTTGAGAGTAAAATATTAAAAATGTGACCGATAGCTGAACCCTTACAAGGTGCCAGGGTTACGTCAGTCGAGGACTATAGATGCGGGTATTTAAGCACTCGCGGAACATATGGGGTAATGCGGAGCTCTATACCTCGCTTACGGAGCGCAGTAGATCAGGGTGGAGGTCAAAAGCAGGGGTAGACTAGTGAATTGATCGACTGATTGGCAGATTAGCCTGTTTCTGCTTCTCTTGGGTCTTTGATTTTGGAGAACAATTTAACCCCGCCGGAAAGTGTATCGTTGGTCGCGGGTTGCTGGCCCCCGATGGGGTAACAACCTCGATTTTAGGTCGGATTTGTAGGATTGTAGGAGTGTAAGAGTTCAAAGGGATCACAAGGCCACAATTGACTCGCTCTCACTCTAGCAAATATTCCTATTTCGCTGTTCATTTCATCTTTTGTCATATTTAGCCGTATTCTGCCATATACTTTGCCATAGTGTACTATCTTCCTCAGCATCTCGTAGTTTCGGGTTCTCCGCAGTCTTCCTTTCCTACTAAGCAAGCGACAAACCGCAGGGAAAATGCCGGGAGTGGGAGGATCTACCCAGTTATTCATCTTGATCTTGCATTTTATCCTGCCAGTAATGTCGAGATTCCAAGCACAAGAGTATCTCCGTGGGGCCAGTTGCAGAGACGGGATTCCAAAACACCGGTATGATGCATCCTATCATCAACGCACCTCCGGGTCTCCACCATCACATCTCCACATCCGCGGATCTTCACGCCTCAGGATCAAAGTCTGATGGGATAGAAGACAGACCCTGGATGGAGGAAACAGAGAATGCCATGTTAATTTCTGGAGGAGGTATAAGTATGCCATCATCACGCCCTCCCTTCATTGCTTGCTCTACCGTTCCCGTCTCTTTCCTGTAATTCCCATCGCAACGATTCCTGCACCCAGGAGGTGAGATTCGTGATGCGGACTTTTGTCTTCAGAATTGTACTTGAGGGCTTGACCTCGTATGTCCAATCACCTGCCAAACGTGAACTGAACGGAGACACGTCAAGGATATATATCTGGGGGAAAATAGAGGACCTCCTGAGCATCGTGCCTCAGGAATCCTGTATGTATTCCGGATAACGGAACGCAGATCCCAGATCATTTTTATGCCAATATGGGCTTCAACAATCATCGTACTGGTGGCGCGCAGTTGCCGGCACCATGTCGAGGGTGGACATACGGATATGATGAATTTGTGATAAGCATAAAACTGAAACGGTTGCTCCGGAATTCCCGCTCGTTCGACTATACGTGTTCCACGACCCAGATACCCAAACTAAAACATTCAGTAGTGTCGAATCAATTCAACAATGAGTAACTACTTCACAGCACGCCGTTTTGGGGCCAACGTGCAGATTCATCTCCATGACCTCCGCGGCATCGACGGATATGATACAGTCGCTGATATTCCCACACCTGGCGATGATAAGGACTGGACGTCATACAATGATTTCCTCTCCTCTATTTTCGAGATTCTCATTGCCAACGATGTTGTTGATGGAGTCTACTTTGACATCACCAATGAGATCGACAACACGCAGTATTACGGCAGGGGCATTGGTCGGTTTTTGGACGTATGGGGCCTCACTTACCATCGTGTCGCGTACGTTTGATATTGAAGCCTGCCCATACTGATCACTATCTGTTCTTTATTTTCTTTTGAAACCTACAACCGCTTCGTTAGTGCTAATCATCTCATCTAGAACCGAATTCCCACAAGGAAAATCCGTCGGCCCCTCTTTTGGCAATCTCCCTGATCGTAGCGCCCAAGACTGGTACAGTGGATGGGTTAATTTTACTGCCTCCCACAATAGCGTTCCGGACTGGATGAGCATGCATTTCCTATATGCAGATGGCGCCCTGAACACGTCGATCGCCGCATTTCAGGCTTCCTCGTTGCGGCAGGTATCACATATGACGGCCCATTCATGCTCAATTAATATGGTAACATTGACCAGGGAGTTCCATCCGGTACTGCGTGGAACATCGCACAGATCGAACGCGCGAACGCTCTAGGCCTACGGTCAAACTGGCGTGGAGGGTATGAACTGCAAGATTACCTTGCAGATATCCTTGGGAAGACCGACGTCTACCCAAACTACGAAATTTCGGATGACGACTACTGATATCAGGTTTACAAGTACAGTGGTGTTCCATAAGTTTGCAACACCCGAAAAAGTTCAAACCTATCTCATCAGCTATACTTTGAAAGACAAGTTGAAACACAGATGCCGGGAATATCTAGAAAGAGGGTTCAAAAGACATTCGGAAAGATCTGTTAAAAACATAAAATCGAGGCATATTTTGACGGTCTGTTTCTTGGTCCCTGGTTTCAGACTTTGAACTGCCACTGTACTATTACATGAATATGACAGGGTATCAAGGTAAGTCGGATATGACACAAGACACACTTGGGGATACATATGCTGTTGTAGGTGATGACCGAGTGAGGATTCTTGCGGGCGTGCATGCCCTACTAATGGCACTTGGGCCATTGTGTTGTCTGGGTTGAGTGCCGTGGGGCTACCGATGGATGGGGAGCTTCCCATTCAGACCTGGAGGTTTGAGTCTGGGGATTTGTACAGGGAAGTTGATGCTCCGACGGATTTGAGATATTATACCCATCCGTACACAGATGATACTCTCTACTTTGTCATTGGGCAAAATGATCCGGATGTTGCGTATGCATTTGAATTTGCAATCTGATGGAATCTGTCACAAAATATTCGCCTTCTGCCCCGAAATCAGTCCCAAGATATCAAGCTGAACATTTGTACAGATATTTGTATCCAAATTATTGTGACGTGCTAGTGAAATAAATGAGTCTGGCTCCTAGCGCCCTCGTAAAGCGGCGGCAGCTCAAAACAGAAAACCCTACCCGCAGAGGAAAATGGTATATAGAGTGTCCTACCTACCGCCCAAGATGCTCGGCACCTTTGTAGAAATCCGGTAAAGGCTCTAACTTCTGGCGTAGGACCCAGACACGGAAGTGCCAGATAGCATTCTTGATCTGATAAGATGCATGTTTTCTGGTCGGTACTGAGAAGACTTGATCCAACTCTTCGAGAGTGAGAGCTGATAAAAACCGAATCTGATCAGCATGAATGTACAAAATTTAGGAACAAGAAATACTCACCCTTGGTTTCGGGGACGAAAAGAAGTACTAAAACCCAGCCAATAATACACCAGGCTGCGTACCAGCCAAAAGCGCCCTGTGGCTTAAATGCCGACAGAAGATGTGGCCAGGTAAATGACAGTATAAAGTTGAAGCACCAGGTCGTAGCTGTGGCCCACGACATACCCACTTCACGCACATGCAGGGGGAATGCCTCTGCCGAGTAGGTGAATGGCACTGGACCTGAACCAGGAGAATAAAATATCTCAAACAAATACATGCCCGTGGTGACCATTGCAACCCGCTTCTTACTCAAGGGGTTATCGGCCTCAATCCAGAAGGAAAAGCCTGACCAGAGGAGGAAGATGGCTAGGAATGGGTATGTGAACAATAAAAGGTTGCGCCGGCCCCAAGTATCAATCGTGAAAATGGCTGGTATGGCGAATACCCAGTTCAGAATACCCGTCCCCATCGATGCCAGCAAGGCCGCCGAAAGACCATATCCAGAATCCTGGAAGATTGTAGTCGAGTAGTACGCAATGACGTTGACTCCACAGAATTGCTGCATGAACATTACAATCCAAGATGCCAGCGTAGCGCGACGGTTGCGAGGAACAGAAAAGAGCTCGTAGAACATGGTGAAAAAGTTCTTGCCCTTGTTGATCTTGCGCTCCAACTCGACGCCAACATAAGCGTAGTACAGGTCTCTCGCTGCCTGAAGCTCCGTGGGACGGAGAATCTTGAAATTAGTGTAGGCTTTCTCAATCTTGTCATGCTGAATAAGCCATCTAGGCGACTCGGGACAGATATAGACCTGAGCGCAGACGATCAAGGGTAGCACGACGGTCGAGCCCAGCATAAGACGCCAGCTCAGATCTCGTCCAACATGTATGAATGCCACACCCATAAGATTTCCAAGCATAATTCCGAATGCTGTCCACATTTGCCAACTCATAACCAAAGCTCCTCTTATGGGAGCTGGAGAACATTCGGCAGCGTAGACAGGGACGGTCGAGGACTTGGATCCAATGCCTAGTCCGAGAACAAACCGGGCAATGAACAGATTCACCCATGAATTGCACAATCCTTCCCAAATAGAGGCAATTGCTGCAATAAAACAGGAGATAAAGATAGTTCCACGACGAGCGAAGAATCGATTGAGAGGTTCGGTCAGCCAGCAGCCTATAAGGGCACATGCCAGATATGGGGCGCCGACGACTAGGCCCGTCAGATTTTTGTTGTTTTTTATGCCGAGAATCTGTATTACCAATCAATATCTGCATAACTGAGGGGATCAATCTATTATTTGTTGCGTACATCCAAGTAGATAGCTTGTGCACCATTGTTCACTGTTTCGTCCATTCCTTGGACTGCTGCCGCGAGGGAGCACATGACTAAAGAGAGAAGAACTTATCAGGCATCTGATAGTAAAGCTCAAAGATTGACAGGGAGCATAAGAAACTTACTGGCTAGCCAGTAGAGCTGCCATGGCTGGCTCCATTTATGAGTATGCTCGCGAATGAGCGCCTCTTTCTCAGAATCATTCAGTTCCGGCATTGTCGTTGCTGTCTCAGGATTCTGCGAAATGAGGGCACCTTTTTGAAAAGTCTCCAAGTCATTCATCAGGTTGAAACGAAGGCAGAATCCTTGAACATCTTTCATCAATTGATCCCGGGGAATTCCCGCAAGCGGGTTCTGGAAGACAGCATTAATATGACTGCGATCAACATGGCCTTCAACATCGGGAATATGAGCTGTCGCCGGCATTTCCTTGTCGCTAGAGCCCGCCAAGCTCTCTGTTCTCTTCTCTCTTGAGCCATTGGTCTCGTCGACCGGCTCCAGGGACTCATGCTCCTTCATGGCGGACGGTGTATGCTAGAGGCTGCGGTGCTATGATAAGAGACCGGTCGCTTTCAAGCCCAAACAGCAATAGTCAGGAAGACTGGTAAATTCGAAAATGGGAAGGACTTCATGCTCTCGCAAAAAAGAGAGAAAATTGAGCTTTGGAGGGGTTGGGTTCTTTTATGTGGAGAATTGTCAGTCATTCACTCATGCTCCTCGTCTACCACCGTCATCGCCCGTCCACTCACTTTCCAGTCCAAACTCTCGAGTCGCCAATGAGATAATTGTCTTGCGCAGGCCAGTAAGACTTGCCTTCGCAATAGTATCGACACAAGTTTTCTTTCTTTCTTTTTCTCCATTCCCCCACATGTGTCGAGCCTTGCTTGCGGCAAGGATCACCAATACACGAGACTAGCCTACCGAATCCAATTAAGCCACGCCCGGCATGACTCAAAGGCGTCTTCTTCCTGTCGCCTACTGGGTCGATTGAACCAGTAATACGTCCCCGAATGAACAGAGAGGCCATAGCAACAGAACCGAGCCATGGATATAGTTAGTGAGGCGAGCCGAATGAGGTTCTTTTACCCCTCCGAGAGTCATGAGCCCCGGAGAATTATCATCATCATCCGGCCCATCTCGTCGTGGAGAATATGGGGGTGGAGTCTGAGGATTGACTGATGGATCCTGCGGGTGGTGGATCATCATGCGAATGGAGTCAACGGACGCCAATGACATCGACGGCCACTGGTGGACCGCGAATGTCACATCGGCCTGTTCACAGTGTCCATGAGATGCCCTGTATTGAGCTAAGCACTCGAAGCAATACGAAGCAGTCAGTTTCAGGTTGCAGGAAACGTTCATCGCTGGACAAGCCTATCATAAAAAGTTGCTATGTTCAATAACGTCACGGAAGTCCCGCAACCACTGGTCGGATTTGACCACGCGGGGATCAAGCGCTCCTACTAACACACGAGTCGGTAGAAACGGCAGTGAATACTGGTCTGACAGATTTTAGTTGCAATCGGTTTGAAAATCAGGTTCTCTGCGTTTCCAGGTTTCTTTGTCCAGGGCGGAAGCGCCACTTACGGAACGCCCAGCTCCCAAATAGGCCAAGCGCCTCCATCAGCGATTCAGAACCTCAGAAGCAGTTTGCTGTGGAGAGCCGCTAACCACTTAAGCTCTATTAGGCGCAGGTGGCTTACGGGATTTTCTGAGCGACACGCCTCCCGCAAGATTAATCCACTTTGCCTTGGCTAACGTTAATCGCACTTCCCCGCGAAGCTAATGCAGTGGTGGCCATACGACTCCACACCTGGATGGCGAATAACATACCTATTATCTCTCCTCAATATAGTGCCTTCAAATCGCTTCTACTGCGTAACTTCTTTTTTGAAATTCATCTCCAATATCAGGCCTCCCACAACATGTGCGGCTAGCTACGGCCTTTGTGAGCGGCCGTTTTAACCGTTCTCATCACATTGCGTGCTGCACGACACTCTTATGGCCTATATTGACGCTTATGCAGTGGATTACTTGAGATCTAGAAATATGCTTCAGATAGAAGACACGAAGCGTTCAAAATTAAGCAGAGCGCTCCGCTAGCTGCCTGCTTCATAACCTGACGCAGCCCTTCTGCTTAAATTTTAGCTCTATAAACCGAAGAGTAGAAGATTAGTTAGAAGGTTATAGATAATATAAAGGCTTTTACTATAGGAACAAACAAAGGCGGTGTGTGCCCCTTAATCTTTACCAAATTGGAGTATCCCCGTTTGATGTACGAAGAATGCGGCAATAGCATGCCTTACTAAGCTCTGAGGTTAATTTTTGTATTGATAGATACAGTGGCAGTTCAAAAGTCTGAAACCAGGGACCAAGAAAATAGGCCGTCAAAATATGCCTCGATTTTATGGTTTTAACAGATCTTTCTGAATGTCTTTTGAACCCTCTTTCTAGATATTCCCGGCATCTGTGTTTCAATTTGTCTTTCAAAGTATAGCTGATGAGATGGGTTTGAACCTTTTCGGGGGTTGCAAACTTATGGAACACCACTGTACCCTTCACAGTTACGACTCACTTTGTGATGACCTCGTTCCTATAAGCCTCTACTCTCATATTGCCAGCAGCCCTAGTGCTATGTAGACTGCATACGCTTGTAATTAAATCATGGAGATGGCTGCATGAATGGGAACTGGGCACTACTTACGAAACGGTAGCCCGATAAGCCATCAAGTGTCGGGCAACTTCCCTAGGATTTCCTCTAAACCAGTAGGCATCACAACTATGTACCTGAAGATATGGCCATTAATTTGACCCTTATTAAAATTGGCAAAATAGGTTGCTGGCTGATGTGGCTGATGTGGGCCTTGACGAGTTTGCCCAATTTCTGCAGGCAGCCTTTCCAAGTCAGCGCCGACAGTCAATAGATGCATCTGAACAATGGAATATTCACCATACTGATTGCAGATCTCAGGCAGAGAGCCCAGAGGATGCCTTCGTTGACTGATTCCTACTTCGTTGACTAGAACCCACCAGGTGGATGGAGGGGGATAGCTTTCCTATATAAGCATCTATGATCTCTTCGAACTTGATGAACTTGATCAACTACACAATCCTCCATCGACAGTTCCTCAGAATCAACCACCATGCACTTCATCATTCCAATCATCGTTTTCGTCACCGCCAACATCTGGGGTCTGTACAGCAGCATCCCATTCACCAACATCAACCCTGCCCGCTCTGTCTTGGACCGCGCCTTGGGAGGAGTCCAGCTGGCCAGCACTGTGTACACACTGGACCAGATTCCACGCCTCCTCGACGAAGAAGCCATCACACACCACCTCATTCAAGAGTATCTAGGTGGCTGGAATGCCACCGTGGTGTCCGACACGGAGTCAGCAATGACGCTCAGTGCAGGTCGCAGACCATTCACTGCGCCGTTGACCGTTTCTCCTGGCTTGCACCCTTCACCTCCTTCGTCGACACAGGAGCCTGCCAGTCTTCCTGGCCCAGCCACCACCCAACACCCATCTGTCGACGGGCTGCCCCAGATCCTGCTGTCCGTGATCTTCACCCTGGTCGTCTGGTTCATGGTCAAGCAAAATGACCAGTCCAGACGACTGACAAGCATCCACGAAGAGATCGGACTAGTTCAGCAGTACCAGGAGAACGCCTGGAAGGGGATTTTCGAAAACCACACCAACCTCGCATACTTGGTGTCGGTGGCCCAAGACCTGAGCGCTGCCTCGTCGGCAAATAGCCACCCGGTCGAGGAGGTGGATGCCCCAGAACAACCCCACGACAGTGAAGGAAGCACTTCGTCCTCCGATGAAAGCAGTGCGATAGTCAACCAGACACTGCAAGATGTGCTGGCCAGCCTGGACACGCTGCGCCAGACCATCGATCGGAGTACGAATGTGTGGGGGGAATGGTTCGAGAGGCAGGAGGTTTTCCAATCGAGGTCGCAAGATACCCAGCCGACTGAATCCAGCGGCGACGACCCGAGTGGATCCTCGGCAGAAGGTTTGGTGCAGGATGGGTGAAGCAGAGGTGTGCGGTATCCGTTGTTTGGTCGTTTTTGTTGTTTGGGTTGAGAAGGGACGTGGAAGGATGGAGGAAGCGCCCTGTCCAGAATTTCAATCTCGTTTCGTTTGGTTCGTCTCGTTTCTCGCAGTTTGATGAGCAGTGTATTGATGGAATCATACCATCATTTTCTATTCCAATGTGAATGAGAAGAGAGAGTTAAAATAAATTGGGTATCATAAGTAGAATGGACAAGAGTCATGATGTAGGTTGTTCGTTAAGGTACTTCCGGCACGCCGCTTTAAGCATCTCGATACGCCGTTGAGTATGAATAAAGACTTCCCGGTACATATCCAGACTCTGCTGCACTACTTCCTGGCGAGTTTTAGAGCCTGCGCAGATCTCGACCATTCGCAGTTCCATTTCTTTACGAAGGAATGGCTTGCTAAGAGAGATGCTGTTTGGAAGACCCGCAACGACATTATCGTATCCCTCCACAAGAGCAATGCCTAGCCGGGTGGGGATTAGCTCCTCGACTTTGCTCCTGCCACTGCCGCGAGAGTGGACCACAACATATTCACGTTCTTTGATTTTAGCAATATGTTCTGCCATTGTGGCGTCGGTACCAATGCCATTGGCATCCATGAGACCGATGAGCTCCGGTTCAGTCAAGTAACTTGGGGCCGTAGTTTTCCCTTCGGAGATGTTGGCCTCTGTGGGTTCGAAGAGTTCTCCTTTCTCGAAATTGGGAAGCTGTTGGCTGCTTTCCCATTTGTCGTAGACATAGACATCGAGATAGTTCCTCTCCAAAACAATCAAGCCACTCGCATGGAAGAACTCTTCTCCGTATTGAATCTCAATGTCAGTGCCTTGGCCTTTGGCGTCGTCTGAGCAACAAGCGAGGAACCGGCGGACCACAAATTCGTAGACATTTTTCTCATTGGCGTTTAATTGACTGGGTGATACCCAACACACTGGATGAATGGGAGGATGGGCTTTGTCGTTGTGACGGCCAGATCGAGGAGTCCGGAATTTGCCATCAATAAGGCTAGAGGGGTTGATCAGCGATTTTTACGTGTATCGACTTCAGACTAAGCAACTTACTCTTTTGCGTATTGACCCCATTGATTATCTGGAAACTGTTTCTCAACTAGCTTCTTCAGATCAATGGCCTTGTCGAATTGGTCTGTCTCGGTACGGGGATAGCTGATGTATCCCTTTGTGTAAAGTGCCTCGGCGACCTTCATGATAGTCTGACTGTCCAGGCGAAGGAAACGACTACCCATCATCTGGAGATCCACCGTTGTCAAAGGAAGAGGCCGCCATTTGCTTTTCGGTTTCTGGTTCACTTTCGTAACTTTCGCTTGCTTGGCCATGAGGCACCGTTCAAGCATCATTGTGACAACTGCGCGATCAAAGAGATGAACACGATTCCAGAGGAAATTGACTTTTTTGCCTTCCCGCTGAAGCATGACCTTGATACCCCAAAAGGTCTCGGGTTTGAAGTTCTGAACTCTGAGATACCGATCGACCACAAAACCTAATGTTGGGAATTGGCATGACCCTAAAATAGCATTAGATAGACACTTCTCAGGAAATTAAAATCACACACACCATAGCTGATGACCTTTTCCTTCAGCACGGCTGACACGGCCTGAAGCTGAAGCGTCTGCAAACGAGTGAAGGCAGCGCCGATTCGTAAATCAAGCTCAATTCTCGCGGCAACTGCATTTGCCTGGAACTCGTCGAGTTCAACCGGCTCTCGAGCTGCTTGAAGAACATGGCTAGCAATTAACGAGACAGGAGTCAGTGATTTGCGGGTCTATGGATATTTGAATGTAACTTACGCTCTTTCCGTGTTGCTGAACCTGGCTCGCTTGACTTCAATTCGAGAATTTCCAGCCTTTGCCTGATTCCGAACTTCGGCACCAATGTGCTCGCCTTCTCGATCACAATCGGTCCAGATGAACAGTGCTTTACTGTATCTGGCCTGGTTCCGAATGTTCTCCGCAATGGGCTTTTTGTCCTGGTTTGAGTTAGAAAGTTACAATGAAAACTTGTCGGAGCACATCCACACCTTATCCACATCTTCTTGGACTGGGGCCTCGAACAAAGCTCCAGGTGGACAGGACATCCAGCCCTTGTATTGCCGATCGAAATCCAGGCCGGTGAGATGCCCGATCACGCTAGTCATCGTGACGGAGCAGTTCCCCCAAGAGCCACCAAAGTTAAAGTCGAACTCATAGTTCTTGACATATTGATTGCCTCTGATTGCATGCTACGCCCCTGCTCAGCTCATATTGGGGTATGAGGGATGTCTCAGCCACTTACAGTTTGAAAAGAGCCGCCTGACATATGCGTGGCCACAGCGCGTGCAATCGCAGGCTTCTCTGCCACGCAGAGAATTTTGCGGGTCATGTCGATCCCATCGGACTGCGACCAGACGGGGACGCTGCGGCGAAGGGGAGATATTCTTCCCAAACGGGGAATTCGTGAAATACTTTGGGACGCGAGCGGGTGCCTGAGGCTACAAATTGAATGCCTGGGAATGACGCGCTTGACGGAGCAGCAGGATTGGCGGATACTCGGAGAAAGGAGATACTGTATATCCGTCAAGATTAGTCATTATTCTGCCCACATAGTTAGTTAAATTGCCAGCTAGTTAGTTACAGTAGGGGCAATAGCAATTCAGAGTTGTTGATATCCTATTGGTGCGCAGTATGATCCACTAAGCAGGAATTCCGACAGCGCTGAGTTGCCTGAGGCACAAAGATCGTGGGCACCTTACCCAATGAGGTAATCCCAAACATCTCCCCCAGCAACTCGAGGGACTCTGGTCAGCGCGACGTTCCACCTCGCTCTTCATTCCGAGTCTGGGAAATATGGCATCCCTTCCGCTACCTCGTGTCGAGTCCCTGGTGGAGTGCGCCTCCTTCAAACTTACGGTTCTGCCCTACCTTGCCCAGGTGCAATGGCTCCCCGCCAGCTTGCGCGAAGCTGGTCGGAATCTGGATAGCTTGAAGGAAGTTTACCTGGCCACCAACCCCTTGGTCTCCGCACTTGCGTTGTGCTCGGTCTTAGCTGGGATTTTCTTTTTGGCCGCGGAAATCAACCGCAATTTTTCGCAAGTAGATCGCTTGTGGAGCATCCTGCCTGCTGTCTATAATGTGCATTTTGCCGCTTGGGCGCGTTTGGCTGGTATTCGCACGCAGACTTTGGACACAATCGCGGTGATCAGCGTACTTTGGAGCGTAAGTTTGTGCATCGACTAATGCAACGACGTGCAAATTACTGACTTGAGACAATTGCGAATAGGTTCGCTTGACCTTCAACTATTGGCGCAAAGGAGGCTACTCGATTGGCTCCGAGGACTACCGCTGGGCCATCGTGCGCTCGAAGGTGAACAACACCTTCCTTTTCGCCATCTTCAACTTCACTTTCATTGCCGCGATCCAATCCCTCTTGCTCCTGCTCATCACGGCCCCGACCTACGCTTTCGTGATCGCCGCATACAACCAGGGCACCGAGGTGTTTGATCTCTCCGATCTCGCCTTCTCCCGCTTTGCGATCTTCTTGATCGTTATCGAGTACTTCGCAGACCAACAGCAGTGGAACTTCCAGACCGCGAAGCACGAGTACCAGAAGAATGCGCGCATTCCCGAGCCCTACAAGGACCAGTACACTCCCGAGGATCTTGAGCGTGGCTTTGTAGTCAGCGGTCTTTGGTCATGGTCGCGCCACCCCAACTTTGTTGCTGAGCAGGCCGTGTGGCTGACCATGTATATCTGGGCTGCTTACCGTACTGAGACCTATGCGTCATGGCTTGGACTTGGAGTCGTGGGCTACCTGCTCATCTTCCAGGGTAGCACCCGCTTGACTGAATCCATCAGCGCTGAAAAGTACCCCGAGTACAGCGAGTATCAGGCTCGCGTTGGCCGATTTATCCCCCGTCTGTCCGTGGAAGCCAAGAAGTCCAAGCCCGCGAGCAAGAAGGCTGCTGCCAAGATCGAAGGAGCTGAGGCTACCGAGGAGATCGAGGCCAAGAAGAGCAAATAAGTGGAAGGTGGAGTGCTATTCAAAGGGGTGTTCTTTTGAAGGAGCATTTAAGGTTGGTTCTGAAATTGCGCGTATTTTGCGCAGTCTGCTATATAGGAGAGACGTATTCAATTATCTGTCATATTGGTGCTTGTCATATCGCAATTTGATCTTCGATCTTCCTTGGCCACAAAAACTATCTCGAAGACAAATTCATTCAGCCGTCGTTCGTAATTTCGCCAAGATTCCCTCGCAAGAACATGAGAAGTAAGCAACTAGTTCAAAGAAACTGGGCTTCAGAAGCTTAGTGCGAAGATCTCTTGCAGTTTCAATCGCCCGAATGGTCTGCAACACAGCAATCGAATTTCCCTTCGTCAGCTTGCCTTCAGACCTGAGGGCAAGACCGCGTGCCACAGTCAGGCAACACTCATATAGGTTTGGTGTGTCTCACCCGTCAATAAGAGAGAAAGAGTACATTGAGCGTCACAGGCATCGTCTTGTGTTTGCTGCATAAACACGTTGTTGACAAACCAACCAGGGCTTATTATTGAGCTTCCATGAGGCCTATAGCCTTGTGTTCCGACGCATAGGAATCGAGGTATGTTTCACAAGAGACCATGCATTGGACTGGATGAGCATATGTTGCATCCTTTTGGCCCAGAAGGGATAATTCTCGGGACCAGTCAGGCTGTGCCTTAACAGCTCCCGTAGTACGGATAGTCACAATAGTCTGGATAGCTATTGTAATAACCCGTCCACCAAGGACTAACAAAACTGGATCTTGCAGCTGTATCACTGAACTAGCCTCGATGAACTTCAATGACGATTATTCTCTTGGGGTGCCTCGGACTGGGTATGGAAGCCTCTAAGCAGTTGTTGGTCTATGGTGCATTGGATCTTAATCAAGAAGAGATGGGAAGTCACAATCCATATAATACACACTCCGCACTCAGAGTACATGAGCCTTCAAACGAAGGTCGAACAAACACAATCGAGATGAGTAGAAAAGGTCTTCATATTTAGTCGCGACATGGTCAGAAGAAAGGAGTTTTATGAGGTGGAGAGTGGAAGAGAGGTTTGAGAGGGGAGTAGACAAAACAGAAAGAAAAGAGGAAAGAAAGGTAATGCAGGTCCATAAGTACAGAAAAAACAGGGAAACAAAAAAGTGGAATAAACCCAGAGACAAAAACACGGTGATATCACACACTCCCTGCTTTAAACAGCCAAATAATGCAGATCCAAATTGCGTAGACAAAAACAAACCCTTCGATTCTGGCCGTCTATGAGGGAGGGAGAGGGGTCTCGTCGCGGCCATCCTTGCCGGTCGTCTCCTCGGGGTCTACCTTGGGCTCGGGGGGAGCGATTGTCTCTCCACCCTTGCCATCAAAGTACTTGGCGAACTCGGCGTTATCGGGCCACTCGCGAGGGCCGAGGAGGCGGATCAGATCATCGCGGCCGAGCACCTCCTTGGACAGAAGCTCCTCGGCGACCATGCCGATCTCCTTCTTCCGTGAGCTGAGCAGGTCGTGGCACTGCTTGTAGGCCTCCTCGATGATACGGCGCACCTCGGCGTCGATCGTGCGAGCAGTGTCCTCGGAGAAAGGCTTCTGGAACTGCTGGCTAGAGTCGTCCTCGTAGTGGATGTAGCCAAGCTTTTTGGACATGCCGAACTTGGTAACCATAGCAGTGGCCATGCGGGTGACCTTGTTGAAATCGTCGCTGGCACCGCTGGTCACGGTGTCGAAGTGCAGCTCCTCACTGACACGGCCACCTAGGGTCATGGCCATACGGTCCATGAGCTGGTTGACGTTCATCAGGTAGGTGTCACCACCAGCGGGGAGGTACTGAGCGTAACCCAGAGCACCCTGTCCACGAGGGATGATAGACACCTTGAGCAGCGGATCGGCCCACCGGAAGTACCAGCCACAGATCGCGTGGCCAGCCTCGTGGTAGGCGACGGTGCGCTTCTCCTCGGGCGAAAGAACAAGTGACTTCTTCTCCAGGCCACCAATCACACGCTCGATAGCCTGCTCGAAGTGGCGTATAACGACCTTGTCGGCGTTTTCACGGGCAGCTATAGATAAGACGTTAGCAATATCCAATGACCGAAGATTAGACTTATTAACTTACCAACAAGAGCAGCCTCGTTGACACAATTGGCAATATCAGCACCAGCGAATCCAGGAGTCAGAGCCGCAAGTCGGCCTTCCAAGAAATCCATGTTCTCATCCGTAACGATCTTCTTCAAGTGAACACGGAAGATCTGCTTACGGCCATCCAAGGTAGGACGGTCGATGGTGATGTGACGATCGAAACGACCGGGACGCATCAGAGCCTTGTCGAGGACGTCAGGTCGGTTAGTACCGGCCAGAACGACAACCTGCTCAGAAGTGTTGAAACCGTCCATCTCTGTCAGGATCTGGTTGAGAGTACTCTCACGCTCGTCGTTGCCACCGCCAAAGTTCGACTTGGAACGGGACTTGCCGATAGCATCGATTTCGTCAATGAAGATAATGCAGGGGGTGTTCTTGCGGGCATTGGCAAACAGATCACGGACACGGGATGGACCAACACCGACGAACATCTCCACAAACTCGGAACCACTGACGCTGTAGAAAGGCACACCGGATTCACCGGCAGTCGCCTTGGCAAGCAGGGTCTTACCAGTACCGGGAGGACCTGAGAGAATTGCACCACGGGGAATCTTTGCGCCAAGCCTCTGGAAACGCTCGGGCTGCTTGAGGAAGCTGACGAATTCCATAATCTCAACCTTGGCCTCGTCCATACCAGCAACATCGGAGAACTTGATCTTGACATCGGTCTCGTGGTTGAAGCGCTTGGCACGGCTCTTGCCAATGCCAAAGATACCACTCTGACCACCAGCGCCACCACCACGTCGGGAGAACCAGTAGATACCACCGATCAAGAGCAGAGTGGGAGCGAAGGACAGAAGGGCACTACCCCAGGGGACTTCGTCGACATAGGCAACCGGGATTCGCTCGTGGTTGGGGATACCGAGTTCGTACTGAGCCTGCTCCAGCTTCCTTTCGAAGCTATCAACAGATCCGATGCTGAAGTAGACGTGGGTCACCGGCTGCCCAGCAGAATCGGGATAGGCTTGGTTCACAACCTCGCGGTTGAGATCGACACGAACGCGGTGGCCGTTGGCAACGGTCAACTTCTCTACAAGGCCCTTGTCTAGGTAGTTCGAGCGGAACTCCTCCCAGGTGATCTCTCGCCCAGTACTCTCCCCAGGGAAGAAGCTGCGGTAGACGTAGTATGTGACGAATGCGGTGACCAAGAAGGAGGCAGGATCGAATCGGAATTCGAACACTCTGGGAGAAGAGGATCCCTGATCCTGCTTCTTTTTCTTCTGGTCCTTGTTCTCCTTCTCATTTTCCTTTCCTTCATTCTCCTTGCTCTTCTGCTCGGACTCCTCCTTTCCGTCCTTCTCCTTCTCCGTATTCTTCACCTGATCGTTCTCTCCGTCCTTGCTCTTCTTGTACTCCTCCACATCCTCCTTGGCTTGCTCGCTGGTATACTTGAACAACCAACGCATCATTCGAATGTGATCCATCAAAGACGCATTCGCGTGCTTCTCGATGAACTGCCTTACTTCATTCGGCATGCCGTTCTTCATCAAATGCTTCCGCAACGTGTCAATCGCCTCATGCTGTGACTCTGGCATGCGTGTCTTGAGATGCTTAGCGAATGCATCCAGTTTCACCTGGTCCTCCGAACTCAAAACCGACTCCGGCTCATCGTCTTTGCGGTCTTTCTCCGACTGGCTCCCCTTGGGCGGGGAGTTCCCGGAGTTGTCATTCGGAGGAGTCGGGCCATTTGTAGCGTATGTCCGAGCGCGGGAGGATGTAATTAGGGAGGACAGTCGTGATGGGTGTGTTCGCAGAGAGGTTGTTCCAGCGCGGCCGAGGCACTCTGTGGCTCTCCTCGAGAATCGGGCAATATTGCCTGGCCGCCGGAGGAGGGAGGCCATGGTCGAGGGAAGGGAAGCCCAGAGGGCTGAGAGGGCGAGGAAAGGGGGTGATCAATCGGATTCGGGGGCGATGGACAACTCCGCGCAATCCATAGAGGGAATTGAGGTTGTCAGTGTGAAGCTCTCAAGCTGCGGCCAGATTCGGCGCCGGGTTTTTCTGAATTCCGGTGCTGGCTGAGTCATCGGAATCGGAATCGGGTCGAAGGACATGGACTTAAACGGGGTTAACGTCCACTTGAACACTTTTACATTACGCGATGATGACTTGAGAAGAAAATTTCTATTCTATTCTTATTTTTGTGCCCTTGAGTGTATTTTTTGCGACTTATCTCTATTCAGTGAGTGGAAATTTTGGATTATTGACTCTGGAGCGTCGGCCAAGAGTAGAGAAGCACTTCAATGTACATAGTGGGGAGAGCGGAGGTAACAGAGGGGAGAAGCAACGCTTAATCCAAAAGAAAATAACCCAGATAATGACCCATCCCAATGTATCCGTTACCAAGCGCCATAACTCTAAACAATAAAGATACAATCCATGTGGTATATCAGTTCCGTGTCTGATTCGTTTGATCATGTATTTCACTGTGGAGGCTGACCATTAGCACCAACCCCTTCGAAGACAGGGAAATTCGTCGACATGTCTGCCCAGTCCCACTCAATGGTCATGGGCATCTGCCAAAGATCTTGTGGAACAAATGGCTGTTGAAAAGGCCCCATATTTGGACTGGTGGGCCTGAAAGATTGATCAGGGAATCCCACTCCAGCCAGCTGTTCAGGACTCAGTATGCCCTGGAAGTCCTGTCCCAGACCAGACATCGCATGGACGTTGGGCGAGAAATCATTGGAGATGCCAGAGCCTGTGGGTATGGTGGGATCATTGCCAAAGGCCTTCGCTTCCATGGGCGAAGAAATTCCAGCAGAGGGGTGATTGGCGAACATCGAGGGTGAGAAGGGGGTGTTGTGAGGGGCTTTTGCGTGTTTGGCCGAGGGAGATGTTTGGGGATGTTGTTCGTCTGTCTCTTGTGCAGCATAGTCATCTGGCGCGGTCTTGCGCTTCTTCCGCGCATGAGACTCCTTTTCAGCTTTATCGAGAACGACCTTGGCGATTCTCTCGAATTCACCACACAGCCCAAGCATGCGCTTAATGCTGCCATTCGATTCGTCCGAAACTAACGTGGAGAGGAAATTGACCACCACATTCATCAATTTGACATCCGATCGAGCACGAGCATCGTTAGGATTTTGAAGAATATTTGCAAACAGTGTGACAAGAGCGGACACTGGATAGTACAGAATCAACCTGTCATAGTTGTATTAGTATCTGTAAATGGCAATCTCTCGACCAGGGAGTCTTACCAAACACAAGCAAAGTCTCCCTGTGGAATGTACTTGATGAGATTGATCGAAGCGCGTGCAGCAGTCACGCACAAGACAGCGGACAAGAAGACTCTGGGATTCAATGGCCGGGCATTCAGACCTTGAATCGCATAATTGGATAATCGGCTCGTCCAATAGCCATGGTGCACGGACATGCGGTGGATGGTAGTCAGGCAATTGTAGTAGGCGAAGTGAAGGACCACGACGTGAATGAGGAGGGGTCCGTGTGTGGCTTGGATTTCATATTCAGGTCGGTAGTCGATGGGGATGCTGTCCTTCCAGTCTTCTAACTCTTTGTCTAGCTCCCCAATGGTGTTGAGCAACTCGCCGTCGGACTGTTTAGAAGCTTTGGCAGAATACAGCCTCTTGTAGACTCTGCTCTCGATAGTGGCGAATTCGCAGAGAGACCTGAAGAGGTTGAATTTTCCTCTGCCATCGGCGAGCGGCACATGTCCAACGTTATCTGGTGGATCTTCGCTTGGGAGTTCGACATTCATGTCGTCATCGTCCTGTACCGGTGGTCTTCCAGAACGTAGACAGATGCTTTTTGAGATGGTTAGCATGAGATTCTGTGACAAAAGGGACAGGGGGAAACAAACTCCTTGTCAAGGCAGTAGGCAACCCAAAACACTCGCTTTCGCTGTTCTACCTCTACCGGATTCAGACCGAATCCAGAGCCTCGCTTGTGCAAGCCAATGCTGTGGGACAGGCGGATAGCCGCAGCAACCAAGAAGAATGCCGGTTGAGGGTTAGGGGTACCTTGTAGGAAGAGAGACTGCGAGTGTTGTTAGAGGCGCTGGACAACTTAAGTCTGGATCCAAAGTACTTACCATGCCCAGCAAAGCTTGCACACTGAGGAGATCAGTGTTCCGCATTGTCAATTCCGTCAAGACTCCCATGGCATTTTTCAGATACAGCCAAGCCTTCTTATCTTCTTCATGAGGCACCAGGTTGCTCATCACACGCAAGCGGTGGGAAATTGCCAACACAACGTTGATACTTGCCCACCATCCCGAACCCTCATACGGGTCCCGTGAGTACTGTCGCTCCACCAGGTGCATAAAGGTGGCTTCGTGGAAGAGCGGGAACATGCAGTTGAAATTCTCAAAAAAGTCCTTGAACAGGGAGAGGGCTTCTTCTTTGGGAGGGAGTGGCTTGAACACGCGCCGGGCAAAGATGTCGCTGAAAATCTCCGGCTTCCAATACATCCACTTATTGTCATCGACGTACGCTGAGGCAATCATATCTTGGAATGATGTGTCGCCCGTCTTTTCGTTGACCCATTGAATACCCTTTGGAGAAAATATGGAGAATCCTGACGATGATCCTGCAACAAAAGGGTCAATAACTCGGGACTATTTTCAATACCAAATAGAATAATCCTACCAATGTACCGAGTCTCGCCGCAATTGTTGGTCACCAGCGAGCACATCATATCTGACAAAGCTTCAACTTCTGTCTCGGACTCTTTTTGTGAATCGGGGGATGTCGCGGCGGTATGCGGACTGGATTGAGAATCGACGCGAGGTGTGGTACTGTGAGAGGTGGATGATTGTTGCTGGGTTGCACTCGGGATGTTAAACTTGTTCGCATTTTTCGCCGCATTAAGGGCATTTGTTCGATCGGCGAGTCGTTTCTCCAGCGTCCCTAGATCTGTCTTTCCATTATCATCTTGGGAGAGGAGGCCAGATAGGCGGAGGAGCGATTCCATGCGGCCCAGCCGGTTTTCCAAGCCCTCGATGTATTTAGCCCTGCGTTGTCCCAGTCAGATTGGGATTATCGAGCGCTCGTACTATGCTGACAACTCACCCCTTCGGAGGATTTCGTTTCTTCTCGACTTGGGTAAAGACGCAATCTGTTTTATAGTTGATACAGTGCGAGCACTTGGGCATCTTGCCGTCGCACTTGATCTTTTTCTTGCGGCACATATCGCAAGCCTAATGCCAAATTCAACAGTCAGCCAATGTTCATGAGTGGGTTCTAGAGCCAGCAGTGCGCACTCTTGCAATCCTCCGTCGCTTTGCGTCGTTGGCGTCATCCCCCGCGGCTAATCCTGAATCATCGGGATACATCGACCCCGCGAGGCCCGCCATCTGGGAGCCATCCTGCGAGTAGCCCCCAAAGAGCTGTTGCTGCTGCTGCTGTTGTTGCTGGTTCATCATCATCTGGTTCATGTCGAAACCCAGGCCATCATCCCCAAGGCCGTCCATGGTGGTGCCGTTTTTTTTTTCCCTGATGGCGCGTGGAAACTCCGCGGGAGTGGAGCACGAGGAGGGAGGGCGGTGTTAAGTAAAGACTGCGGGGCTAACTATCATGCGAGTCGGAGGTGTGCTCTTCCCGAAGCCTTTCCCCCTGAAATTGAAGATCGGAGAGGACACAGTGGATCAGGCGGTTGATGACGCATCCAGCGTGGGATTGAACGAAGAGAGAAGGCGAGGATGGGAAAAAAAAAGCCAGATCGAGGCGTGAACCGTAGATCGGGATCTGGCGCTGCAACGGTGGGTGAGAATGAGGAAGAGGGGGCGCTTGATGGGTTATCGTCAAAGTCCAAAGTTCCGCTGAGTCAACGCAATGGACATGGGCAGGGAGATGCTGGATACCTTAGCTCGGATCTGATATGAAAGGCGTGTAAATCCAAATACGAAATACGGACGCTGCTGCTGCCTGCAAAGTCTGGAGGAACGGAGCTGCTTAACCCCGATCCCGAGCCAAGCCTGCAGAGACTGGGGGCCTCCGACTATTTCGTCCGTCGGCCCCGAGAAAAGGGTTCACGGCCAAAGGAGAACGAACTTAAGACTAGTCCTGTGCCGGACACGGTATAGACTCTAATGGACCTATTCCATACCTACTCGAGACTATCCGATGGAAGACGCTCTTTTTAGGGGTCCTTGGAAAGATGCGGTGGGACAACACTATGTTTGACTCGAACCCTTGTACTGCACCCTCCGTGACCGCGTGCTTCTTCTGCAACGAGCAGAGATCGGCAGTCCGATGGACGTTGGATGCAGCCAGGTAGCATCGGGCAGAGCCGGGGTTCATTGTTCGAGCATCGGTTCTTTCAATTACTGGATGAGGGAAAAGCTTGGGTTTGTATAACATGATCATAGTAGTACAATTCGAAGAGTGGCGATCTCGGGAGGATATATGACACAAGAGAAGAATAGCGCATAAAGTACATGAAGATCCAGGGAATCGAGCGATTAAACGACCCGGGAAATCCCAATCTTTGTAAATGACAAGCAAAAAACGCCACGCTATGCACCCGAAGTATAACCGTTCTGGAGCTCTGGAGGACCCTCCACTCCAGGGCTCTTCAGATCCGGCCGTTGGAGAAAAGTATACAGCGATGGACTGGCTTCTTGATGATTCCATGTAAATCATCTCTTCCAAAGCCACATCATCCCCGTTCAATATCTCAAGTGTGTTTGTCGAGGAATTCTTTGGCCTCGTTGATCTTGGTGGCCAGGTACGGGCTACCGCCACGATCGGGGTGGTTGAGCAGCATGAGCTGACGGTGCTTCTGGCGCACCTTGTCCTTGCTCAATTTGCGCTCACTGTGAATAGAAGTCAGGTTAGGATTACTTCCGAGTATGCCTCAAGGTTCGATCCAAGTAACATACGACAGCTCGAGAATCAGGGAGGCTTCACGGCGGGTCATGCGGGGTTCAAATCCACTGTCATACTGTTAGTGACTATCGCTATCTCTCTCTGCAAGATTTGACCAACCCCTTGTAAAAAGCCTTTCCAGCAGCATTCACGCCGCCCTGAGAACGGCGATAGGCGACCAGACCAGCACGGCCCTGGAGAACAACAGTTAGCTCAAATGCTCCGGCTGATCCCTGCGAAAAATCCCATCACATACCAAGAAGGCAGCCACACCAACACCAAGACCGATAGCAAGAGTCGAAGCCATTATCGCAGGTGGAGAGAGAAACAAGGTGGCCAAAAATCGGAGAGGATGCGGTTGATTATCGTTTTGGAGGATTCGCGGGATAAAAGTCAGCGCGCGAGTCCCAATCGGGTTTAGCGCCACCTCCTCCACGCCGACCATCTCTTCAAAAAAAAAGTTTGCGAGATAACAACGAAGGCCAGATCCATCCCACACCAGCAACCATGCGGTAAGTTACTTTATTTCAGCATCTATAATGATCTCCAACTAACCCCCTTTTCTTCTTCAACAGTGTGGAGACCTGTCACTTCTGTTCCCGCCCGGCCTTCCCCGGCAAGGGCATCACATTCGTTCGCAATGATGCCCGACAGTTCCGTTTCTGCCGTTCCAAGTGTCACAAGAACTTCAAGATGAAGCGTCAGCCCCGCAAGCTGAAGTGGACCAAGAGTCACCGCGCCGCCCGCGGCAAGGAAATGATCGTGGACTCGTCGCTGGTTCTGTCCCAGTTCGCCAAGAAGCGCAACGTCCCCGTCAAGTACGACCGCAACCTGGTCGCCGCCACCGTCAACGCCATGCAGCGCGTCGAGGAGATCCGCCAGCGCCGCGAGCGTGTCTTCACCAGGCGCCGTCTGGCTGGCAAGTTGGCTCGCGACCGCCAGCGCGAGACCAACCGCAAGGTTGTCGCCCAGGGCGAACACCTTATTCGCAAGGAGCTGCGTGAGCGGGAGGAGGGCCGTCCCATGGTGGCCGAGCAGAGCAAGGTTGCCAACCGTGTGCACGGTGCCGACCTGTTCAAGCAGAAGAAGAAGGCCAAGGTGTTGGTGGATGGTGGTGTCGAGGAGGAGGAGGCGATGGACATGGATTAAAGGAATCCTTGATATCCTCGGGTTTCGATTTCGTTTTCTCTTTCTTTTACCCATTTTGTGCTTGGACCGCTACGATACGATTCCTGGAGTTGGGTTTGCATTATCATTGTGTTTCTCGCGGTGTTTTTTTCTTCAAAAGCTATCGATATCATCTCACCTATAGAATGTGAGGGCCAGTGAAAGTCACGCTGAAAATACCACTTCTCAATTTTGTCCTCTCTCTTCTTGTAGTCCGTGGATCTCATAAACCCACTATTTTTGACCAGCCTATGACAATACTTGGTCCCCAATCAGCCGTTCTTTTTGGCATATCATTTACGAAGACTTGGCAAAAAAGCAAGTAAGGAACTCAAGATTCTTGTCATGACAAAATCTTCCAGTTGAATGTTGATAACGCTCAAGCATACGTCCATGCTTAACTTGCCAAAATAGACTATATCATGTATCATGTCAAAACTCCCAGACAAAAAGCAATGGGCAAATAACACCCAAAATGTTAATCAACACAGCCAACCCTCAAAATCAATAACGATCATAACCATGAGACCCGCCCGCACTACGGTCTACATAACCATCCGATAGATCGCTGGTCTGGAACTCATCCAGCTCCTGGGGTTGCCGAACGAAACCCTTTGCACCACGATTCGTCTTGAACCGTGCCCAACCCAGGAGACCAATAATCACAACGCTGACAATTATAACGGCGATGGAGTATCCAATGAGGACACCATTAGATGCGTATGACCAGCGAAGTCCAATCCCACCATTAATAATGGCAAGGAGGATCACGACGAATCCAAAGTAGCGATGGACAACACCAAACATGGACGAGGTCTGCGTCTTCTTGTACAGACGGTGGTGCCAGAATCCCATACCCCACTGGGCGATGATAGCCAGCAAGATGACGATTCCGAGAATCTGGTGAGTGGAACTACATGACTGGGACTTGGTGAATTGGGTGCTGAGGTAGAATCCAATCACGAGACCGATACCGGCAAGGCAGGTTGAAATGGTCTGATTGACCCAGTGCCAGCGCACACTCTTGGGCAAGACGCGGAGGAGAATGGCACCGCATGGGAAGAGGAGAATGAGTGCTCCGCCTAGGCAGAGCGCGTGGATGATGCTGGGCCAGTTGCTGTCGTCCTTGTCTCCTCCTTCTGACGATGAGCCTTGGGCGGTAGTATATGATGTAGGCAGTCCACCTGATCCACCCGTGGCATGAACCATATCCATGTCAAAGACACCTAGAGGACAGACAAGTTAGAACTAGATGATCCTCGTGAATGGCCAGTTCCTGACAAAAGCCCACATACCGTATTTCGAATGCCTCTCAATACTAGCCGTCTTCGAGTCACTCCGCAGCATCCTAGCGCTACCACCAGTCGGACCCAGCCCATAGATCCATGGCTGAGACGAAGACTTCAAATCCAATGATCCAGTCCTCGATCCCATCTTCCAAGTTGTACAGTTCGAGCATCGGCCATTCACCGTCATTGTGTTATTGGCAATACCCGTGCCATCGAGAAGTGTGACCGCGAGCGATGATGAGTACTCCGGTTCCTGTTCACCAGACGAGAGTCGAGGGCTGACGGTAACATCTAAATTGGACATTTCAATTAGTACACACCCTTCTCGAATGTTATTTACCAGGACAGCAAAGGGAAACAAACTTTTTCCATCGGCATTTGAGTAAGCAACGATCATCAGAGAATCTTTCATCTCGCTCCCCGTTCCAACTGCCAGCCAGCTATAACTAGTCGGCCCAGACAGATGGAAGTACAGATCCGTAGAATCATCTGGGATATTCAATGCAAACGTGTAATTGGAATTCGATCCAAGCGGCAAGTTGTAAATACTAGCCCCATTAGTCGTAGAAGCAGCCGAGACGACAGGCGTGAAAAAGGACAAAAGCCCTGCAACGAAGAAAAACGAGATCAACATATGAGCCTCCAACGACAAGGATCGTGATCAATGCCAAGTTAGCCAAGAATTTCAGCAAGGAATTGACTGACCTGCCAGCGCGAATGGCAAGACTCCACTTTCCGGAAAAGACACCATACTGATTCGGCAGTTGTCAGAGTTTCGTATGGAGCAAAAGACAAAAAAAAAAGTTTGTCCCCTTCTCTCTCTCTCTCTCTAAGACCCTTGAGAATATGGGCTAGAACTCAATTTATTATTATTTATTTCAAGCAGGTCCCCCGCTACTGCCCTAATTATCCAAACGTCGCCTTCCTAAAACAAGCTTGCGGGAGGGTGACATACATCGGCCCGGTGATTGGTGGCCGGGGACCCCTTAAACCTTAAATCGGGCGGGTTTCGCTCAATATAGAAACCGCGCCCTTCCTCTATTCTGTCCTGCACGGCAAGGAATGAGAAAAATCATGGCTACCTAGCACTGCCACCCCTTCTCTGGAAACTATCACTGCGAATATGTCTGACATAATTCAAGGGTGATGGCGGCTGCTTTTAAGCCTTTGTATCCGATTGCTTGTGGGACGACAAAAGTAAATCTATGCCTGAACCTGTCACAATTCGTGTCTCCTTAGAGCTATTCATATTCTGCTATTACCAGAAAGAATCATCCCAATCCTATACAATCAATAGCATGAGGCATATACAAAATAAAGCAGCAGGATAAGCAATTCCCTTCATTCTGGTGGATGTCCGGGTTCTGCGCCACCCGGGCTTTGCGTCGCTGGTCACTGGTCACTCTGACTTTCTCTGGTGAAATCCTACCATTGGGATCCCTCAGGCCGCGTAATAAAGGATATAAGTCGGGAGATCAGACGATTAGCCGTGATCCATCGGTCTCCCGATTGCAAAAGTACTTCAAGAACATCAAGTCCCCCCCTTTCTATTAACCTTTCTCTTCTCCGCGAATACAAAAATCAGGTTTTACCCACCGCCTGGCAAAGATTCTCGAATATCGCTCAGATATGGGTCATCAAGCTACGCAGCATTTATGCCTCACGATACATAATAACCTTCGCCGGGGTGATATCATCTTCAGGAACTTGATTAGCATCAGGTATACACATTCAGTATCCAACCATGACGGCTCATCCGACTATTGACTGACGATAATTATCAGCGGTCAACCATATGAAAAGACCGAAACTCTACGCCTTCTATCTACAGAAGACATAGAAAAAATCAGAATCCAACCCGGCGCAAGCAAATTAATATCCTTCTGCGGAAGCGCAACATTGGGACTAGGAATAGAGGGCATGCTTGACCTTGACTCTGATAATGAAACCCGTATTACCTCGCTCTACTGGAACGGGCCCTGGAATCAGGTCGATAATCAGTTCCACGTCTCGAGTACGGATCATGAGCTTTACACGGTGACAGCCTCGATTCCTCCGGTTGAAGGTGTGCTCGGAGATATCTCGGTCAATGTGAGAAGTCTTGCGGAGAGATAGGTCCACGTTGTAGGTTCCGTACAGTGCACTTGAGAGGATTGTACTTTTTTTTTCCTATGGTGGACTTGACAGGAGTTTACTACGCCTTGAAGCGTGCTTGCGCGATTATGCGTGATTATCGTGCTTTTGGCCGACAATATCATGATGCATTCTAGGGAGAATTAGGCAGGGGCATTACTCGACTTGCGTTTCGCTATTGATAGGATTATCAAAATAATGTAATATTTTGCAATTGGTATGCCTAGACACGCTTAGTAGTATCCATGTACTTATTACCTATGGAAACAGGCATGAACTCCATGCCCCAAAGACGATAACAGAAAAGCAACAATACTCCGATGGAGATACTGGAACTCCTGCTGACAGCGCCATGAAGATCACATGTGGGTGGAACTTCCTGAGTAGTTGTCTGTGATCTGTCTGCAGATCTCTCGACCTTGGAACGAGGGGGACTAAAGTTCAAAACACCATTGATCAGGGTTCAGACGATCGATCTAGAGTAACTGTACCTTAATCTCTAGCGCGACCCTAGTCCGAGCGTTAGAGGCAATGACTCGATACATGATTGGATTAGCATTGCGCCTTATGAAGATCATCCTCGGCAGATCAAGATTTTGATCCAGTAACGTATGTACGCATAGGAAGGATCAGAGAGCTCGAGAGTTTAATTTTATCAGGTTGTGTACGCGATTGATTAGACTACGTACTAGTGTATTGCTATGTCAAGTTTCTGCGTCAGAAGTAACAAGTCTAACATTTTTGGAGCCAGGGAGTAGTCATCAATCAAACCGATAGTTATTGACTTCTTTGACCCTGTACACGGTATATCCAACAGCCCCCGCTAGTCAGGCCTAGAACACCAATGCCCAACCTCCGACACCTGTTTGGTTTCCACCCCGCATTCCACACGAACTGCCAAGCTATGTACAGCGGGTGTATACTCCGTAGATAAGCCCGGAAAGGCACGGAACCCGAGACAACAGAACACCAGGTACTCATCAAGCCCTGGATTCCTTCAGGTACCACAGGGGTACAAACAAAGAAAGAAAGCCCGGTCACTGCATCCCGATACTTCCCCCTCAAACGGGCAGATCTGGTTGAAACGGAAACCCAATGGCCTGACCTGTCCAAAGGAATTAAATTTGGACCGTAATTTGAAACACTGCAAGGTTATACAGTTCTTTGTGCGTTGTCTGGTCCCGATTGGGTCAATCTATCGTCGTTTAGCGGGTCCATTCTTCACCGGGGACGAGAAATAGTATCGTTAGTAAATGGTGAATGATACTTGACAAGGCTACGATTGGGTAGACGAAAATGTTGTTTCATGAGTTATATTCATTGCGTACCCCGTCCAAAGGGTTCATTGAGTACATATGGGAGAGAAGATGAGAGAGTGCGTACGTGCAGGATATGTGATGGAGGAGGAGAACAAGGAAAACGACGGAGAGGAAGAGAGAGAGGACGAGATCACGCGTGGCATATGAGTATGGTTTCAAGGTTCGGTACGAACAAAAAGAAAAAAACGAGGTGTATATGTGCGAGCTGGAGAATGACGGATGGGAAAGCCCAGGAAAGAAGACAAAGAAATAAGGATCAAGGTAACAGGACGAGCTCGTAGGTATTGTGTGGGTTTGGGATATTGAAGATAATGAATATGCGCCGGCCATTGCAAAGAAGGCCATTTATGGGGTTTCCAGAAAAGAAAGAGGCAGAAGAACAATGGAATAGCAGAAGCAGAGGCAAAAAAAAGACTGAAGAGAGAGATGGGGAGACAACAGTTGGGTCAAGGAGACATGATACATGGGATTCCCTCAGTCCAATAAGGGGTTCCCGAAATCTTAGACAGGCAGTGTGCGAAGAAGATACCATCTCTGCACTATTCCCCGAGGCGGCCGGGCTACTATCATCATGAAAGTTGAAAGTGGCCGACCGATCGAGTTCCCAGAGTAGCATCCCATTCATTATGCAATATGCATGTCAAAAACATGTAAACAAGAAAAATTTCTCATGTGAACAGAAAACGCTCAAGCTCGTACATTTCGTCATGAAAGGGGTCGTCGCTCGGCCCATAGAATTGGCCATGGCGGCGGCCCACTGTCTGGCTCGAAGCAGGTGCATGGCAGGAAGTAGAACAGGAAATAATCTACTCCTCCATGTGACCAAAGACGCCGTCGTCATCGTCATCTGCAGGGGCTCGGCGGCTGCCAAAGTCGACATCTGCGTTGCGTCGGTGACGGGACTCCCGAGCGGTAGCCTCGTTACTGCCGTTTCGTGCGCCACGCTCATCCGACACCTTGTATGAGAGTGATGGATTGAGCGAGGCGGAGAGGAAGGCATCGGCATTGGAGTTGCGGCGATAGGCCTCGTTCATCGGACCGGGGCCGGAGTGACCCAAGCCAGGGCTCAAGTTTCCAGGCTGGCTGCCCGAGTCGAGGTAACGAGCCGGCAAGGGAGGGACAGGAGGCACATCCGGAGTCATAGCCACTGGTCCCGTGCGGGGAGTGCCGAAGTTGCACAGCCCGATGGCGGCTGCCAGATCCGCCTCGTCATCCTCGTGAAGTCGGGTGTCTGCGGTGGAAGGACGGGTGTCGATGCTCGACTTGCGGAAGTGAGAGAAGGCAGGGGAATGCAGCGGGGCACTGCCGTTGTACGAGCTGGAGGGGATCGACTGGTAGGAGCGAGAGAAGGCGTTGCTGATGCTGGGGCGCTTGGTCCAGTTCGCTGGCATGCCAGACATCTCAAAGTCGTCGTCTTCCTCCTGCTCATCCATCGGGGGTGGCGTGGTCTCGGCGGAGCTGATCCCATCACGCACGACCGAAGAGGCATCTGGCGAAGCGGAGGAGAGTTCCGACTCCGCATCGGGGGACTGTTCGGGGGTGTCGTCGTCCACGTTCATGTTGACCAGCACTGTGGCAGCCTCGAGCAGCTGCACTTGCTGGTGCTTGGAAATGAGTAGTTTCGAGGTAATCGACCATGCTGGGTCATGTTCCCACCTAATTTGCCACAAAAAATTTACACGTCAACCGGATGCCACCAGAAAATTGTGGGGGGGGAACGAGGAAGATAAAAATGGTAAAGTAGTGAGGGGAGATTGAGGGAGGAATGACGACGAGAGGGGGGTTGAATGACCACGAGGGCGACCTGCACAGAGCCGACATGGTGCATACTCCCGATCGAACGAGAAGACGGCCGGGCGACATGGGGGATACACACATATGCTTGGACAAGCAGCTGCCATGCTTATATCCTTTGCCGCAACGGTCGCAGCGGAGGTCCGCGGGGTTACGCTTCCCATCGGTCTTCATGTGGGCACCTTCGCTGGCTCGACGGTTGCGACCCTTGGGAATGGGCTTGCCGTCCTCGTCGGAGTTGCTGGGAGAGGGCTTGCGAGCGACTGGTGGTTCCTGGCTGGGGCTGTTCATACTTCGAGACAGGTATGAACTAAATCCAGAGGCACCTCCGACCGAAGTGGATTCCAGTCCCTTTCGGGCCCCCAGGCTCCGACGATGCGCAGCACCCATGGGGAGCGAAGCGGCCTCGCCGCCTTCCTTCATCGACGCGGCGATCGCGGCCGCGGCATGGGCTGCGGCGGTGGTCACACTCTTGCGGCGGGTTATGCGGTGGTTGGCATTGACGGCACCCAGCGATATCGAGTGAGCGTGTTGTCGTGGGGTGGTGTTGGGGAGAGGACGCGAGAGGGACAATTCCTGGGTGGGTGGCAACACCATCAGTACATTGAACGGCGACCGAATGTGGGAGGGGAGGGAGGAGGAGAAAGAGGACTCAGGGCCAAAGCCAAGAAATTGGGAGTCGGCATTGAAGCCACATACTTTGAACGAAGCCATCGTGAAGGACTTTCTGGCACCTTTTTTTGAAAGCCCTTGGAGTGAGGAGGCACGCTCAATTCCGGGTGGAAGTTGGTGGAAGTATACGGAGATTCGGAGGGTCGGGGCGGGTAGTGGCCGGGGTTCGGACGAATCGAGAGTGTATATGGGAAGTGGTGGGAAGAGAAGGAGTTGAGAGAGAATCGAAAGGGAAGTTCGAATGAAAGCAAGAAGCGAAGAATCCAGGGAAAAGTGAGGAGGAGAGGGGAAAGGAAAAAAAAAGTTAGGAACCTAAAAAAAAAAGCAGGGGAGGAGGAAGAGGAGAAAGGAGGAGGAGGAGGAGGAGTCTGGGTACAGTACCGCGAGTCCAAGAGTCCAAGCCCTCCGGTATGGTGGTGGCCCACCAGAAATCGCTCATTGTCTTTGCGGGGGCTTTTCCCTTTGAGCATGCGGGGGGGGGAATCTCCGTAATCATGGTATTCCCATTTATTTTTAAATGTAGTACAAAACGACTGATTGTTCTACAGTTATACCCGAATATTCTACGACTTTTTGTGGTCGACAGGAGGGAGGAAAAAAGAGTCACCTAATATCTACTCGTCGCTATCGTGGGCCATTTCTGTGTGTGTGTGTGTGTGTGTGTGTGTGTGTGCAAGGCGACAGGCTGGATGATGCGATAAACCATGGCTCCACTTCGCTTCTGGGATTCCGGGACCGACACAGAACTGGGAAACCTGCCTGTGCCGCCCCCTCTGTTGAAACTGACATCAGGCGTTGGACGGATTTATAGAGGTCTTCCCCCATGCATCGAAGGGGATTCGAAGCTCCAAGGAAGGGAAGGGTGATGGCTGGTTCGAGGAGGGATGGGGATGGTGCGCACTTCCCCTCCAAATCCTTCCGCTATGGCGTTCTGCGCAGGGCAGAGTTCAGGGTCTTCCGGAGTATTGGCACGTCCTTCCAGGTACCCATGTATCTGGGGAAGGAGGCATGCGCAAGACTGCTGCATCTGTCCATCAGTCGCCATTGTTTTCATTGAGTCCTCCCGATTGTCAACGGTCATGTTTGGGCGACAGACAAAAAAACTTCTAAGCAGGGTGACTCGGAGGGAACATCTGTTGCCTGACGATCACCCGCCAGGATCACAAGGGGAGGGGTATAATCTGGGTAAGCGGGAATGGGAATCGGGTCTAGGTTAAGTCTGTCAGTCACTTCACTATACGGGGAAATGGTTTCCTAGCCAAAGGAGACAGCCGCAGACTGCTCAGGTACCCCCCCCCTCGTTCTGGTGATATCCTGTCCGTCCGACTCAGTCGTCAGAAGAGGTGCTCGTGTCCCGATCACCTGCATGGTATCGACCGGTCTAAGACCTCGTCCGGGTGGGGCCCAGTGATGTCATGGCCCAACCGGCCAACAACCGGGCAGACGTTCCATTTGAGGATCCAATCGACATCCAGTGGATGTTCAGTGCCAAAGTGGAGTCGGCGGATGTGGAAGGCGATAGGAGAAGTCACGGGATCAGGTGACTCACGCTCTGACCGGCCACGTCACGTTACTCCCGTACACTCTGTCCAAGGAATCACGTTACTCGGATCGATGTATAATCCCCTCGATGTGCAGGTGTCCTTGGAATAATAATATTGGCTGAAGATGAGGCTAGCGTGAGTATCAATCCAAACTCACCTAATTCCTGCTCTTGTTAAAATAGCTCGAGCGCCTAGGCCTAGTCCGACGATCAGATCTCCTCTGGTCGCGCCAGCCCGCGCGCTAACGCTAGCCCAAGAGGATCATTACTCCGCGCAGTCAAAGCCCCCCTTCAGGTGCTCCTGACTCCTGGACCGGCGTTCCAGTCCACGTTCCAGCGCTACTGGGAGTACCTACGGGGGAATTAGCTAGCCTGAAAGCGCCCCCGCAGTTAGCAGCTAGCACCCAGGTACCACCCGCGCCCGAGATGGAGTCGCGAGCTTTACTCCGTACCTTGAATCGCGAGTTAGTTACAGTACTGTAAAACAAGACGACTTAGTCATATGGGGCGATGAGATAACGCAATCACAAGGTCCCGATCGTTGGTAATGATAACTGCCTAACGAGCATGTCTATCTCTCACCCAGGAAACAAGACAGCCTGGCTCATTCCCACGCCCATCCCTCAGTCTGACACGCCAGCCCCAAACATTCTTCGCACAAACATGGGTTCCTGCGGCTGACGGGGGTGGGTGGCTATGCAGATCATGCTTCAGCTCAGCAAATCATGCCACCAACGAAGCTCCTCGAACAAAACAATCCTATTCGTAGGGTATTTTTCCGGGCTAATCTCATTGATGAGCCAATCATTTTGTGGTACTGGACATAAGATTTTCTCTGACAAATGCCAGCTGAACATCCCAGAAAAAGCAATTCTCTCGATTCAAGGAAAAAAAAAATGTCGCGCAGCTCTTGGGTTTCTTTCCTCCAATCTCATACCTTCCATTCCTATCTCCACTATGGACAAGGGTACGAAGACAGGCGGAGTACAAGAGGTCTTGTGTAGCGTAAATAGGGTGGGCCTTCCATTTGTATGTAGCCAACAGAGGCCACACGATTCACAGGGGTGCGATCATTGAGGGAGATACATAGTATAAGAGGGTATGACCCCTAGTCTCCAAGATTTGGCTGCACATACGATACCACGCTCGCATACTATTCTGTCTCTTTAACCTGGATGTAATCACGTTTGTGTTATCCGGCCAATTACGCTTTCATATGTGATACATCATCTTAGAGTCCCAGAGCCAGATCCATTATTGGCAAACCTTGAGACCTTTCTAGAACCAGCCGAAAAATATGTAAATATAGCCTTCCTTGAGCTTAGGCTTGTGCCTTCTTACTACATTCATGCCTACGACCAGCTCCTCGCATCTCCCTCACCACCACCATTATTGAACCTCCTACGTCAACAACAGACTTCCATTGACGATGTAGAGGCCTGCTCGAACACATAGTCCTCAGTAGATCTCTAACATGCCTTTTTGGCTCGGTGCATCTCTGACGATATGTTTTCGTCCGACAATGGCCCTCGCCAGCATCTGCTCTACTCGCCCCCGCGCTATGCCGAGCTGAAAAGCATAGTCCCATCCTACCCCCTCCAGGCTAAGAAGTTGGAGGTAGTTGTGGGACATTAGAGCAGAAGCAACCGAAGGAGGACAGCTGTTTTCACACTTTCTATGAATTGCAAGGAAAGTCGCCGCGGAAGAGTTCGAGGATGGAGAGCGCAAAACTCATGGACAAGCAGTCGACCGCACAGAAAGTGGCTCCTTCGATTTGGAGTGTATAAAAACAAGATGGTGATTGACCTCGACGGTTGTCCTCAAACTTGTTCGTCTCCAAAGTATTCAATTCCGACCTTCGAGTTGGATAATATCCTCGCCAGGTGCTACTCTGTCTTCCCTATCCTTCCATCGCTTTCTGGTATAACGATCCTGATGATAGACTTGTACGGTAGACAATGAAGACAAAAAAGTGTCAAATCCTTTTATATATAGCATTTCTTCAAATATTTGCCATCAATCACTCAACCCGCTGAAAACACACCGTACAAACACCCTGCCCTTCCTGCCCCCCAAACCTAAATCGCGGATACTCAACACGCCCCCAAAGAACCAACCGATCCCCCTCCATCCCACCAACAAACCACTTCATAAGCTCCTCCTCCGTCCAATTGCAACTCGTCACAATCAAAAACCCACCCTTCCGGACCAACCGTCGCGCAATATCAGGATACCGCTCACACACGCGCGTCGCCTTGGCATCGTCCGCCAGCGAGATCGCGTCGAATGTCCCCTTGTCCAGGACGATATCGAAACCACCTGCGTCGTAGGGGAACCAGGGGAGCGTTTCATCGCTAGAAGCGGGAGTCACAGTCACGCCGGACTCGGAGAGGAGAGCCTTGGAGCCGAGGATATCCCATTCTTCGAATTGGATAGGTGCTGGTTCGGGGGATTCTTCGCCTGTATCCGTCCGATTCTCTTCTTCCACCTCATCCTCGTCATCTTCTTCATCTTCTTCATCCTCGTCATCAGTCCTATACGCAGAATGCCCCCGAGCCCGCTGCAACTCCCGCGCCAACTCCACACTCCGCGCCGAATAATCAACCCCAACCATCTTCCCCGCGAAACGGCCTTTCTTCCGCAACAGCGCGAGCATACTCCCGTTTCCCGTACCAAGATCCAAGATAGACGGTTGCGTCTGGCCCTCTGCATGGGTATTCGTATTCCGCGGTGCGAGCGGGAATGATCGTCTCGTTAGGAAGCGGAGGACTTTCTCGGGTGCGTTATGCTCGGAGAACCATGATGTGCCGGGGTCATCTTCGTCGTTGACATCGGAGGATGCGTCCGAGTCTGCGTCGGAGGATTCTGGTTTTGAGTCTGGCGCGGCGTCGGCGTGGGAGATGTGTGCGAGTGTGCGGGCGTAGTAGGTTTCCCAGCTGTTGGCGGGGTGGGGTTAGTTAGGTTGCATATTTATCGGGATGAGTGGGAGGTAGCTAATTGGTGTAGGATATTCTATTTGGGGGGTTTGGAATGGGAAGTTGACAGCGAATTCAAGCTTCTCGATTGCGTAGGTAGTTCGTGTTGCCCCATCCTCCTCTTTGTGGAGGGGAGAGGAGGGGCGCAACGCGGGGGCTTTTGGGTCGACCTTTCGTGTCCGTCTCCGGGGTTTGCGTAGACTCAATGGTACTTACTAGTCCTTTGTGCCCAGCTCACTGGGTGAGAGATAGGCTGGGTGTGTATCTTCTGCCATTATCTGTGGTGATTGACAAGTGGTACAGTATTTGCTGCGAGGGAAAAATTTGGGTGAGAGTGCGGAGGACGTTGCCTTATCTGTTATCGATTTCAGCCCCAAATTGATACTTATCAACGCCGCCCGCCGCCTGGAGTACCGAACCGTGGTTAAGCTACGATTGTTTACAGGCTGATTTACAAAGGATGTTGGGGAGAAAGTATTCAAGCTCGAAGCTGTTTCATTTCTATAGTCGGACTGCGCACAGGGGGTATTTGTCATTCCTTTCCCTCGACCCAACTGCCCAACTGCCTTCACAGATCCAATCTGGATACCTGAGCACAGGCCGAGAGATCGAAGGAATAAATAAGCACACGGAAAAGACAGAAAAGATAGAAAAGGTTGAAAGCGAAGGCCTTGCCGCGAGGGGCAGGATGATCAGATAAGAGATGAAAATAAAAGGTAAAAAAGATGAAAAGCGATGGTTGTGATGGACGATGCAGTCCAATCAATGCATAAAAGGAAATGGGGCCAAGTCATCTTCCCCGTGAAATAATATTACAGGTACCAGGGTCGAGGAAGATAGACGAGAGTCTTCCGCAAACACCCACGGCATGAGAAAGTGCTCATGCTAGTGTCGCCGGGAATGGTTTGACGATGGCGAGAAGGAGAATAGAAGCGATAGAGGGAGCTCTGGGCGAGAGAAGGGGCGCAGCGCCCACCCATGCATTCCGGTTTTGAAAGAGAAATCAACATGCGACATGCGAGTCGAAAGGTGATGAACGACAGCAAAGCCTGCTTTGGTCATGGAAATCATCAACCCAGTCAGGATAGGGGTATATGACTGGAGAACAGAATTGAAAAAGCTTGGAGCGACCGAAAGGAAGAGAAACGGGAAAACGGGCCGCGAATGAAATGAAGAAAATACGATCCTGATGTCAAGGATCAAGAAGACATGCAAAAATGTCGAGGTCGTGGAAATCATGTCAAAAGCCTGGATTTTGTGCACAGGTGAGAGAGAATTATAAGAACTCATCAATGTTCCTCAGGATCATACGCTCTCCTCCAACGGGAGGAGAACGGGGATCGGCGGTGTCTTTAGCATATTGCACCGAGCTAGCGCTTTCGGTCATCGTGGTATCAAGTCCCCGAGAAGATAGTGACGGTATGGGTAGAGGCGGTGCAAGGAAGCCGGTGGTTCTTGGGGAGAAGAAGCCAGCACCTGGATCGGGGGATCGTGGAGCATCACGAACGAACACGTGAGTCTGGACGAGCGGATCGCAGCTGCTGACACTTCGTGGTAGACCGCGTGGGCGACCAGATGCAGGCTCCACAGACTGAAACTTCTGTCGGAAGGGCAGTGGGCGTGGGGACAAACTGCGCTTGGGAGATCGATTCCCATTATCACTAGTCCTTGGGCGCAAGGAGTTGGTCGGTGGGGTGGAGAGGTACCCAATTGACGGCGCCTGTGAAAGACCGGCAAGTGCCGGTCGCTGCTGAGCCTCGACTCGCTCCGCACGAGTAACTTGAGGCTCTGAGCTTCGGCGACCAGTTTGAACAAACCACTCGCGAGGAGCTGGTCGCGAGGAAGGAGATCCTCGCATCAAGCGAGACCGAAAGTCGGTGAGTTGGTAGATGAGGCTCATGTTCGGTCCCACCCACTGGCTGCGTCCCTTGACCAGTTCATACACCGAATTAAAATCCAAATTTCGATTCTTGTATAATCCATACGCGATCACCAACGAAGCTGAGCGACTTGCGCCCAACTGGCAATGAATGAGGACTCTTTTACCCTGGGCTATCCTGTCGTCAACCAGTTCACACAGAGGGAGTAGATCGTCAAGGATCTCCGAGTTGTGATCCCAGCCAACGTGGATGTACTCGGGGGTAGTAGATTTAGGTGTGGGGGTGGTCGGGGTCGCGGACCCAGATTCTGAAGGCAGGTACTCAAACGCAGACTTGAAGGATATTTCAGAAATGGCAGTTTGGGGATCCCCGCCAGAGAACCGTTTCGAGGCCCTGGAGGCGTTGCGCCACGTACTCATGACCGTATCATTTCGCGCTTCATTTGCCGTGTTGAAGGGATTCTTGACTTCTTTGGCGACATTAATTACCACGTCGAATTGACCAGCTTCCTCTGCTGTAGGTTCCAGGTACAGGAACACGCCAGTGTCATATATCCGAATCGGTCCATTGGGATAGCCGCGGTCGGTGCCACGAGTAGACTCCCGCGAACCCGTGGGTTCGTCCTCTTCCGCCAGTTCGGGAATCACGCGGTGAGAGAAAGTCGAGCCATCATCGGGCATGGATGTCAACGGAGAGACAGCATCTTCAGATGACGTGCCCGATAGGCGCCGGATGCCGTGATGCGACGTTGGTCGAGGAAGTTGCATACCACCTCGCGGGGCGAAGCCGGGGGACGTGATCGAGGCAAGGGAGGGTGATGATTCGGTATGCCGCAGGGACTGGCGTCCCAGAGGGGTCGGAGGAACCAAGTCGGGAACATTGCTAGTGAATGATTTGTCGAAGCCCGGGGTGAGGATGGTGAGGTTTGCAGGGCGCCGCCGGCTACTCTTTGGAGGAATCTGAATGGGAGAGGGTGGGGCGGAGAGGTGATATTTTGACGTAGTCTCGATCATGGATGCAGTCGCAATAGAGGGTCGGGACTGCGAGGGCAAGGGCATGCGTAATGAGAGGTTCTTTAGGTTGCGTGCTCTTCGACCGGGCGAGTCCGGGCGCGCAGGGTTTGAAGCTGGCAATAACCTGGAGCTGTCGGAGATCATGGTGGACAGTGGGGCAACCTCCACCGGGCGGAGATGTGGTGTAAATTTAGGATAAGATAATGGCATTGCCGAAGGGGTCTCTGGAGAAGAGCTTGGGGAAATATCGCCCGTGGAGGGAGAGTCGAACGGTGAGATGGTGTTGGTGGGTGAGGACTCCGTTGAGCCCGAGGTCATGGACGAGATACTTTCGCGATGCACGGAAGGAAGGAGTCGTCGCGACGAATTCGTATTGACTGGAACATGGGCTGGGACTTGGAGTGGATGAATCGTATGCTCGTCCTCTTTATAGCACGAAGGGAATCCACCATATACCGACATAAACGATGGGAACGAGTCCGGGAAGGACGGTGGACTTGTTTGTACCGGCATGATTCGGGCCACTTCGCGAGAGGCGTGGGGGGAAAGGCTCAGGTTCCTTTCCACCTGTGCTTGAAGGAGGGGAGGAGGAGCGTCGTGTGCACCGAATTTAGAGAAGCATTCGGATCGAAGACAGGATAGGGTTGTCGCCTGCGCAATTAGGGAGGGAGAGTATCTCGTTCTTCGGCAGAAAGGGTATCACGTCAGCTTTGAGGCTTGAGGATAGTTCGGGAATTGAAGTCAAGCGGGCGCAAGCTGCAAGGGCTGAAACTAATGATCGGCATCCACGCAGACCAGACGAGAGCAGGGGAGATGGAAAAACATCCGCAGGCACGAGTCTTATTGTCCAGGAAGAGGACTTGAAACGATGCACGATGGGGGTGGAAGAGCGATCGTAGATTCGGGCTTCAGGTGGCTCACATACCAGATTCTCAAGCCACAGCCGATCCGTCAAGGTTGAGTCCAGTATAATGAACATTCAAGTCCGTTTGGAAAGCGTTCAAAAGGGCGTACGGTTGAAAGGGGTCAAGGAGCGACAAGGAAGAAATGAAGAAGAAACAAAGGTGATGATTGAAACTCCCCCGAGAAGAATGGACTTGGAGCGGGGAGAAGAAAGCCCTTGGAAAATAGTTGAGGGGGGGTATGGTCGTTCCTCCGGGGAATGACGGGAATGTAAAGGAGAGTTATGGAAACAAGAAACTGGATCGAACTGTGAAGAAGTCCCCGGACCGAACGAAGAGGGTGAAGAGGAGGAAACCTGAAAGGGGAGTTTCAAGAAGAAAGGGAGGGGAGAAGAGGAAGAAGAGAATAAAGGCTGAAGAGGGAGACGGATGAGGGTGAGGCGACTTGGTGGAAGCCGCGAAAATAATCATGGACCCTTACTGGTGTTATTTATTTATTTATTATTATTATTATGATATTATTTACTGTCCATACTACTGGCATACATCCAGTCCATGATTCTGATTCGAGCTTGGAGGCTCCTGCTCCAGTTCAAGATCCCAGGTAGGAATAGCGGGAGGTCGACCAGAAAGATCGAATTTCCAGTATGTATTACTATTATTATGATTCTGATTATTATTATTTTTCTGATTGTGGTTACTGTATTTTCTGATAAATAAAAAGGATCAACTAATGGGAGGACTCGTAACCACTATTCTACCAACTCTGGTACGGAGTATCCGGTATGATACTGTATGGGATACGACGATGTTTTATAGTTCTGAGGACGAAGGACTGCCCTTAAGGCTTGTGGTAGTACTCCTGGGCTCCATCCCAGTCAGAGATCTCCGATTGCAGGCCCACTGTAATTTAAAGGAAATCGTGTTTCGGGTGACTTTCTGTCGAAGTATGGAGACGCAGGACTAAAGAGAAGCCGTTCGATCGAAGTATATTGCATGGGACCAGATGTACTCGGTACCTCCAACAAGGCTGTGTATCTCCCCCTCCAACTGAGTATGGAGTACCACTGTCAGACAAACGTTACCTGGTCGAGGCGGACGGGGTGGCTTCCTTGTAGCTCTAATTTTAGCCGCCGAGGCGTCGTGAGTTGACTCGGCGCCAAACGCACGCAGGTGAGAGGCCCATGCTGGCTGAACCCTCCCTTTCACACTCGTCACGACCATGATGGACCGAGTATGATGGTTGATTGATACGTTCCCAAGCCTTTGATCTATACTTCTTCTATACTTCCTTTTTGGACAGTTCTCACAACTGTACTCCCGTACTCTGTATAGTGGCATGCGCTTCATTCTCGATGGCGTGCGAAATGTCCCAGATGTCTTCCCCTCCCCCCCCCCCAAAACCCTAGGATCCACCTTGAGCCTGGAGGTCCCACCAACAGCTGCGCCTTGGGGAGATGTTGAGTGAGGAGGATGATTATTGACTGGCGGAACATCGCTGGACTGTCCCTACGGTCCATAGAGGCGATTTAGTAGCGTTCTTCTGTGCGACATTGACTGTTCCATTATGCAGCTCTTTCCTGGTGAGTGTATATTCACGTCGGCATCTGTAAGATATAGAATCTCTCAGGATGTATCGGAAAAAATACATCCAGTAGAACGATAAATACAGCAACATCAACAACAACAATGGCAAGTGGTTTCCAAAGATCCGCGCTTCGAATACCCAGAATATGCCCAGAAAGTCCGGGCACGTTACGTTGCCTGATTCGAGAATTCCAAATTTGGTCCTATCCGAGCCGTCCTGGTGCACGGTTCCCTGTTCACGGGCTGGAGGGAACCTGCCGCAGGGATGATTCAAATTTCAATAGGATCGAGCGGGAGCTTAGGGCACATGGTGCCCCTGCACCTAGCCGTCTCTCTCTCTGTCGAAGGACTCATGGAGGAACATAAGACGTAATTAATCCGGTGTATTCGAGTTATACGCTGTTCCTCTGTATGAAATCTGCGTATTGCTACTGTACGGCACACACACACGGCTCATCGGGTGAACGGTGGGCGGGCTGATCCATGGGAAACACACTGGGATGGTCCGCTGAACCAGCAAACTGCTGAAATGAAAGGGCGAACAGAAAGTCTCCGACCCGCTAATGTAGCATGGATTCCTCCGATAAGTCAGGTCAAGGGTATATTTTTTACCAGGTACTAACAAGGCAGTGGTAGACTACTCATAGAACCATGTATATAAGCTAGTTCAGCATTTCGTACTCCGTTCATAATGCAATATCTCCATGGACTAAGTAAAATACGGTTTTTTTTTTTTTGAGGGGCAAATAATACACGCCCTGACCCAACATCTGAAACCCCGGAGCCTGATGGATCTGAGGAGGCGGTTCTGAAACACACCAGCCCGGCGCTAGTCGACACTAGTTGCCCTTGGCAAAGGCAGCATGCAGCCTATCGCCGTTGATTATCACCTTGGCCTGGCTGCCGTCAGTCGATACTTGCTGATTTCGGCGATCGTTGTGAACTTGGTGTTGTGCATGGAAAATTGGCGTGCTGATTGATGGACACCGCAGGGTAAATGGTATTGAGGATGTCATTCTTCTGATCTCACTCACCTTCTTTCTACAGTACACTGGTTATACCCATCGTTGTGGCAGGAGATCGTTACTCTGCTTCGTTTATTCGTGACTTTCTCAGCACCAGCATGACCAGCTGAGCCCGAATCTTTTCCAGTCTGTGAGATAAGGAATGATCGGCCTGCCCACGTGGAAGTCCTGAAACTTGATCCATGCCTATCGCGGCGGAGTGATGGTGGGCATGGCGTTCACAGCCCTCAATAGACTACAGTACTCCGTTCTCGTACTGTACCTTGTAAGCAGTAATCTCAAGCAGTCTTAGCGAATCATTTTTTAGATACCATGGAGGTATTCAGCCCATCAGATGGAAGCCTGCCTGCTACTACAGTACATACTGTAGCTGACTGTACCGACCTTCTCGAAGTAGTCTATGATCAACAGCTCTCGCTAGACCAACCACACCCATACCCCCTCTACCAGTTTGATAACTACTAATTCTGCCAGTCGCCTGCTACACTTCCCAGTCTGTATCATCTCCAGTCAGCGCGTCCCAAATAGATTGCAGTTCCTAGCCGCGGATCCTTCGTGAACGCGAAACGTTTCACAACGAACCCAATAATTCTAAAAATATCAAACCGCAGCCCCATCCCCCCCCTTAACCAACAGACTGTCAGAGCCAGGATAGGTCAAGCTTACGTTGCTTCGTGTTTCGCCTATGTTTCGGGCCCATTTGCCACCTGCTCCTGGGAGTTGTTTCGGTTACCGAGCAGGACTTGTAGGGAAGGGGGGCTGCGGGCGCCTGTTTGAAGTCAAGTTTCATTCCGGAGGATACCCCTGGGCATAATGATTGGTGGGTTCGTGGGTTGATGGAACGAGTGGGCTGTCCAATTGATGCTTGCTCCAGGTAGAATATATAGTAATAAGTAGAGGTTCACCGGCCAACCAGCGCTATGGCCAGTCTCGATATTAATTCTGGAGGCTGTGCTTGAGCCAATGGATCGTTGCCGTATCAGATATATTCTGAAGCTACATGAAAATACTACTGGCTATATGGGGGCCAGAACAGGACTCCTGGTCTGGTGTCTTGATGAGGCACTGCAACCAAGTTGAATTGCGGTCTTGACTAGAATCTCACTGAACTCCGTGCTTGTATACGAGACGAGAGCCGCTTGTTTACGATATAACTGAGTGCCTCAGCTACAGTGCTGTGCATAGCCGAGGGGAGAAATTACGAATCACTCTCTCCATCGCTAGTATCAGACTTGTCGATGACTGAAAACGGGCACTGCTTGGGAAGTATATTGCCGGCCTGGGCAGTCGTTTGCTACGACAGAGAGATATCGTTCTACTCCTGTACTTGGACTTGTGTTTTGCATGGTCAAACCAAGTGCGAACCTCTTCTTGATTGGGCACCAAAGATGCAACATAATCCAAGTTGAAATAGTATTCCAGCTCTCTAGTCAGTTACTATATTTTGAACATCGGCTGCGAGATACGGTATGGAGTCAATCTCTGCATCTTCGGGGCTCAAGGAATATCTTGCTGGTTATCATGAGAGGTAAGCATGTAGTCTATTGGTCCATACAAAACAAGTCTCAATCGTCGCATAAGAAGTGCTCCCGTCGCGTCTAGATTGTCCTCTTCCCTCTTCGGTCTCCATACTTGACTCCAGATTCCGGGCCTGAAAGGATACTCAGACAACAGTCTGAACGTGACGTGAGCCACGTGGAAAAATTCTCCGCAAGGCAGGTCAAACAGATTGAAGAGAATCAAAATTCCACATAATAATAATAATAATCACTCTGGATGTATATCCACTGTACTTCAGAATAACGGAAGATCCGGCTATGGGGATGTCGGCTCCGAGTCCGTGGCTCCTCTGGTAGGCGAACCATGGTTGGCACCTTTGTTTTGTTGTATGACTGGAAACGGTGGGCATGAAACAATCTTCTACTCCATAGATTATTGTACAGTCTTGATTCTGTTGGGACAACAAAATTTCTGCAGGTTCTATGGTCTGACCTTCGCAGATGGTTGGAAAGGGATAAGAGGATCGATTGCCTTCACTTAGGCCCTGCTAACGGCAGCAGGGTCCCTATTGGACCAAGTATTTGAATATATGGGGCTGTACTTCTGCAACCGTAGCCTTCATTTCGAGAAGTCTTACTAATAGCAGGGTGATAACTAACTTAGTTATAAGGAGATTAAATCAATCTCCCTTCTATGTGTTCAAGATGAGCAAGAAGATGATGTGCAGGCTATCTCAAAAGATGATTGAGAACCTGGATAAGAATAAGTCTCGAGAGAATAACTGGGCATTGCAAAAGACCCTGCCAGAGGTATAACCCGAAAGTGATTGAACCAAATCCTTTTAGCTGTATCAAACAGTAGTCCTTCATCGTGCGTAGGATCACGCCTGAGCTTTCTGCTCAAAGAGCCGTAAGAGCGGGCCTCGCCTCGCCCACAGTCTAATTTCCCAGCCACATGGATATTGTTCACTCGGTAAACACCCAAAAAAAAAAAAGCAAAAAAAAACAAGAACAAAAAGCAAAGTCTTCCAGAAATCTCCAAGGTCGACACATCAGAACTGAGTCTTTCATCACACTCGTGCGATTTGACGGTGTCACTTGGGACATTCTTGTTTGCAGCTGCAGTAATGTGCCGGGTGATCCACGATGCATACTCCCCAGTAGCTTTCCCCAGACCTACTTCGTGAAAGCAGCGGTGACCCGCGTCATTTCTTCCCGCAGCACACTGGCACTTGCAGACGAGCTTTTGCACAAACAAGGATCTTGGGATCCCAAGTCCATCCTGGAACCCGCTTTGGATCCTTCGATCCTATTCAATCATGGCATGGACTGGGACAACAAGCACCAGAACAGCCAACGGCCGCCCGTCGCTTCATCACATTCGGCCCAGCTTAGAACCGTGGGCGGGCCCCACTGGCACGACGGCCGCTACCACTGGTGAAACGTCTGTTCCCGACTCTGACACTCTGACCCCCAAGCGCTCCTCCTTATTGCACCGGTCGCACCAGTCTCGACGATCCGTTCCAAGCTTTCACATCCCCAGCCTCCAGAATCTCACAGCTTCAGATTTGGCTTTGGGGTTGGCGTCGACTCCCACTGCGAAATCATCCGCAAACTGCAACAACCGCAATTCCGCACCCGTCGTCGCATTCTCGCCCAACGTCTCCTCAGGTCCCAATGCCGGGCGACCTCAGAAAGACTCTCTCTCCCCTGTGCTTCGCCCTGATGTGAATAGCACCATGCCATCGAGTGTGGCATATTCCGAAACGAGGACCCTGGCGAGCGATCATGGTCGCACCTTAAACGGTGCTTATCGATTGGGGTCCGACAATAACAACACCCCGGAGATCGACGACGGCCGCCCCAAGAACGAAGATGTCTTCCTGAACATCGCAAGGACAGACTCGGGTCGCCGCGACTCCCTTGGTCGGTCGGATTTTAGACGGGTGAGTGGCCTTCCTACGCGCAGAGCAGGACTTGCTTCGTATGCCGCGAACTATTGCGCAACCCCGACCCTTTCTCCCGAGACGTGGAAGATAACTGACGGCGGAGGGGGTGAGAGTAAACAGTCGCGACTTGGATATTCTACTCAAAGCCTTCGGTCGCCAACCACGCGTGCCGACCCAGAACAAACCCCTTCCCCCGACCAACGCTTCAGCAACGCCGATAGCCCCTTGCCCGCCATCCACTCGGCCTCGGTCAACCTCTCCCCATCCGCTTCTGCCCACCCTCTCGATGACCCAGCTCGCTTCCGCTACTCGAGTCTGACCACCGGCTCGCGATCGGTAATCGGCGCTCCGCGCAGCAGACTTAGTCGAACGAGTCCAGAGACCTCTCCGCGTTCACCACCAGTCAACGGCGAGCGACGGCCATCCATCCACGAGCCGCGCCTACGACATTCCACACTATCCACAATTCGAAGCAGCCGCCAACCGTCCACGTCCGAGACAACGGAGCGCGCACGAGGGGAGACGGACAAGGCGCGCGATGGTACTGAATCTACTCTATCGACCAACGCACCTTCTACGGTCTGGGACGAACTAGACGACCTAAAGTCCCGCATCCGCAAGCTGGAACTCACCGGCAAACTGCCGCCGTCCTCGCAAGAAGCGATTTCCGGCGCAGCTCAGGAACGACCGCGAACTGCAGCAACCACGGTGACTGCATTGTCGACTTCTCCGAGACACCACCGCAAAGTCAGTACGCCCTCGGCGGACGCTGACTATGCGGCGCAGAGCCAAGTTCATCCACTCTTGCAGTCGGCACTGGCAAAAGCCAAAGATGTTCTGACTAGTGACGTGTACACGGCGCTAGAGGTGACCATCAAAGATGCGTTGACGCTATCCACCATGTTGGGCGTCAATATAGCTCCGTCGGGCACGGTCTCCGTCGTGAATGGAGGGTACACCTCGTCCGAGAGACATGCCCGCCGCAAAGCAGACAGCGTGTGTCGCAGCCTAACCGAGCTGTGTCTGGCTTTGACAGACAAGCAAGTGCAGAGAGATCGATCAACTTCGACGAGCCACGTTCCGGGAGCGCAACCTCAGCGGGCGAATGGCCGCGACAATGAATCCTTGGCGCCGGGGCTATCCTATCAACGAGCTTCCAGTCACGAACCAGAGGGTCTTGAGCGGCGTCCAAGCACGAGTAGCCGCATGTCCAGTCGCCTAGAAGCACGTAGACTGTCGTTGATCAACCCCGCTACTGCAACTGCGGCAGAGAGCAAATTACCTCACTCACCTCACTCGCCAAGTGTGGCTCCTCCTCCAAGTCGTCTCCATCGCATGTCGGCCTCTCTTCGCAGTCGCAGGCCACCAACTGATGAAGAGACCCCGGAGACCACAACCCCCCTAAATCGATCACTTTCCAGAGCCATGACAGAGGTGGGGACACCGAGTCCAGCGCAGAGTGTATCCCCACGACAGCGTTTATCCCATGGTGGTTCGGTGTCTCGCTCAATCCCGAGCGCTCAGCAGCAGCAGGAACAGCATGAGCCCCGTGCCTCGCAGTATCAGCAACACCCCGCCTCCTCTCAAACACAACAAGCTCAACCTCGAACCCCGACCACCTTATCTCAAACGAGTATTCCGTTCCGCCGCAGTTATATGACCCCGGCTGTCTACTCCCCTGCAACATCACGCAACAACATTCAGGCTGGATCTCGCCGGTATGGCCTCTCACCCAGTTTCTCCAGCACCACGCCGGGCTCTGTGGCCGAAGAGAGCCCTCGATCCTCTCAGCTAGATGCGTCCCAAACCCGCATCAGCGTGCCATCGGGCAAATCCGCTACCAGCTATACCCCCATTCAGCAACCTCGCCTCCGTACCAACAGCGTAGGCACGCGAAGATTCGGGCTGAGACGCCGCTCTGCCGCCACGCCCGACGACACCTTGAACTTGGACGACAGCATCGACTAACCCTTCTTGTCACGTTTTTCGCCCGGTACCGTGTCGCGTTATTTTCTGCTCTGCATGGCGTTGCAACCTCATCATGCATACCTACCAACTTGTTAGCAATCCGGTTACGCCTCCTTGATATCATATGTTCACGCAGCGTCCTTGCATTGATCTTATTTACGGAGATTTGTCTTCTGTTCGGCGTTCCGCTATCTTGTTCTTTAGACGTTTGTGCATGCATCCTGACTGAGTCTGGAGTCCTTGTCTGTCTGTCGCATTGTCCAGCTCAGCTCAATTCCATCCGTCCATCACCTTCAGCCAATCTGTGGCACTTCGACCTCTATCTTCGACATCGAGACACCGTTTCAGCTCTTTTCTTTGTGCGTTCTATCCCAGCCATTCGCACAATAGAAACCTGAGACGTTCTGGGCAGTCACTGCCTTGTTTCTATCATATTCATATTTTTTCTCGCCATCTGTCATTTCCGAACCTATTCGACCACCGGCCCTGGGACTGAGGACATGTCGGATACCGGTTTACGGATCCATTGATTGTACAAAACAAGCATCATAACCATCAACCATCACAACCGGCGTCGGTGTTCCAGTCCCCTTTTCTCTCGACTTCTCTGTACATCTTGCCCCGGACTCGTTGTTTTTCCATTCTCAGAGCGTTGCCCAGCTCCGCCATTTCTCTCATGTTATTCGTGCTTCTTTTGCCTTTGACCGCGCGCGGGTGGTTTCTTCACGCTTATATGGGAACGGATTTGATTTACGAATTGAACGAGACTCACTTTCGCATTCAACTTGCTTTCTCTACTCCACTACCTCTAGTCTCAGACCTAGTATAACTTCTTCTTCTTCTTGTAGACTAAATCACAATTTGCTCGGGAGCCTACCCCCACATTTCCATGCAACCCCGTGTGATTCCGTCGAGAAAGTAATCGTACTCCCGCGGGGAAAGAAGAACGTATCTCCTGCCTTTACAGTCGCTGTCTGTCCAGTCTCATCTCTGAACGTCATCTCGCCCTCGATGACCACGCCAACCTCGTCGTACTCGTATGTCGGGGGAGTGGACTCGGGTCCCTTTTCGATGCGGAACCATGAGCCGGTAATAGGGCTTGAAGTGTCTTTTTGTGTGCCCAGGTAGTCCGCTGGAGGTTTCGTTTGCTTAGAATGTGGCTGTATGAAGTGGTTTGGGTCAGGTATTTTACCGAAGTAGATGTTGGGTATGCCGTCGAACTTGGGGATTTTGAATATCTCTGCTTTGTTTTTGATTTGGAAGACCATTTTAGATTCTTGGAAGTTTGATGAGGTTTGAAGATAAATGGAAAGGAAATCTCGTATTTTCACTGCTCTCGTGTATGGGAATGATTGTTTTTGTAGTGCTATAGGATGGAAATGACCACTTGAACCCAGCCAATCGCATTCTTGCTTCGCACTACTTATCCAAATCAGGATAGTTTGCATGATCCTCCTCATTGGATGCATAACCAGCTATGAGATGTTAACACTAGCAAGAGACAAACATCATGTCAAATGTACTGTATGAAGGCTCTCATAATTTGTTTAGTTGCATCTCACCCAAACATAGTCTCCAACCGCTCATCAGCCATCACATCCGTCCAATGAACAAATTCCCCTATTGAGCTGCACTCATGTACAAAGGCTTGAATATCAGCTCTCATCCAAGTCTTCTCAATAACCTCCAATGCTCGAGCAACACCGCCCAATCCAACATGATTGTGTATCACATTCATTCGCTCTCGTACAAATTCCCGCCATTGGGCATGAGTATCGTCCTGAATGAAGATCGACATTAGATCACTGCAGAGACTACTTGTTGACACGTGCGAGAATTCTGCTTGATCTGGCTCTGTGGTTTGCAATGTACTCCCGGCTGCAATCATGGGAAGACATAGCAAGGCATTTACCCCCGAAGTGGTAGGTATGGTTGATATGAGAGTGAGAATGCCAATTGCAATAGCGATGATCCTTGTTTTGAACGACGTGAAATTGAAGGCATCACATTCGTCTGAAGTTAGATTCTGGAAAAGTTCTGGAAAGACTCGATAAAGTTCGAGAAGAGCCGTCAACCTGTATATTTGGGCCATCTTCTGCAAGTGGCTCACAGGTGTAAGTGCATCACCTGTGTCTTCGACTCTATCCGCCGAAAGGATCTTGTAACTGAGAAGAGAATTTTCAACGTCACGCGCCTGGGAGAGAAGCTCCACATGAAGTTTGTCATGAATTGCTGTTGTGGAAGTCGACACGGTGAATTTTCTAATGACTGACCGCTGTCGTCCAAGTGCACCTGCCTGGGCGAGATAGACAAAAAGAGGCGTTGAAATCCCTGTCCAAGGGTTGGACTGAATTTTCTTATTTCCACTCTGGTCAGAGATTGGCGTGAGGTATGAAACGGATTGCATAGGTTGGTCCATTAGAAATGATGCCATCGCCTCCCAATAAGCCATTGTGCCGACTAGGAAATTCTTATCGTAAGATAGTTTGTCTTGCTCTGGAGATGTTTTAGACGCGTCTGTGACACCAGCAAGCCATTTCTTGAAAAGAACTCGTGCACCGTGAAGATGAGTGAGTCCTAGAACAGACGGATTGTGCCAGCTCTAATTCTGCGTTAGCCTCAATTTCATTTGAGCAATTCGAAAAGAAGTCGTACATCAGTCATGCCTAGTAGTATGCATGCAAGCAGTGCGCGGGAGATACCCTCAAAGGACGAACATGACTTCAAGCTGGAATGTAGCTCCGCACCGAGGATTTCAGTACCAAGCCTTGATATAGCCTCCGCCCTATGCTCCAAAGCAACGGCCATCAAGTCGCTTTGTTGCCTAGCAGCCAAGTGTGAAGCTGACATGGATAATATGCAATGGTAAAGAAGTGGACAAGAGTGCATCGATTCGGCCACCCATACCCGAAATGGGTTTTTGGATGAGTCGAAACAACAGTTGATGCGGCAGATACTTGAGAAGTAGTGCCGAGAGAGCCGCGTACTCTGGTCTTCAATAGTTTGGGGAGACTTAATCAGATCATCCCAAAGCGTTTCTGTGTCTATGTGCTGGCCCTGTGAGATAGAATCAAGAAAGAAGTTGTCCATGCTGGGCCTCGAGAAAAGAAACGGCCCCAGAAGCTCATCCGTATCCAGGTTGAAGTCATTTGCATGTGAAGCGGTATCAAGAGCGTGATTGAAATGGTTTTCTTCAGGGAAATCTTCTCTTTCTGCAAAGAATGGGCTCCTGTGGAGCTTTTTGGGAGTCTGTGGTAGAGCATTTTCAGGTTCCCTTGTGTTATTTTCAGGGTGGCGCACGTTGTGGTTGAGATCCTTCAGATTGTATTTCGCGACATCAGTGTTATTCCAGGTTTCATACTTAGACGACCACTTCAGCGGTCGTACGTATCCTGGACAGTCGAGTGCTTTGCGCGTGCACTGGTTACATTGTGGCAAAGCTTCATCACACTTGATCTTTCTTTGCTTGCAACGGAGACAGCCACCTAAGCAACGATGATTAGCCTATTGATTCAGTTCATATTGTGAGAACTGCATCATACTCCGTGTCTTCCGTCGATTTCGAGGCAGTAGCCGGGCTTCGGACATTGTGAGATTGGTTGCACAGCGGACCGCAGTCGGATTGAAAGCCTTAGTTCCCCGCAACGCTGGGAATTGCGAGGTTCCAACACACCCAAGCAGCTGTTGATCCGATCACTGGAGATTTTCAAGATATATGAAGCCTCAGGAACTAACAGAGTATTAACTGGCTATTCAGAAGGCTACGAACCGGGGCTTGCTATAACTTCTCTTGCAATCGGGATCCAATCGAATAGTACCGCACTTTTTGTCCCAAGTCGGCTTAGTCGATATTGCGAACGATCCGTACAGACTGGGCCGCTTTGCACCTGGCTAAGACACATTTGCTTTACAAATGCAGCCGAGGTGTTTTTTGAGATGTCTTTAAAGAATTCTTTTGAAAGGGCTTTCCAAGCACCCTCCCTCATACCATTCGGATTACTTCGTTGGAAGATCTACTAATCGAGCTACTAATTAACCTCGAAGAATCCGATCGGCTGGCATCTTGTCGTGATGCCGAAACGCGGAGGACCACGCCGATCACACCTCAAATGATTCTGCTGCTATATCTCTGCAAGACAGCTCGACCTCAATGACTATTGATTTCTTGAAACACATGTCTTTCTTTATGTTATAATGGCCATGGTATATACTCAAAGCTCCTGCAAAACACAATTCGTTCTCGGCGCCTACTATGTGCGTTCCGTCGGAAGGGTATCCCGACTCCCCCTCACGATTCGGGTACTTTACGGCTATATGGCATCTTTTAGTGATGCCGAATCGCTGATAAATATATTGAACTCTTGCGTTTCTGGGAGATTTAATCGCGCTGAATTGCTGGAGTCGGCCAGGTCTAGCCGCGGAGTAGAAACCCTAATAACCGCCCTATATCTTGAAGCAGAAGACGGCAAGTCTGGGCTAGACAGAACAAAGCTTCTGCAACATCTGCCACATGCTTTCTTCCAGGGCTTGCCACCTGCGACGTGCAGGTGGCTATGGTAGAACCCTAGCAAACCGATATGCACGTTGCGAATTGCCAGCATGGGGCCAACAGCCTCGGCATGAACGAGTAAGATTGATACATTATACCTTCGTGTCAACAGGAAACTGACGAATTGGCTAGCTACACGCAGCCAGCTCTTTCGCAACTTCGTCAGACTATCTCGACCACTTGTATACCGCATGGCGTCACGATCCAACCTCTGTTCACAGCTCTTGGCAAGAATATTTCCATGCCATCGAGCATGGCCTCCCCACTCAGGAATCGGTCATTCATCACAGTCAATCGTCTTTCTCGCCAAGAGATCCGCTACCCTCGAGCTCAGAACTGCCAAAATTACCCTCACAGGCGGCTATTCAATTCAAGCTTGAGCGCTTGGTCCGAGCATATCAGGAGCTAGGGCACAAGAAAGCCAAGACCAACCCTCTTGATCTCCCGAGCACGCGGAATTTGCCTCCTGATGAACTGAGCCCCGAGTTCTATGGTTTGACAGAAGCAGACATGGAAAGTCATATTAGTCTTGGTCCAGGGCTGCTTCCGTATTTCGTTTCGGAGAATGTATCCACAATGACTCTCCGGGAAATTATCACGGCCTGCGAGACCCTGTACTGCGGATCAATCGGGGCGGAATACCTTCATGTGTCCACCCGCGAAGAACGAGAATGGATTCGCGAACGTCTGGAAACGCCCGTCCCCTATCGATTCGACCCAGAAGAGAAGACACGGATCCTTGACCGACTTGTGTGGACCACAACTTTCGAAAAGTTCATGTCCGCGAAATTTCCCAATGCCAAACGCTTCAGCATTGAGGGAGTTGAGAGTCAAGTTCCAGCATTGAAAGCCATTATCGATGCAAGTGCAGAGAATGGGGTCCGAGAGATCATCTTCCCGTGCTGTCACCGTGGGAAGCTCAATGTCCTCAGTAACGTGGCCAGGAAGCCAAACGCGTTGATCTTCAGCGAGTTTTCCGCAGACTCAATATCACGCCATCAAATCTCTGGTGATGTCAAGTATCACCTGGGGATGAATTACGAGCGTGAAACGCCATCTGGCAAGAAAGTTCATGTCTCCATCCTGCCTAATCCATCTCACTTGGAATCTCAGAATACGCTTGGCCAAGGCATGGCCCGAGCTGTGCAGCACCAGAATGGAGGTGACCGGAGATCTATCATGGTCTTGAATAGTCATACGGATGCCTCATTCTCGGGACAAGGTGTGATCTATGAGACAATGGGTCTTTCAGGGTTGAAGTCGTATGAGACTGGTGGCACGGTACATTTGATCATCAACAATCAGGTCGGATTCACCACCAATCCAGAGTCGGCCCGAGCATCTCCGTATGCCTCAGATATTGCGAAGACTATTAATGCCCCAGTTTTTCATGTCAATGCAGATGACGTTGAAGCAGTGGTATTTATCGGCAAGCTGGCTGCTGATTATCGTGCTCGATTTGGCAAGGATTGCTGGGTGGACATGATCTGCTACCGAAAGCATGGTCATAACGAGATGGACCAGCCCTTCTTCACCCAGCCAAAGATGTATGAGCAAATCAAGAAGAAAGTTTCCCATTTGGAGCTTTATGTCAGTAAGCTGCTTCGAGAGGGAATTGTGACTCGTGAGGAGGTCAATGAGATGGAGGCAAGGGTATGGGGGAAATGACAAAGAGCTTAGAAAACAGCAAGAACCCCCAGGCACTGGAACGCGAGTATCTTACCGCACCATGGAATGATATGAAAACACCAGCAGAGGTCGCTCAAGAAGTTCTTCCTACAAAGCCTACAGCAGTCACTCAAGACGTTGTCAATGCAGTGGCTGGAAAACTGGGTGTTCCCGAGGAGCCTTTCCAGGTACATAAGAGCCTTAAACGGATTCTTCAAAAGCGTCAACAGATCCTTTTGGAAGGCCAAGACATTGACTGGGCCACTGCTGAGGCTTTGGCAATGGGCAGTCTGTGTCTAGAAGGACATCATGTTCGAGTTTCTGGACAAGATGTGGAACGAGGGACATTCTCCCAGCGTCATGCCAACTTACATGATCAACGCACTGGCTCTACTTATATGCCATTGAACGATCTTAGTCCCGAGCAAGCGGAGTTTACTGTCGGAAATTCATCCCTGAGTGAATATGGTGTTATGGGATTCGACTATGGGTATTCTTGCATGTATCCAAATGCGTTGGTGGTATGGGAGGCACAGTTTGGCGACTTTGCGAACAATGCCCAGTGTATCATTGACCAGTTTATCTCGTCGGCCGAGAACAAATGGCTCATGCGATCCGGCATTGTGTTGTCATTGCCCCATGGATTTGACGGACAAGGACCTGAACACTCCTCCGCTCGGATGGAGCGCTTCTTGCAATTATGTGGAGAGGATGGTCGTTTCTTCCCCACAGCACATCAGCTCGAGAGGCAGCATCAGGACGCCAACATGCAGGTGGTTTACATGACGACACCCGCGAATTTATTTCATGTACTACGACGACAGATACACCGGGACTTCCGCAAACGTAAGTTTTGTCTTCGAGGCTCGTCACAATCCTAACTGACTCAATGTGTTGATATAGCTTTGATTCTATTATTCTCGAAATCACTTCTGCGTCATCCCTCGGTTAAATCCAATATCGAGGATTTCATCGGAGAATCTCGCTTCCAGCCTCTCCTTGCAGACCCAGCTCAAGGAAGTACGATTGCTGACCCTTCTGAGATTAACCGAGTTATCTATTGCTCGGGGCAGGTATACTTTGCATTGGACAAATATCGTGAGACCCACGGTATCAAAGATACCGCCATCACTCGCATTGAGCAGTTACACCCTTTCCCTTGGGATAAGGCCAGGGACAACCTCAATCTGTACCCCAATGCCTCGGACGTTGTTTGGTGCCAGGAAGAGTCGTTGAATGATGGACCGTGGTCCTTTGCTAAAACGCGCATGGAGACTATTTTCGACACAATAGATCATCACAAGGGTCGTCGGTTGCGCTTTGCTGGCCGTGAGGCAACTCCTAGTGTTGCGACTGGGTTTGCCAAAGAGCACCGGGCGCAGGAGGAGGCATTATTGAAAGAGGCGTTCCAACATTCGTAGGATGTTTGGCGAGACTTCGAAATAGGCTTTTGAGATGAAGAATTAGGTGTTTGTTTTCAGACAGTGATTGAGGACAGCTCCGTAATCTTGAGATGACCATTTTTCTCAGCCGTCACTTGAGCAGCCTGACCCGACCGATCTTGATAGCCAATATTCTGCCCATGTTGAAGAAGGTAGCGAGTAATTTGTTCATTTCCACTCGCTGCAGGTATAATGAGAGCTGATTGGCTCGAAAGATTCAATTTTGCCAACTCAGAACCAGTCAGCAACGTCTGCGCCTTGCTTGTGCAAGAATTAGACGGCCTCCTATCTTTCCGTACGAGCTGCTTCTCTTAAAGCCTCGGAGCCTTTGACGCGAGCCTCCCTCTCCACGAGAAAGCGAATACGCTGCATTGCAATTCTATGGTAATCATGTAAGCTTCAAGAATATGATTGAATAAATTGGTGGACAAGATACCATCATCAATATCTGCGCGGACCGTGGTTCGTATAGAGCTTTGTTCAGGAAAGATTTCATTTAGGTCTGCGCCGAGACCAAGCAGATAATCAATGTAATGAAGATTCTCACTTCACAGTGCTACTTTGATCTCCGTATTACCGAGCTGACTGCCTCGGGGGCCTTTTGGTTCTGCCCTAGCATAAAATTCAGGTTCCCGTTGACGAATCGCTTCTGTAAGTTGTAAAGAACCTTGTCGAGCTGCTGCTTTCAGAGAGTCCCACGGAACTGGGATGTCTTGTTGTTTTATAAATCCATCCCATAGATAATCGAACACCTCGATTTGTCCAGCCTCCGAGGCAGTGTTCAGCAAACGAGTACGGAGAAGGTTGTACGGGAGGGTTTGCTGTGTCCCTGAACTGCCAGTATGAAACGAAATGCGAGAGGAACCTCTGACCAGGATCCGCCAACCCCTGGAGGAAAGAATAGTTTCTTAACCCGTCTAACACATTATTCCAAGATGGCAGCAAAATGGAGTAGCTTCCCCACGGTTTTACCGTTCAAAGCCGGTCTTAAACATGCTCGAGATATTTTAGTTCACGTCTCTATCCTCCGTGGGAATTTTACAGACAGAGAGTGATCTGGGCCTTCCCTGTCTGAAAATGGCCGGATATAAGCAATGTTCCTCAATTGGAACAAACATGAGCACTTATGGTGGGAGCTCAGGGGCCAAATGATCGGCTCAGAATATTCAAGTTTCTACTACGGTGGCATGTCAGTGTGATCGACTTAGGCCTGGGTTTTAATCAACCTCCATAGCTAATGCAAGGCGCAGTTTTAGCATACTGTTAAGTATTCTAGACACTTGCAAGGGATACTAGTCACCCGGCATTGCTGACCAGAGCTATAGCTACGATAGAATACGAGATAATTGCAGGGCATACCATAACCTATCCGCTGCAGATAGGAACTTTCATTTTGGCATTTGGTGTACTCAGAAAATTCCGTGAAGATGTCAAGGACATCGAGGAAACTAAGATATCCGTCGGAAAAACAAAGGGATGGCACACGGAGATAAGATAGAGAGACGGTTTGAAGACGAGAATTAGGAGAGCAGAGAAGATAGAAGACGGATTTTTTTTTCGAGGTTTGAAAGGTACAGTCGGGGATAAAAGGGGTGGGTAGAGGACATCGCAATTAGAGCATGGTAAATGAAAAGGGTGAAGCTGGAGAGCGAGTATCAAGGGCAGTGTGAGCTGCACCCGGAGACAGATAGTTGGTGACGAAGGGGAGACTGAAGGTTTTTGAAAGAATATTGTGGAGGAAGAGGTAGAGACAGAGGAGGGCGATGACCCGCACAAGAAACGACTCGCAGCGGTGACCGAAGATCGAATGAAGGTCGAGCAATTGTCGAATGAAACGTAGCCCAAATCCCGGGAAACACAGCGTACTAGAGTACAGCTCGGTTCCAGGTTCACGAAGATTGAGCCATGAGGCCAGTCCTCCGGGTTGCGATTAGGCTTCACGCATGATGGGATCATGGAACGACGTCGGACCTGATGTCTGTGTCGGATGGACCCGTTCATTGTAGCGAATTTCTGCTCCTGGGAGAATTGAAGCAACGCATCAGGTGAAGAGAGTACATCGAAAGGGAAGATGGAGATAGAGGCGGGGGAAGAGTGGGAAGCAGGGAATAAGAAAGTGAAAAACAGAAAAGATAGAGAAAGAATAGACTCAAATAAAAAGGGAAACTCGCTTGCACATGACCGTCGCAGATCATGACCGACAGTCTGAAGTCGTAAGGTTCAAAGAAAAACACAAAAGAAACCGTGCAAGCGGTCCCAATCCGACTCCCTGCCAAAAGAAAAAGACCGATTTACTCCTGGGGCAGCTGGCTGCGGCGAGTCTTCTCTGCTTCGAGGTTCTCATAGAGAAGATACAAGGCCTTCTCGTTAGCGGAGGCACTGCCCATGATCGTGAACATGCGCTCGCCAGTCTCATCGTGAGGGGCCTTAGCAATCGAGATGCGGGCTCCAGAGCTCCGACGGATCTCGGTGATCTTGCTACCAGCGCGACCGATGATGCAGCCAACCATGTCGGCGGGAATGCTGATGTTTTGAGTCTGGATTTCATCGCCATCCTCGGTGACCAGAGGGTATCCACGAGCACCGCCACCACCAGCGCCGGCATCGGAGTTGGAGCGGCGACTGTAGCCACCATTGTCACTGAAGTCAGCGCCGTTACCAGTGCGGTTGTACTGACGGCTGGTATAACCATTGCCAGTGCCGACTGAGTTGTTGCTCTGCTGAACAGGCTGAGAACCACCCAGAGAGGCGCGAACAGCAGGGTTGTAAAGAACGGTGCCGGTGCCGCGCTGCCAGTCATCGATCAAGCACTTGCCAATCTCCCAGACAGCCTTCTCAATACCATCGGGGGTGCCCTGAACCTCAACAATGCGCTCGGTAGACTGAGGAAGCATTTCCTTCTGGGCAACCATGCGAACGCCGGACGCATCCTGAATGTGCTTGATCTTCAAGCCCTGTCGACCGATGATGGTGCCCATCTGGTTGTGGGAAATGAGGAGCCGGACGGCTTGAGGAAAGTTAGCACGTGAATTGGGTTTTCTTCCGCCGGTGGGAGCCAGGGTTGGCTGATATGAATGTGGTTGTTTCACATACGGCGACGAGGCCTTCTGGGGGGGATTGCCAGATCCCTGGGGAAGAGTAGTAGAGGGGACATAGGACGACTTACGGTGGGTCCCATTGTTGGAGACGACGCCACCCATACCCATCTGCGGAGCACCCTCCAGGAGACCCTTCGCAACGATCGCGTAGGCGCGAGCGGTGCCTTGAAGGGGACCAGTCACGGTCAGGACTCGGTCGTGGACGCCGGGGACGACCTTGCTAACCCCAGCCTTCACGCCAGTCTCGTCGCGGAGGTCTGCGACATTTTTGCCGGCCTTACCAATGATGACACCGGCCTCCTTGGATGAGACAATAGCGCGCAGAGTCAGCATCGACTGCGCGTATTCTTCCTCTGTCTTCGGAGTGGCATCCATAGGCTCTTGCTCGCCCATGGTGTCGACGTAGGCATCGGTCATGGGCTCATCGGCCGGAACGGTGGTTTGGTGAACTTCGGTAGCCTCCATTTTATTTTTGGGTTGGTCGAGGATCTGAGAAGACACGGTTCGGAGTGGTGGAATGGATTTTGAGAGGGGGAGGGGAGCGCTCGTCGGAAGTCACACGGTCGCGGAGGAGTGGATAGCGGGGAGGTTCACTGGGTGAACTCAGAATCAGTTTCTGCAATGACCGTAAAAAGAGCGCTGCGCCGAAGTAGATCCTTGCGATCGTGGAAAATTCCTCCACTCGACCACCAAGGCCCTAGTGACACGGCGTGGATGGATGGTGACCTACCGAAGAGGGTCCGACAGAAGTGGAGAAATCGACGTTGGTGGGAGGGGAGGGGGGGGGGAAGGTGGCGAGGGGATGCAGGAAGAAAGAGATGGAGGAGGAGGAGGGGGAAGAGGGGAGAAAGAGGAGGAAGGAGATGACGGAGAGAGAGAGACAGGGAAGTGAGGAGGACGAGGAGGCGAGGGAGAGGGGGAGTGAGATGGTGAAGGTGATGGAGAGGGACGTCGTGAAAGAGGTGGAAGAGAGAATGGTGAGTTAAGCGGAGAGTCGCCAGTTGACCGTGCGCTTGGTCCTGACGTCGCCTTTGGTTCCACTGTCCATGCTCGAGAATGCTGATGCTGTCAACCAAACTCATACGCAAGCTTTTAAATCATCATCAACTATACATGTTTCAGGCTCATTTCATTTACATGTCACTTTCCCTTTTTTCTTTTAAAGAAGATGGCCTCTAGAGGTTTGGTGAGCGTACAGGGAGTATCTTAGTCATTCTGCCAAGCATCCCACTGTTCTAGGGACCGGGGAGAATAGCCAGACGGGGGCGTGTGGTATGACGGGAATTTGAACCCTGCTAGTTCGCTCCCAGCGATCGATCTATAAACATATGGGAGGCAGATGGATCTATTGATCTGCCACAAACACTACCTTTTGCACCTTCATTGCATTGAACAACTCGTACGCCTCTACTGCTTGTGAGAGAGGCATAATCTTCTCGGTCATGAATCTGGAAAGATGAACAAACCCTGGTTAGCAGTGGAAGCATAATCGAAGGATATCGAGTTGAAATGATCATTCAAATGAAGCACTCACCCAAGTTTGTGCTGGTTCTTCTTCAGTACCTCGAGGGCCTTGTCGGAGACGGACCGGACGGGACAGCGACCCATCTGGACGGTGAGGTTCTTGTTGTAGGCATCGTTGCCATCCCAAGGGATCTATAACCCCAGTGTAAGTTATCTCGTTCGTATGGTCAAGAAATGGATACTCACCTCGGCGTTGTGAACTCCAACACTGCTGATAGTTCCCCATGGCCGCAGCAACTCATAAGCAGTACGCAGGGCAGGACTCAAGCCGACAACCTCAATCACGGCATCAGCACCACGGCCGTTGGTCAACTCCTTCACACGCCTATCTAGACCCCCGCGGTCAGTCATGAAATTCCATGGCTCGGCACCGAGAGACTTGGCCAGCTCCAGTCTCGAGGGGACAGAATCGACTGCCAGAAGATGCTTGGGCTTGTACTCCAGGGCATTGATGAGGGCACAGAGACCGACGGGTCCACAGCCGATCAGGACAACAGTCTGGTCGGCGATTTGTTCTGGAGTGGAGTTTTTGAATGCATTGTAGGCAGCAAAGTATCCCGTGGGGAAGATATCACCCATCAGCACGAGGTACTTGTCCTCAACGCCCTCGGGGGCTTTCATAACAGTGCCCTCGGCATTTGGGACACGAACCTGAACATTCCTTAGTTCATCTAACTAGATTCAGTTTCAATAATCGAGATTGACGCACATATTGGGCCTGACCACCATCCAGACGCTCACATCCGAAAAGAGTGTTCTTCTCGCATCGTGACGAGAACCCTTGCTTACAGTAGAAGCACTTGCCACTGTGAACGTGTCAGAGCTTTGCCAATTACCAACAGCGGTTGGAATTCCATTGCGTTAGAACAGCAGGGTACACATACCAGGAAGTAGTAAAAGCGCTAACCACACGGTCGCCCTTTCGCAAATTCGTCACAGCAGATCCAACCTCAACAATCTCACCCATGAACTCATGGCCCATGATGGGTCCAGGAGGACTGGGCTCAATACCACGGTACACGTGCAGGTCACTATTCCCACACATAAGCAATTGGCACTCATCACAGGTAGCGATAGTTCCAGAATACTCACCTCCCACACAGGGCTGTGTATCCCACCTTCACCACAATATCTTCAGGATCCTGCACAGTGGGGATCGGCCGCTGCTCAACCGCCACCTTGAACGGCTCCTTGAAGACCACGGCCTGCATGGTACCAGTGCTTGCCATATTTTTCCGTTTTGGCTGGTTCCGCGGGGCAATATCTTAGAACTGACTTGAGGCGTCGCACTTGCAGAATGCGGGACTAGGGGCAGATTGGAGGGGTATAGACGGATCCAACCGAGTCTAGCGAAAAGCCAACCTCCGCCGAATGTTCGAGGGAATCGAATGATCGGAGCTCAGCCGGTGCCGAGTGGCCTTGGAAACGGTTTCAATCGAGGAATTTGCGGGTCCCGGCATTGAAGTCTTGTGTGGTGGGTCTGACTGTACAGCAAAGAAGGCGCGGGTGCGATTAAGCCGGGCCGGCTCGAGAGAAGAATTACTGGGGTGTTGAAGAAGGTTGATTGGTCAGTAGTTGCTATAACTATATATCCTAGAGTCTTGCGTGAAAATAGGCGTTGAGCGGCTTCGAGACGTCCTAGTTAATATGGGAAGGTGTGTGCGAGTCCTAACGAGAGAAGTATGATGAGCGTCTCTCCGTGTGAGCCCGAGTAATATGACAAGCATCACCACAAAGACCCGAGTGATTATCAGTGGGTGAGCTCATAGACTATTCAAAAAGCGCATAGCCACTACGATTATCATATCCTAGCTTGCACCTACGAGTATGTGAAAGAATAGAAAATCAACTACAAATCAAGATGTCAATGAATGCCTACCAGAAGCTCCAGGTCGAGAGGAATGAAAACCATATTGTTGAATGTTTGAATCAGAGCTTCCCATGCCGCCAAGGGCCCTGTCATACAGTATGGCTAGTCTCGATATCCAATGAAACAAGACACCCACTTGAAGCAACCCAAAAAAAGAATCAATGGGCCTTCCCTAACGCCTGTCAAAAACACCGGAGCTGATAACGACGAGAGCTAGAAGAATATCTGAGGCAATCAATCTGGTCGCAAGAGATGCACACGGGAATAAGGGGAAAAGGGACACGTCGCTGGAGAAGAACATGATCATAAGCGCGGTCGAAAGTGGAGATCGAGGCGTGTGCAAGCTCAAGGAGACCCCTTAGCACACGATGCAAAGCAGTTCTTCCTCCAGTATGAACTTTCCCTCCTTGTATTTCTCGCTGCTCTCATATGCCTTGTCATACTTCCAACCCACAGTCTCCTTGCACTGTCGGCAGGCGATGTCTCGGACGATGTGGCGACCGGTTGTCATGCTCCGCTCCACGGCCTCGGACTGGGTGATGTTCACGACGGTGTTGAAGAGGTAAGCCTTGCCATGTTGGCCACGGAAGTTCTAGGAGCAAGCACGTAGTGCGTCAGTATAACAAAATAGAGGACGACAAGGCCAAGGTGGTTGATGACTTGATAAAAGAATGCTCACTCGACTGATGATATCATTGTAGTCGGCAAGGTGCGTCTTGCACTGCTTGCAGCCGAAGATCTTGTTGGACGTCAGATAGACGTTGTACGAAAGGCCCATGATGGCTAGATGGGGGTTGTTATCGGTGGTGAACAGGTGAGTAGCTTTCTGGTGTGGGGTAAGGAGGAGCAGGGTCTAGGGGAGAAAAAGGCAAAGGCAGAAGAAGAAGCTTGTTGTAGAGCAGAAGAGTAAATAAGCGAATCCAGCGCCTTGATAAATATTGAGAGCGAAGCTCTTCTTCCTAGACTTCCTCAGGTAGGTAGGTGTCTGCGTCTGCGATCGGGGTATGAGCTGGACAAAGAGAGCTCTGCTCTGGTAGTGCCTTGCGAGAACTAGTCCAGCTCGAGCTCAGCTATACCTGTCTTGGGCTTGGAAATTTCTCGTCTCAACACCGACCGGGGCGTTGGGAAACTTCCAGGAACTCTGGATGGGATCGAGCGAATCCCGCTGGGGGGAAGCCTGACGAGGTGCTGACGATAAGATCTCCGCACGATAAGAAGTCGGGTTGGGAGAGTCGGGATTCACGGAGGAAAGGGGCAGGAGCCGGCAGCCCCCTTGGTCTCGTCCCGGGGAAAAGTTTTGTGTCGGCACCAAGGAGCTTTATAGACCGAGTCACTAAGGTTGAGGTTTCAGTTGGGTAAGGTGGAGGGTGAGGATCGCGGCGTGTGGGAGGGACTTAAACCCCCCCGTCTGGAATGCCTCAGGCGCTACGCCCCGCATTGGGCGTGATCAGCTGGTGGCCTCGGAGTCCCGGAGTTTACGGACCAGTATACGCCATCTTTGCGGCTCTTAGAGACAGTATCAAGCAGCAAACAGGGAATCTACGAGTCAAGATACATGCAGAACATCAAATGGTGTGTCTATTTTGCGTAAATTCAATTATATCCCTGTACAAAGCGCCAATCAGATGTCCTCCTGCGTGCTCGATGCCCATATTACACGATCTAGACAATGCTGCACTGCCTCATTTCACAATAAAAAAATCTTCAAGGCTCACTCATAGTCTCTCAAGTACCGGCCAGGCAGCTCGACATCCCACATCGGCCGCTCCACCACAGCCACCTCAAGGATCCCGGATGGGCTCTGGTCCTCCTCCAAGTCATCGCCCGACAGGCCGCCCAAGGGGACGATTCCGAGAATGTCACGGTACTTATATGTGTGCCACCAGCGGCGTGGAGGCTGGGAAGCGGCGCCGTTAGCCGCCACGAGCTGCTTCTTCGGAGTGTCTGTAACCCCGTTGACGGCGTCGATCGATTTACTCTTCGAGCCCTTCTGAGGAGTTCCAATTTCCACGGCGGTACCGTCCTCACGTCGAAGACGAGCCAGGGCAGATTGGCTGGTGGCAGCGAATGATTCGTCATGTTCGTAAGCCTCGTCATCCTCAGGGTTGCGCGAGCGTTCGTAGTCCAGTGAGATCCACTCGCCCTGGGACTCGTCATGGCCAACGATCTTGCGCACCTTGGTTCCAAGGTGGATCTCCATCTGAGTCCGGGAGATCCTGTCACCAGCACCGCTGTTGGGCTTCTTGCGGTCCTTTTCGTCATCCTCGAATAAATCGCGCTTGCGCTTCGAGGCCTTGACGACCTGCTGGGAGGCCTCATCGTCCTCGACCTTGAATTCCTCAGGGGATGGGAAGTCTTGCAGCATGTCGAACATCCACAACCACGAAGTACCATAAAGCCAGACACGCTCACGGTCCTCGGAAAGGTCCCATAGGCAGCCCATAGCACGATCCTTAACGCCCCGGAACTCGGCTGGAAGGTAAGCCTTGGGATTGCGTCGAGACCAGTCAGACAGCTTGCCACTGCGAGCCTCAAACTCAATCAGTTGGTGCTCGCTGGTAACAACCATCAATCGATCCTCTCCGGTCGAGGTGTGACCGTTACCGTTGGCCAGAGCCTTTGGTGAGGACCGCTGAGGACGGAAGGACAGCAAGGTGATGCCCGCCTTCATTCGGGGGATCGGAGACTCCGAAGCTGCGGTCTGCCAACGCTCGCCTTCGAAGACAACCTCATCCTCCTCGTCCTCGTCCTCGGATGAATCATCGTCTGACTTGGAGACGCCATTGGCCTTAGCGTGACCATTAGCGTCTGAATCCGCTACCGAATTCAGAACCCAAGTATCAACACATCCTGAAAGATCAGCGACAGCCAAAATCTTGCCATCATCCGAGAACACGGCGGACCGGACAATTCTTTCGTATTCCCCCAAAAGTACCATGAGAGGCCTTTTCATGTCGAGTGTGGCGCTTCACACGCTTGAGGAGTGCAAGCTGTGGCGTTACTTCGGGCTTGTCAGGTGTAGAAACCGACTGGATGCGAGCCACATAAACATCACTATTGGGACGAACGATGCAGATCCACCGGTTATCAGGTGAGATAGTCACTAGACGGGCACCATCTCCAGAAAGAGACTGAGGAATCTCGATCTTCTGGATGCGCAAGGCCCCCTTCTCATCGCCCTTGCGTCGGCGAACAGTGAATAGCTTAACGTCAGAAGTCGTGGCAACAACAAGAATCTTGCCATCCGGTGACAGCATGGCGGAAGTGATATTTTCTTCGCCCTATATCAGGTAGACAGTAACTTGTCAGCGTTGGTCTAGAGATATCACAATCGAAGAATTGATGTTCTTACCTGAATCATCACCTTCGCAACAAGCCTATGCCTCTGGCCATCGATATGCTCGTTCAAAGAAGCGGGGCCTCGAGACACTCGCCAAAGACTGACCTCTCGATCCCAGAAACTCATCACTAGGCGAGAAGCCGGCGCGGAAGTAAGTTGAGGAATCTGAGGAAGGCTGGAAAGTTTGCGGTGGTGTTCTTTGCCGAATTCACGGAGGGGGAGGACGACGGGTGTCGCATCGGGGCCTACACGAAATTAGTTAGCACTCAATGACAGGGAAGTCGAGCAGGTGGGGACACATACCTCCAGACACGGCAATACTGATCTCCTTCGTCTCGTAGACAGCAAATGTCTTCACATCGTGAGTATGGTATCGACGGTGCATAACCTCTGCCCAACGGCTCTTCTTATCACCCTTCTCAACGTCCTTCTTGCGATAAACCACTGTCCTCTGATCCGCGCCACCACTAATGACAGTATCGCCATTCGCGCTCACAGCCACGTCAAGAACATCGGCGAGATGACCCTGTATCCGCTGGATAAGGGAGTAGTTCTTGGCATCCCAGAACCGAATTTCGCCAGCGGAGTCTCCAGAGACAATCGTGCCGTCTGGCAGGCACTTGACAGACCAAACCAGCAACTCCTTCGGGCCACCCGAGGGTCCCTTTCCAAGCGAGATTGTCCGCAGCTGTTGGCCATTCCGGATATCGAAGAGACGAATGGAGCTATCAGCATAACCCGCGACGATGGTGTTTCGGTTCTGGAAGGTGACGCTGAGGACTCGGGCCCTCTTCGTAGAAGGGCGCATCAGACGGACGAACCTCAGGTCGTTGTCTGCCGTTGACAGAATCACAATTGATCCATCTGCACAACCGGCTGCCAGGTGCTGGCCAAGATACTCACCCTCAGCGGGAGGAAGGAATTTCCCATTTGCGCCTCTCTTGGTAGGCTGCCACTGCGGCTGCGCAGCAAGACACCAAATTTCACCGTAGTTCCCACTTGAATGACGCAGCGGCCGTCCCTGCTCGAGATCCCACTCCGTGACGGCTGTTGAGTAGCCAATGCTGAACAGGCGCAGCTTGCCCGGCAGCTTGGAACCAGCAGGTCCGTCTTCATGAGGGTCTTGAGTCCAAGACAGGCCTTCAATGCTTCGGTCTTTTCCTCCACGTAGCACGGTCTCCTGGAACCAGGCCCCGCGCATCGGGTTCCATATTTCGATGTCGCCGTTCGCACGACCGATTGCGAGTCGAAGGGTAGGGACACCTCGTCCGGCAAGATCTGCGGAAGGAGGATGCGAGAATGCAAGCGAGTTAATCGCCTGCGGGTTGTAGGACACGAAACGGCAGCGGTGAATATCCATTGCTGTGGTATGGGCTTCCTCTGAAGCGTATGCGATCTCTCGGTATGATACAAAGTTCGGATGCAAATTTCGGGGGTTGAGGGTCGAGGGTCGAGGCGCAGAAAATTTAATTCAGACGGGAACTAAAACGGGCTGCCATGCAAGCCCCTACGCACTCATCTCGTAGTCGGAAAATTGGAATGAATGCGGCGTCGTAGCTGTCTAGCCTTTGCGCGGACTCGTTTTTTTCTTGTAGATAAATTTTAGCGGGCCGGATTATCTTAGCGGAAGGCGGTGGGTCACGTGATATAACATGTTTGGCGCCTGCTAGATCAGGCAGAAATGTGAGTAGAGCGGTCATTGTAGAAGGTATGTTCATGGTTTGGCTTGAAACATCTTTGATCAAGTCTAAATTGGAAAATACAGAGGCATATACGGGGGGTCCAGATGTGTGCCATATAGACCTTCGCATAAACTTTGTACATGTGCACGACCATATTTGACAGGAAAGAAATGGCACAACTTGGTCAAGGAACTTATCAATACCGAGATATTTAAAGAGAACTGAAAAACCACAGATTTCAAGACGATTCGCTGGTACCTGTGTATTCGAAAATACAAAGTCACAGGGACCAGGCCAGTCCTGCAAAGAGACAGAACAGCGTGCTTGGATCTACTTGCCGCTGGGGCTACTCATGGCTACAGTCTCAAATCCATCAACTGGTAACTAAGCAGCGGTCAGCATACTCTGTCAGACATTCCATATATAACTATGGACAATGTACTCAGAGGCTGCTGATCACGATTCTGAACTCAACACGCTGATATGAATTGATGAGGAAGGGCGGACAGCATCAGTTACTGAGCGCTACTAAGCGTCTCCCAGGTCCAAGTTGGGGAACAAGCCCGAAGGTACTACTACTACCCTCACACCCTCAAAGCTATGGTGATGGGTTATTATGTCCAAGGTAAGGGATCTCACAGCGAGCATCAAGCAATGCAAAGGTCAAAAAGTATCCAGCTATACGAGACTTTGTGATAGGCTGAGCCGAATGGGACAGCCATGATAGCGTGGTCGTCTGCTAAAATGCAGCACACTCGCGACCGGCTTGAAGCTTCGTATATTAGGGTTGCTTTCATTACATGCAGGCTCCAGCCATCGAGGGGCTGCCACGTCAGAAACAGCGCCATTCTCTCTGAAGATGAGAGGCTGTGACTTGCCCCTGGAGGTTCTCCCTGAATCATGCAGTTATATGTATCAGATTCCAGAAAGCCCAGCAGGCGGAGGGCGCCTGATAGGGCGACATCCTGCCTGACTTGCCAATCCGATCATTGGGCTGCCCACAATCAGCGGTTGTCAAGCTGGATGAGGGGACTGCGGGACACTCTATCAGAGTTTCATTGGCCAGTTCCACGGCAGAGTTGTCAGTGGCGGGCGGGGGGAGAGACGAGCTCGCGATATCATGGACCACTCATGATTGCGCCATCTTCAAAGATATCGACTTGACTACCAGCCTTACAACTGATTCAGCAAGGCCAATGGTAGTGGAAAAGAGATGTTGCTTTGGTGCTCAAGGTGTGGCTCGCTTGCCTCTCTTCAGCAGTGCCCCCCCCAAAATCGGGCACACCGATTCGACAGTTTACCCCCAGCGGCTGATGGACCTAGATAAGCACTAGACTTCAATGGCGGTGCTCTGAGCATCTGGTCAACTCCGGAGATGGTGCGAGTCTTCGTTCATGGTTGATATGCTGAATGGCTACGGTCGCGCGGCCCGTCGAACTCAACTCAATTCAGGCGGGAACTCTTGCATGCTGCCTTGATCCGAGTGAGCGAGTTAAATTGCTCGATCCACAGGTTGGGTCGCGTACTTGACCCGCGATCTCAAGTTTGTTGGATCTGGCCCCCTCTCCCCCCGCTTCGAACAACCGGATTTCCCCTTGAACTAGTGAATGAACTGGTGAAGTCGTGGATCGGTTCACAAACCAGCCCCAAATCAACTCCGGTACACTTTGGTTCCAGTTTGTTATCAGGGGAGTGTGCAGGGGGCAGGATTGCACCATTTGGATTTTCGATCGTCGAGTCTGTCGCCATGCTGTGCGTCGTCTTCGTCTGATCGCCTGCTTTTTCTGGTTCGGAGCAGGGAAGCCGCCGGGCTCAGACGCAATTTAGTGAACTCTGAAGTCAGCCGCGATCCTGGCTTGACTCTGCCGTCGCGCGCCTTGATAATTTTGGCCCTAGCCGGAAGGAGGTAAAGTACGAGAGACGGGGGCTGTGAGGCCAGGATATAACGCGAACCAAGGCTTAGGGATGCTACTGTCCTCCGTAGTTAGCTCGTCAATATCGGAGATGACAATGGGGCTTCCGGATCGGCAGTCAATATTAAAGATGCACTGGCAATCGGACGCGTGACGACCGAATCAACGTGTCAGGGCACGAGAGGCGAATCTGACTGGAAATCGTGCCAAGATGGCAATCACCTTTCTAGTTCCCAACCTCCTCGTATGCGGATGCTGGCCGAGCCGCTGATGCATGTGGTTGTCCGGAATTGGGTCAAGACTCAGCACAGTCGTTCTATGGTTCTCTGTATTGATGATAATCTGGCCTCGTATCTCTGCCGTTCGAAGATCTTCGAAGCTTGATCTTTGCCCATAGTCTTCTGCTCGAAGAGCTGTAACTAGCTTGCACAGCGGTGCACACGCAAACCTAAAGCCGAAGTGTGGGACGCGAGCCCAGTGATGACGGCATAGCTTCGATCGCAGCCGAGGCCAATAAGCCTAAGCTGGATACTGATGGGGCGTCAAGACCCAGATTGGTATCCTTGCACCTGCAGGGGAAGTTGGGAGGTCGTTCAAGGTTCGCATGGGTTTCTTAGCTGGAAGATCCGCGAACGTATTCAGCACGCCACGACGATGGCATGCTGTTTCTGACCGCGCAGCCAATTTATCCCTTTTGGGGACTTGGGCTTCAGCAGGTATGTAATAATCGTGGCCGCCGTACGGCGTACCTATACAGAAAGCTCCGATGTGGAGCTTTGTTCGTTACGCGACGGGTATTCCCCACCTGTTTTGCACCCTAATCCATGGCAGGATTAGCGGCGTATCGAATAGCCTTACTGCTCCGTTCAACCTTCCGTCTACCATCGGACAAGTCTTGTTCAAAAGCAGGGAAGACAACACGGAGCCAGGCTGGGAATCACAGTGTACAGGACATCTCCGTCAGTGAGTATCAAACCAAGCAGGACGATGCACAAAGGACTAAGCATCTATCTCAAGGGAAGCAAGTCTCAAGACGAAAAGGGGCGGGGAATGGGGAGGTAAAAACCACCCCAAGACCATGGTTGAGCCTCCACGGGCCCCGGTCTCGCTTTACCGAAATAGGTCATATTGTCTTGACCATTGGATACGCGTTGCTAATTAGCACCACTTTAATTCGTTGTGGGGGCCACGCGAAGATTTTTGCTCATAGCTGATGGAAATCGCTAGCAGTAGGAAAAATCGAGTTAGTTTCTTAGCATGAGAGCCTGTAGAATGAAGAAAGTCACCAACTGCAGTCGAGAGAGATCTGATCTACAACTGGGAAATAAGTATCTGCTTCAAGCTTGCAGTTCAGGACGCAGGCAATGACCTAATTGAAGCGTGGCGTGGTGCAAGCTTAACGCACCTTGTCCACGACCCGAGAACGTTCGCTGACTTAAGGAAGCAACGGGAAGGAAATATTTGACATTGTGGAGTTAAACCCACTACGCCGGTGCAGAAGAAAAAACTTCACGATAATATACAGAATATTTCTCCGCAGAGGGGCAACAGAACAAGAAAATTCTTTTCACCGGTTAGGTACGCCGTACGTTAATCCCGTTCGATACTCGGGTCCGACGACATTTACAGAGTAAGTACTATTGTCAGTAGAGATTTATGTAGTAGTACAGAGTAGTCGACCAGGATCGTAAGCAAAACGATAAAGAAGAGTGAACGACCATGTGAAGGTTCAATAACATGCGGAGAAATAAATACTCTACCGTAGTGCTATATCTCATAGGAAATGGACATTGTGTAGTTACAAATATTTCATAGAGATCCAAAATTAATCTCTAGGGCGTTCGCTGGCCTCGACTCCATCCACATTCAAGTCCGAGGACTGTTGATGTTGTCGATATTCCATCTGCCGTCCAGCAGACTTTGTGCGTACGGTATCCGCTGCATCCGACCATCGCCACTGTGACACCTATTCTGTTTTTCGCGTCAAGACCACAGTGGATCGAAATCTGTCAATGAGCGGGGCGAAAGCTACTGCACTGTACTTGAAAGGCCTCAAAATCAGTCAGGATTTGAGTCTGCCCGTTTCTTACCATGGTTTCTCGAGGCCGGAACGGCCCTGCTGGAAAACCGTTGTTGATACATAGTGTGGAGCCTTGATTACACATGTAATCGGTGGAAGATTAGACGCTTTCCATGGTTGAGGCGTTCCAAAGTGTAACAGACAAATGGACATAGAGAGGTGGAACGCATGGTTTTCGAGGAAAGAAACAGTCTTTTCCTCAGTACGGAGTACAATACTTTGTGATTTCTCGCATTTGCTACATGTTGGGTGGATTATGAAGTGTAGAAGTGGATACAGGTCCCTTTCAGTATATATAATATATTACTGCACGTCTTGGGGGCAATGGCACCATTTGTAACGGGTGATTTGGACGTTCAAGTAAAGTACAGGGTATACAAACAGCCAAAAAGTTGATAAACGTTCACTCTACTTGGATGCGGGTAGCACTTGCCAATTATTGTCCTCAAGGCGGGTCAGATTGTCGGTGGTATCTTATTGACGGCTCAGATCTGAGCTATTTTGCATACAAAGGTGAACCAGGACCTGCGACATGTAAATTAGATAGAGGCCCAGAACTCAACACCAGCGAACACAGCGGCCTTAGTAATCTCACTTGGACTCATTGAATTACAAACTGCTGGATCTATTATCCCTTGCAACGAGAGACGAGAGAAGACCTTTAAACACGCCGACCTTGCATGTC